AATATTTAACTAGAAAAAAAATATTTTTATTAATCTTTTTTTATTTAATATTTATTTATTGACTAATTAAATTTATAAAGAATTAAAACTTACTGTTTTGTAAAAATTACTATACTCTTGAATTACTAAACAGTTAAATAGAATAATTATAATGTTGAGTAAAAATTACTATACTGTTTAGTAAATATTAATATACTGTTGAAATAAAATTATTATACTGTTTAGTAAAAATTACCATACTGTTGAGTAAAAATTACTACATAGTTGAGTAAAAATTACTATACAATTCATTGTAATATTTACCATATTTGTTTTGTAAAAGTTACAATGTTATTTTATTATAATTTACAATTAAAAATTTACATTATGAAAAATAATCTCTTTACGGAACGTAAATTCAAATTATATATATGGTATTGTTATCGTATATAAGGATTGCATAAAAAATATATGTCTTATATATATGAGGAAATAGATTTTCTTTATTTGACAATTCATTTTGTCATGTGTGCGAATAATTCTGATTGAAAGAGATAATAATTTTTGATGACGATAAGAAATATGTCAGACGCACATATTATGCCGGTTATTAGTCTTATCGGTTATATTTATCTCAATTAACCTACTAAAAAAATAATACAATCTCAAGTTTGCGATAAATCATTGGCCCGCAATCTGCGTTTTTAGCAATAATGCAAACATCATTTTTTGACTGAATCGAACTTGTGTCTTGGTTTTAGATAACAAAAATATGGATATTTATTTTTCGTTCATTATTTCTGGTTATTATTATTATTATTATTACTTTACTGTTTAGAAATAATTTTTATACGGTTTGGTAAAAATTACCATACTGATCAGTAATAATTACTATACTGTTTGGTAAAAATTACTGTACTGTTCAGTAATAATTACTATACTGTTTGGTAAAAATTACTGTACTGTTCAGTAATAATTACTATACTGTTTGGTAAAAATTTCTGTACTGTTCAGTAATAATTACTATACTGTTTGGTAAAAATTTCTGTACTGTTCAGTAATAATTACTATACTGTTTAGTAATAATTTTTATACTGTTCAGTAATAATTACTATACTGTTTTATTATTATTATTATTATTACTATTACTATTAGCTTTTTTTTATTATTATTGTTATTAATTCATAAATTATTTTTTGATTGACAGTAGAATTTTTTTTTTGTCATTAATGTCTATTTTCTCAAAATAGATTCATTCATGAATTTTTCTTTTCGTTGAAAAATTTAGAATGAAGTGAAAATTTGTTAATTTTTTTAACACTAGACAATGCATATAAATATGTATATATATATAGCCAAATCCATCAACTGGACTCTCTCTCAAGAGTATAGAACACGTGGAGTATTAAATGTCAAATGACCTGTGACGTCTTTCTGAGTCTCTCTCTATCTCTGTCTCTGTCTCTCTTGAGTCAGTCCCACATATCCAAGCTAAATACGGAAACACGACAGCTGCCGCCACGTTTATTTTCGGAACGAGCGAATCTCTTCTCTTCTTCTTCTTCATCATCATCTTCTTCTTCCTTCAATATTACTCTTACTTGTTACGCACATGCAATAATTGTATTAAATACCTGTCATAAAATATGCATTCATTGGCAAATTTTCATTTTTTCAAATTTCGTTTTTGTATTTTCAAAAACAAATATTCATTTTTTATGAGATTTTTTGTTTATACTTGTTTTGATTATAGTTTCTTAAAAAATTAATTTTTTATTAGTGTGAGGAAATGGAAAAAAAATATTATATTACTTCGAGTATGATACACGGAAATGTAGGAGAGTGTAATGACACTTGGGAGTTCTGCCAATTTTCCTCTCTCTCTCTCTCTCTCTCTCTCTCTCTCTCTTTCTCTCTTGACACGACAAATCATGAAACTTCACACTCAATTTAATTTATATCTTCTCGACAACAATTTCCCTTTGAAGAAGCCGTTGTTTTTAGTTAGCTGATGTTTTAGTCTTATTGTTTTTACCATAATTTTTGATTCTGTAAATGAGAATTGAAAAATTTAGAGAATTTTCCTCGGTCTATGTGCCGGTGGCCTGGCTACTTAGGCGCTTGACTGTGAAACTAGAAGCAAGTGTTCGAATCCTCACAAATGTAATTTTTTTTTTTTATTTTTTCAACTGTCATATTATTTTTATTAACAGTTCTTTCGTTATTTTAATATTCTTTTGTTATTTATTTTTTTTGCTTTTATTTATTACTTTTTTTAAAAATTATTTTCTATTATTTTTATTACAAAAATTATTAATTACTTTTTTATTTTAGTTTCCTTATTTATAGATTTTTTCAGTTTATCATTATTACTTGGCGGGAAAATTAACGAAAATTTTTTAAATAAATAAATTTCGAAAATAATTTTTTTTTTTTAATATTTTCAAAATATTACAAAATATTACAAATTTTATCCATATCCTAATTTTTAGTTTTATTTTCAAACTGTAATGTATATATATATATATATATATATATATATATATGTGAATTCATAAATGGAAGATGATTCGTAGCCTATGGCATGATTGTTTTCTCGGTCGGGTCAAGTACCCCCCACCCCACCAACGACCTATTTGCGCGCGAATTTTAACCCAAATACTCGATTGAACGTGGTCAACGTCGACGATAGATCGATAAAAACAAACTGGCATCCGTTTGTTATATCTAGTGTGTTGTTGCTCGCACGCGATTTTCACCAACTTTCTAAATCCTGTCAAAAAAAAAAAAAAGAAAAGAAAAAAAGAGTAATTGATTTCATCCCCTTAGTAATACTTTTTCCACTTTGTGCCAAATAAACTGTTTTCTCTTTTTTTTCAATTTATGTCTAAAATTTTTTTTTTAAATATTATTATGACTATCAATTGCTTTAAAATGTTGGAATTATATATTACGCAGTATTTTTTATTAAAAGAATACAAAAAAAGCAAGAAAATTGTCCTTTACACTCGTTATGTTAGAATAGCTTAGTGGATAGAGCACCCGACTTGTGTTATTGGGATCGAGGGTTCAAGTCCAGGTCCGGTAGAATTTTTTTCTTTATATTCAAAATTTATTCTCGATTGTTTAATTAAATAGTTAGTACTATTATAAAAATTGGATAATTTAATAGTAATAATCATAATACTAATAATAATAACAATAATAATAGTAATTACAATAGTAAAAATATATATTAAAAAATAGTAATAGTAATAATAATAGTAAAAATAAATAGTAAAAAATAGTAATAGTAATAATAATAGTAAAAATAAATAGTAATAGTAATAATAATAGTAAAAATAAATAGTAAAAAATAGTAATAGTGATAATAATAGTAAAAATAAATAGTAAAAAATAGTAATAATAATAGTAAAAATAAATAGTAAAAAATAGTAATAGTAATAATAATAGTAAAAATAAATAGTAAAAAATAGTAATAGTAATAATAATAGTAAAAATATCTAGTAAAAAATAGTAATAATAATAATAACAATAATAGTAATATAATTATAATAATACAGAAAAAAATAAATTAATATTCTACATGCAATTTTCTCTTCCTTTGATAAAAATAAAATTTCTTAAAATGTATTTCAAAAAAAAAATTGTTCTAGTTGACATTAATTGGAAATAGGTTTATTTTCCTTGAAATAATAGGCTAATTGGAGGAAGCGTGAGAGCAAAAGGATTAATAAGTAGATCATATTATTAATTTCCCGCACGTGATTAAATGACTACGAGAAATAATAATACTAAAAAATTGAAGCAAACGAAAAAAGGAATACTATAAATTTAGAAAAAAAAAATAGATTAAAATAATGACAAAATTAAATTAAATAAATAAAAACAATAAAAAATTTAAATAAATAAAATCAATAAAAAAAATTAAATTATAAAATTTTATGGAAAATAAAATACAGCAAGTTAAAAAATAATTATATAAGCGTTTTTAAAAAAAAAAATATATAGAAAATTAAGTCCTTCAAGATAAACAATCAATAGGTTAATTTATCGCTGAATCATTTTTTTTGCTGTTATTACAATGAATAAATAAAATAAAACTATATATGAATTTCTATATATTAAACGATTTTTTTCCACTCTCATTCTTACATTGTATAATAATCATTCTTTTATATAAGAATATTTCCGATAAACATTAATTTACATATTAAACTGCAATTAGTTATACGGTTTATTTTTTGTTTCTTCAACTATACGTTTTTACTTATTTTATGAATTATTAATAATTTCACTCCTTTTTTTTAATATTGTATATATAAATATTATTTTAAAAATTCATTTTCTTTTTTCTTAGAATATCTATTTTCTGTTGAAAATTTTTTTTATTGATCTTGTCAAACAATAATTCACTGAGAAATGATTTTTATATAAATTCAAAATGTTGTTGATGGTTTTAAATAAAAAAAAAAAGTATTCTTACTATTTTTTAATATACTGAATTCTTGTTTTGTTTCTTTGTAACTTGGCAACAAAGTAAAAATTGGCTAAATTACATTTTCTTGTCAATAGTTTTTTGTTTTTTTTTTCTTAGCAACCTGGAAACGAAGGGAAAATTACATTGCGATTTGAATATGTCTTTTATCTAATGTTAAATCTGTTTTTTTAACAATTTTCTGTTATTCAATTCAATTGGAAAATGTTTTTTTACTGCTATTTGCATTTTTTTAAGGTTAGGTTTACAAGTCATTTTTACTATTATCTTTGAAGAATACTCAGTCGGTAACTTGTATTTTTTTTTTGAGGTTAGGTTTACAATTAATTTTTTCTTGTTACCCATGGAGAATAATCAGTCGGTAACTTGCACTTATTTAAGGTTATGTTTCATTACAAAAATTTGAAAATAATTCCAAAATTATAAAATTTATTTTTTAATTTACACAATAATAATAATAATAATAATAATAATAATAAAATGAAAATATAGTGAAAGTTAATTAATTTTCTTTTTTTTTCAGCGAGAGATCGCTTTCCATCGTCGAGCAGCACTGATGACGATCAAAGTGGATCGGACGCGGAGCAGGATTCCGCGACAATACGTGGCAAGGGTCATTCTGGAATTTTACATCATTCCGGAACGCATTCCGTACGAAAACGTAGGGGAAATTTACCGAAACATTCGGTAAAAATTTTAAAAAGATGGCTATACGAGCACAGGTACAATGCATATCCCAGTGATAGTGAAAAACTCACCCTCAGTCAAGAAGCAAATCTCACTGTTTTACAGGTATTAAAACTCAAAAATTATAATTTATATTTTTAAAAAATTATTTTTCTACAATTTTATTCAAATTTTTATGTTTAATTTTCGCTTTTTATTATTATTTTTTTTTTTGCTAAGTTTTGGTAAAAATTACCATACAGTAGAGGAAAATTTAAGGTATCACATCGGTAAAACCGTTTTCTATAGATTTTCTTGAAAATTTTACCATATGTTCTTATTATCATTCTTGACAAATTTGCAAAATATGAAGAATTTTCGCCGTACGAAACCAGAGATATTAGCAATCAAAGTTGCTTATTTTGCATGGGAGACGGGACTAATGTATGGGGGAGAAGTACATTTTCATAAATATCATCAGAAGTTTTCTATAAATTTTTTTCAAAAACTAATGTTGAATTCACGAATAAATTTGGAACTAAAATATACAAAGAAATTTATAATTTACCGTGCCGTTTATTTGTAATTATAAATTAAAAATTCTATTTCATGACGTCATTTGCAATATATAGCACACCCGCCACTTTGATGTGGCAACATCGCAGGATGGTAACATTAGTTAGAGAGAGACAGTAGTCCACAGTAGTCAAAGCGAGACTTATAGCGACGTTGTCAAACCTCCTACTCCTTCCAATCGCTGCTAGTGTGGGGTATACGTGTACGAGTGTATTTGTAGAAGTAGGTACAGTATGGGCTGAGAGTATAGGGAGTTGAGGACGAAAGTATACTGCGGGAAGTAGTAATGCGAGCTACAAACTTTTGACTCCGATTAGTGCCGATGTGATACCTTAATATAGAGTTTTGTAAAAATTACCATACAGTAGAGGAAAATTTAATATAGAGTTTTGTAAAAATTACCATACAGTAGAGGAAAATTTAATATAGACTTTTGTAAAATTTACCATACTAAAATGTATAGTTATTTATATACTCAGTATAGTGTAAAGTAAAATTTACCATACTAAACTGTAAATAATTACAATACAGTGAGATAAAAATTACAATACTGTAATGTAAAAATTACCATACTCTAATGTAACAATTACGGTACTATTGACACAAAAGTTAATATTAATTTTTAGTTAATGTTAATAAAAAAAAATGTTTAGATTACAATATATTATAATATTTTACAAATTTTTATATTGTCACGTTGTAAATTTATTTATTTTGCACAACGTTAAACTAAAATTATTATACAACATAAAATACGTAATGCTATTTGAATTTTAATAATATATCTTTAAATCAATATTCAATATATTAAACTTTTTTCGAAAACATTTTTGACGTGAGAAAAAAAATTTTTTAAAAAAATATTTAAGTTCTGCAGATGTAAAAAATTATTTTTGTTCAAAAATTAACCTTCCATTAACATTTATAAAGAATTTTATAAAAATTTTCGTCGAAAAAAAATAAAATTCTAGGAACATTTTACATGGAACGCCCTATATGGGGAGTTCTTTGTCAAATGTACCAGTTGAAAATTAAAAATTTATTGAATTTCTTAGAAAATTTGGTAAATTTTTGTCCCACTTGGAAAGAAGGTAAATTTTAATTCATTTGAAGAAATATTTAATTTAATTATATTAATATATAAATATAATATTAATATAAAAAAAAAAATTATATTAATATAAATATAATAAAATTTAGTACTGATTTTGAAAAAAAAAATATTCCAGTCAAAACAAAATTTTTGTAAGGAAATTTTTACCTGGAACGCCCCATGTGGGGAATTCTTCGTCAAATGTACCGGTTAAAAATTAAAAATTTATTGAATTGCTTGGAAATTTTGGTAAATTTATGTCTTACTTGGAAAAAAAGTAAATCTTCACTTGAAGAAATATGTAATTTCTAATAATTTAAATATAATTAAATTTAGTAAAGATTTTGAAAAAAATATTCAATGCAAAAAAAAAAAGTTTTAATGAAAATTTTACATGGAACGCCCCATGTGGGGAATTCTTCGTCAAATGTACCAGTTAAAAATTAAAAATTTATTGAATTGCTTGGAAATTTTGGTAAATTTTTGTCCTACTTGGAAAAAAATAAATCTTCACTTGAAGAAGTATGTAATTTCTAATAATTTAAATATAATTAAATTTAGTAAAGATTTTGAAAAAAATGATCAATGCGAAAAAAAAAATTTTAATGAAAATTTTACGTGGAACGCCCCATGTGGGGAATTCTTCGTCAAATGTACCAGTTAAAAATTAAAATTTATTGAATTTCTTTAAAACTTTAGTCAATTTTTTGTCCTATTTGGAAAAAAAATTTTTTTTTTTCATTTAAAAAAAATATGTAATTTAATTTAATTAATTTAAATATAATTAAATTTAGTAAAACTTGACGCTTAATTATTCAAAAAAAAATTTGACAAATATAATTTCAATTTTCATATTTTGGATGCATTTTTGAGATAATCATCTATATATATAAATTTATTTATGACTTGTGTCCTGAAAAATAAAGCAGGTTGCAGACAAAAGAAATACTTAGTTTGACAGTATTATTAAGTCTCACTTGTCCATTATATTGATTTAAAATTATAATATATATATATATATTCGAACCGGGTGCGATGCGCTCGTTAACGACATAATTATTAAGGCCCATTAAGGTGGTCGGCGCCTGAAGGATTAGCCAATTATTTCAAAATAATTTTGCGAAAGATGGTAATTTGTATTGTGTGTATTATATTTTTAACAAAAATTTTAGGAAAACGCGTTTATTTCTCAAAGACATAATAAATTCAAGATTGACGGGTTTTTATTTTTTTCTCAAATATATATATTTCGAAATTGGAGGGAATTTTATACTTTTATGCCTCTGAAAATATTAAATGTTCGGAAAATCCCGTTTGGGTTTTTCCAATTTTTTTTTTTTTTTTTTTTTTAAATTCATTCTAGAAGAAAATTTAGTTGGTAATTTTTTTTTTGTAATTATTTTAATAATTTTTAGTAACTATTTTATTCAGTAATTTTTTTTTGTAATTATTTTAATAATTTTTAGTAACTATTTTAATCAGTAATTTTTTTTTTTTTTTTACTAAAATTTTAGTTTAAAATTACTGAAAATTAGTATAGATTTTAGTTAATTTTCATTAATTTTTTAGTTTTTTTTGGGATACTAAAATTTTAGTAAAAAAAAATATTACTAAATCCAAATAGTAATATTTTACTAAAAAAAAAAAATTATTGAAAATTTCTAATTTTTAGTCATTTTTCACTAAAATTTTAAAAAAATATGACTTAATAAAATAGTAAAATTTACGAAAAAAAATTAGTGAAAATTTTTACTAATTTGAATAAATTAGTGAACTAATTTTTACTAATTTGAATAAATTAGTGAACTAATTTTTACTAATTAAAATTTAAATAGTAAATAATTTTTTATTAATAAATGAAATATTTATTTTCACTATTAATTAATTTGACCTTTAAAAAAAATGTATAATAAATAAATACTAAAAAAAATAAATTAAAAAATAAATAAATAATAAATTAATTAAATAAAAAATAAGTAAATAATAAAATAAAATAATTTTCTGGTTTTAATAATAAAAATTAATAAAATAATAATTTATTTTAATAATTTTTATTATTAAGACCAGATAATTATTTTATTTATTTTTTTTGTAATTTATTTTATTTATTTATTTATTTATTTTTCATTATTTTTTTTTCTGGAAAATTTTGACAATAGAATAAAAATTTGTTTGACGGAGACTGTCACATAAGATAACGATCTTAACAATCGTTAATGGACTATACGTATATATATACAAAATTAACAAATGAGTTTCGCTGCTTTGTTCCGAAAAAGAGGGAAACATTGCAAAATTTTTCTCCCTTATATAATAATAGTCTGTACAGGTATTTATGCAAGTAGAAGTTAATGAGTTTTCATTGTGTTTAATTTTCTTGAAAGTCGTTGGGTCCTTTTTTTGTACTTGTATATGAATGAAACTATATGAATGGTGGGTTTTAGTGGGTGAATTGACTTAATTTTCAAATGGTGGTATTTTGAAAATACCCTTTTCTTTTTTTCCTAAAAATAATTATCAACCATAAATAACCTGATTTAATATTTTTCCTATTATTTTGTTATAATGTTAACTTAAATCCTATTTATAATTTGACTTTTCGACTTTTAGAATCATTAGTCTGTATAAATAGTTTTCAAACATTGATAATTATACAGGTGCTAAGTATTTTTAGTAATTATTATATAGAGAATTTTTCAAATGCCAAAAAATATGAGAAAAGTTCAACAAAAAAAAAATTCGGATTTTAAAATAGTATATTAAATTAAAAGTAGTTTTTTGATTTTAAAGAAATTTTTATTTTTATTTTATAATAAATTAATTTTAAAAAAGTATTTTTCTTTAATTTACTTTAAACTTATTTTGAATCCAAATTGGATTAAAATCATTTTAAATGATTTTCTAATATTTTATATACAAATTTTTTTTTTTTTTTTACTTAAATTAAATTTTTTTGCGTTTAGGTTTTTTGATACGTTTCTTTTTATATATTTATTTCATTTTTTTTTCAAAAATTTTTTCATTTGCAATTTTGTTATTAAATATTTTTGAATTCTTTGTTAAAATTTTGAAAAAGTTTTTCGTTTTTTTTTTTTAAATATTTTCTGTAAGATTTTTTTTACAATATATTAATTTTTTATTATTTATTTAATTTAACATTAATAAATTAAATTCGAATTGTCTTTGTAACATTGAAAGATATTAATTAAATTAAATTTCAATTAAAATAATAATTTTTATATTTTTTTTTTTTTGGTATTTTTATAAATAAATAAATATTTAATTTCTAATTTTATTAAAAATTTGAAATTTTTATTTACATAAAATAAATGTTTTTATTTTAAAAAAAATAAAATTTTTGAAAATTTAATCTCACTTCTAGAAATAAATAATTTTCTCAAAAAAAAAGTAAAAAAAATCTATGTACTTTTTTGTTATAATAATCAAAAAATGTTTATTTTTTTCAAAAAAATCACTGCAAATTATTGTTTCATTCAAAAAAAAATTGTTTATAATTTTCAAAATTTATTATAAGAAATAAATAATTTAATTTCTTTTTCTCGTAAAGCTAAATAATAATATAATAATAATAATAATTATTATTATTATTATTATAAAACTGTTTATTTTTAAAATTTTATTTAAAAAAATTTTTATTTTTTTTTTCGAATCGTTTTACCTATTAAAAAAGAAAATTGTTTATAATTTTGAAAAATTATTTTACATAGAAAATAGTTATACTCGATTTTGCTATGGGGGGTGTGTCTTGTTGAACTCGTGGGTTTGACTAATTAACTTACATTAACCCATTAAACACATTGAAGAGTGGGGATGAAAACCCTTATAAAATTTTTGGGCCCTACCTCCTTGGAAAATTCTTACCTATGATTGGTCCCCGTTGTCATTAAATAGAGATGTTTCACGCAAATTTTCATCAGTATTATTCTGACTATCATTATCTGAATAATATAGACTTGTTTTAAAATTTTTGACTCCGTTTGCATTCGATTTTATTTTAAAGAATAAAATTAAATTTTTAATTTTCATTTTTTTAATTAATTTTCTTAATTTTAATTAATTAAAAAAAAAAAAAAATTTGTGAAAAATGTCGAAAAAACAATCATCATCATCGTCATCGTCGTCGTCGTCATCATCCTCATCATCATCATCATCGTCATCATCATCATCATCGGCAACTGAGGAAAAAGTAGAAGTGTGCTGTGATCCATTTCAAGTGAATTATCATTCGCGTAGAATGAATGATATTTATGAGATTCATTTGAAATTGAAATATAAATCTGAACTTCTACCGATGCAAGGGAAAATTTGTTCATCTTGTAAAGTGAAATTTTTAGCTTTTATCTCTGAGGACGATTACGATGATAAATCAAAGGTGAATGAAAGTTTCTAATTTCTTTTTTAATTTTTTATATTTGATAATTTTTTTTTCTGCCATTTATTATTAATTTTATATTTATTGTCATTTTTTTTTGCTTCATAATTTGGTTTATTTTAATGATTTTATTTTTCTATTTTCCCCAAGGGAAAGTGAATTTTATTTTTAATAATTAATTTTTTATTTTCAAAAAATATTCAGAATTTTTTTTTTGAATATATAATTTTAGTGGCAAAATAATTTTTGATTTTTCAAAAATTTTATTTTGCAATTTATTCTAATTTTTTGTATTTTCTGTATTTTTCATGAATTTTCTATGTTTCTAATTTTTCTGTTTTTAATTTAAATTTTTTTCTAGCAAAATAATTTTGTTTTTTCAAAAATGGTTAATTTATTCGAATTTTCTGTATTTTTTTCAAATTTTTTATATTTTTATTTTTTATATATTACTCATTTTAATTTTTACTAATTTTGTATTTTCAAAAAATATTCAGAATTTTTTTTTTTTTTAATATATAATTTTTTGGCAAAATAATTTTGATTTTTCAAAAATTTTATTTCACAATTTATTCTAATTTTTTTATATTTTCTCTATTTTTCATGAATTTTTTATGTTTCTAATTTTTCTATTTTTAATTTAAATTTTTTTCTAGCAAAATAATTTTGTTTTTTCAAAAATGATTAATTTATTCGAATTTTCTGTATTTTTTTTTTTTTTTTTTATGAATGTTCTATATTTTTCATTTTAATTTTTACTAATTTTGTATTTTCAAAAAAATAATTTTTTTTTGGGAAAACATAATTTTCTAGAAAAAATTATTTTGCTTTTTCAAAAATGTTTAATTTATTCCAATTTTTTGTATTTTTTTTTCAAATTTTCTATATTTTTATTTTTTATATATTTCTCATTTTAATTTTTACTAATTTTGTATTTTCAAAAAAGATTCAGTATTTTCTTTTTTTTGAATATATAATTTTCAAACAAAATAATTTTACATTTCCAAAAATGTTATTTATTAATTTAATCGAATTTTCTATATTTTTCAAATTTTTTTTTTTTGTTTCAATGAAAAATTATTTGAAATTTTTGTATTTTATTATTATTTTTTCCTAAAAATTATTATTTTTTATTTAAATTACAGAATAGATAGAATTAATTAATTTAAAATTAATTTTTTATTAATTATTTTTATATTTAAAAATAATTTAATTTTTTACAAAAAAAAATTGTTATTAAAATCGAAAAAAAAAATGAAACAAGAATTAAAAAAATAAAAACAAACGTCCTTAAGGAATAAATAAAAGTGAGATAAATAATATTGGTAGCAAAAAATTTCGTCATGGTCCAGCACGCTTCTATATAATTATAATTACACACATGTCGTTTGCTGTCGCAAAAAAGAAAAAGCAAATATCATTAACTTGTACATTATAAATATGAAAGTGTCGCAAGTGTCAATAGGTCATTTTATATACAAGTTCTTTTCTTTCTTTTATTATTGAAATATTTTTTTTTTTCAAATTCCCTTTTTTACCATCTCCTTTGGCACTTGTCCAGATTCCAGGGGAGAAAAATAATAATTTTTTTTTCCTTTTCTCATCGCCAAGAAAAATAATATACAATGTTTATTAATATGAAATTATTTTTTTTTTGATTTCTTATTAACAATAAAATAATAATAATTTATTATTAAATTATTTATAATAAACAGTTATTTTTAATAATTCTTTATTTATTTATTTCGTTTACATCTTTATTAAATTATTAAAAATAATTTTTTATTAAATTACTTTTAATAATTTTTTTTTTCAATAATAAATTTATTATTAAGTTATTAATAAAATTATTGAGTAACAATAATTCTGAAGCAAAAAAAAAAAAATTTATTTTTTTTTCTGATGCAGGTGTGCAATTGGTTTATAAACGCAAGAAGACGCATTTTACCGGAAATGATTCGCAGAGAGGGCCACGATCCTCTTCAATACACTATTTCGCGACGAGGAAAAAAAATGCCCGGAGGAAGTCATCAACAAGCATCAAGTCTCAGTCCACGCGCCACTCCTGAATGGGATCCACTCGCTGGAATGAGTGCTCCAAAACGTAGCCGCGATCATGATTATGAAGATCCAACCGGTCTTATGTATCGGTTAGTATTTATTTCAAAAATAGCGAAAAAAAAAATTTTTCTATTAAAATTAACCATTTTTTCAAATTTTAATTAATTTTTTACCGTTTTTTTTAAAATTTTAATAATTTAAATTTTATAAAACAATTTTTTTATTCAATTTTTATTTATTTAAATATTTATATTAATTAATTGATAATAATAATAATAATAATAATAATAATAATATAAAAAAATAGTATTTATTAATTATTTAGTAGACAAATATTTATTTATCTAAGTATTTATTTGTTTAATTATTTATTTATATATTTATTTATTTAATTATAAATTTATTTAACTATTTATTTTATTTTATTTATTTTAAAAAACATTTTTTTAACATATTTATTTTGTCCAGAAGTGAAGAAGATAGTCCAAATGATTATGAGAGTAGTTCCCATAGCGAAGAGGAACGTCCAGCCTCCCAATGGTCCAGCGTGATTGTCTATCCATATTCGGAGACCAAAGTCGAGCAGAACAATCAGCCAAGTTATGCTGAAGCGATCGCTCATCCTGCCCGACGAGGGTAAGCAGAAAAAAAATTTTTTTTATTACAATATTTTAGTAATTTAACAAATTTTTTTTATTTGCCTAAATGATAAAATTTCAATTTTGTTTTTATTTCAAAATAAAAAAAAAAAAGGAACAAAAATATTTTATTTATAAATTTTTATTTATTGTTTATTTACCAATAATTTATTATTAATTTTATTTATATCTATAATTTATTTATTATTTTTTTTATCAATAATTTATTATTAATTTTATTTATTAAAAATTTGTAATAAATAAATTTCCTGTTTCAAATAAAAAAAAATATTTCTCTAATTGAATAAAAATAAATTCAGTTTAAAAAAAAATCGAATTAAAAAACTAAATTAAATCGAGAAAAATTAATTGGAAAAATTTTGCGTTTAAAAAAATTTGGCTCAAAAAAAAAGAAAAAAAATCGCATTTTCTCGACTAAAAATTGAATTTGCGTAATTTAGGAACGATGACCAATCGACAGTGAGCGAAGCAGCTTATTGGAGTGCGCCGAGGCAACATCTTGCAGCAACTCCGGACGTTCAACAGGAAACCGAGGTGTATAGCACTCACGCATGTAGTCCTCACAGCGACGAAACGCCGCCTCCAACACCACCCGAGGAAGACAAGGACAAATTCAAGTGTCTCTATCTTCTCGTAGAGGCCGCCGTCGCTGTCCGGCAGCAAGAGAAGGAGCGCGAGGGAACCGTGGTTTAACAAAAAAACAAAAAACGCGAACTCAATTGCCATAAAAAAAAACAAAAAAATTTTTTTCCAAATCTTATATTTTTTTTGTATAAGATCATACAAATTTTAATTATTTTCGGTTCTCTATTTTTTCAATTCCGTTGAGAGCCTCGAAACAAATGACGACGATGACAACAACAAAAATAACAAAACGAAACAGATCCGAAATTTTCCATCATCGACTCCAAAACAAAACAAAACAAAAAAAAAAAAGAAAAAATTTAGAAAACGAACTCTCGCCGCTCCATCACTCGCGTGCCGAGGACTTTTTAAAAAAACTAATCTTAATAAAAACTCTTTATAAACATGCGAGCGGTAAAAAATTTTTCATAAATTTTTTTTTTTGAAACAAGAGACATAAACGCTTCCCGTCGAGTCTCGATCGTAGTTTCAAAAAAAAAAAAAAAAAGAACTTCGAACGTGATTCGATGTACTGTGATTATTATTAATTTTTTTTTTTTTTGAAATTCATTTTTATTATTACTATTATATTATATTAATTATTATTAATTTGTTGTTACGCGCAGTTTCTACCCTGACGCGATATCGCGCTTATCATCCTGCTTTGAAGAGAGAAAGAGAGTTTAATGCCAAGAGAAGAGAAATACACAAAAAAGTAAAAAACAAAATAAAATAAAATAGGAACTGCTCGATGTGACCTGAAGAAAAAAAAAATCAAAAAAGTCTTTTTTTTTTACAAAAATTTTGTAGTGAAATTGTGTGAATGTGAGAAAATGAAAAAAAAAATTGAGTGATAATAGTGAGAGTGGAAAAAATATGAAAGAAATTAAAAAAAAAAAAAATATCGATATTAAAGAGAAAAATGTTCCAATTGATTGTAATTTTTGCTCTTCCAATAATAATAATGTGAGAAAAATAAGTGATTTTATTTTTTTTTTTGGTATTTCTAGTTTAATTTTTACGATCACAATTGTGCCTTTATCTATTTGTCAATTAAATATGCTAACTTTAATCGCAAGTAAATTTTTTTTTTCAAATTTTTCGACTACAATTTCCTTTTCTAGTTTTTTTTAACAAATTTAATTAATTCCTTTTTTTTATTTAATATAAAAATTTTTTACTATTTTTTTAAAAATAAATTTTTCAAATTTACTATTTTTTTAAATATAAATTTTTCAAATTTACAATTTTTTTCAATTATTTAAAAAAAAAAATTCGGAAAATTTTCAATTTTTTTTCGTGTGGGTACAACGAGCATTGTCCTTTAAAAAAGCGAATTCTCGCAGGAAGCGCGAATCGTTGACTAGATTTTTAAGGTGAAACTTTCGAAAAATCGAGACTCATGAGTTTTGTTGTTTTTTTTTTTTTTCTTACCTCGAGTCTCGATTTTTTTTTCCCCCCCTCTATCAAGTAAGTTTTTAATTTTTTTTTTTTTTTTTTTTTTTTTCTTAGGTCTTCCGCCCCTCTTATTTTTGGTTCAGGGATTTTTTTCACATTTTACCGTGAGAAGCATTTATAGAAAAGAAAAAAAAAAATTCCAGAAAATTTGTTTTTTATTTTATTTTCTGGAATCGCAAAAAAAAAAACAGTTTTTAATGCAAAAAAAAAAAAAGATATCGTAAAATGATCGGTACAAACGCCAAAGACTTACTTAATTATTAATAATTAAAAAATAAACCGAGTGGTTCATCTTAAAAAAAAAAAAGAAAAAGAAAAAAAACGAGTGAGAGAGAATTTTTGTGTGATTGGTCCTGTATTTTTTTTTCATTACAATACGCAACGATTGACAAGAAAAAAAAACTGCGCGGAATTTCATTCAGCAAAGTTTTTGTGGAATGTACAAAATGAAAAATTATTTTTTAGACTAGAGATCGCTCTTTAGATAATAAGGTCTAGAAATTAAGATTTAGAGTTCTCTTTTACGACGATTTAAAAAAAAAACAAAAAATGCACAAATGATTCTTGTTCGTTGATCTTTTTGCCAAAAATAAAATTTGGTGAAAAGATCTCTTTTTTTTCTACAATTGACAAAAACAAGAATCGAAAATTTAAACGCATTTCGGATCAAAAAAATTAAAAAAAAAACCCCCGAAAACCGATCCAGAGAATTGGAAATTTTTATTCATTCTAACTTCAATGTTATTTTTATAAAACGAAAAAAGAAATTTTTTATATGTACAACAAAAAATTTTTCCAAAAAAAAGGAAAAAATACCAAAAACAAATTATAGAAATAGAAAAAAGAAATATATAAAAATATTATTTTTAAAGAAAACAAATTTTTTTTCGAAACAAACGGCTTTTATAAAATCCCAAAAATGTATAGATATATTTTGAAATTTATTTTCTTTCATTTTTTTTTTTTTTCTGAAATTTTTTATCCCCCTTTTTTAGTGTATAAGGAAAAAAAAGTATTTACTCATTTTGTTATTTTTAAGTATAATTTTCTTTGTATCGGTTTTCTCATTCTTGTATAAAAAAAAACACAATTTTTAATTTCGGAAAAATATCTCAGAAACTCGTCTCAACGAATGGAAACGAATTTTTCTAAATTAGAAAATCGCAAACCTCTTTTTTTTTGTAAATATAGAAAATATTGTGGCGTAAAAAGTGTTTTTTAAAAAAAAGGAAAAGAAAAACGCCTACAGAGAGAGAAAAAATTTTTTTTTTTGAAAGTTTTTTGAAAATAGAAAATATTTTCATATTATATAATATAAATATATATATATAAATAAATATTAGTGATTGCGTCGCTGGTAATTTTTATATTATTAGGCTGTTGAATATTGGCGAAAAAAAAATATAATTAACATTGTTAACTATTGGTAAATATAATATTAATAGAGAGAATAAGAATTGTGTGAAATAGCGCTCTTTGTTTAAAAAAAAAAAAAAAGGTCTCATTGTACATAAAAAGCGAATAGAAGAAAAAAGAGCATCGAATTTTTCGTGATAATTTTCTGTTTTGTTCGATAGTCGGAAAATTTGTTCACTATTTCAAAAATAAATTTCGTATGAAAGAAAAGAAGGTAGAAACATTTTTAGAAAGAAATTTACAAAAAAAAGAAGAAGAAAGAATAAAAAAAAAATTTATAGAACAAATTCAAAAAAAATATATTTTTTTAAGAGGAAAATAAAAGTGTTTTTAAAATTGAAAATCGAGAAATTAAATAGAAACTTTTTTTTTTTTGATTGGAATAGAAAACAAAATTTTCGATCAAAATCAAAAAACAGAAAAAATTATCTCGAATTGTAGTTACATAATATTAAGAGGACAATTTACAAAAATTTTTCAATTTAGTTTTTTTTTTGTTTCCAAAATATTCGATTTTAAATTTTTCATTTCAATAAATAAAATACAAATTTTTAAATTAAATTTACAAAATTAAAAATTTATTATATAAATTTTATATACTAAAACAAAGGTTCATGCAAGCCAAAAAATTTATAATTAAAATTAAATTTCAATAATCAAATATTAAAAGAAATTGAAAATTTGCAAATAATTTTATATTATTTCAAATTGTGAAGCAAAAATAATTAAAAATCAAAAAAAAGTCGACTATCGAAAAAAAAGAAGGAATAAAAATTTTCGTAAATTGTACCAAAAAAAAAATTGGGAAAAAATATTGTATATGTCGAAAAGTCCGGAGAATGAAAAAAAAATTCTTCTTGAAATCAACCAGTTCTCACTGCCGCCATTTTAAATGTCCGAAGTGTCTTTTTTTTATATAAACATATATAAATAATAATATTCAGACAAAAAGCACACGAGGTCTTGTAAATTATTTTTTCGGTTGAAAAAAACAAATTTTTTTTTTTTTATGAATCGAAAAAAAGATTCTCTTATTATATTTATAATAAATATATTTACTCAAATTTTTCTACCATAAATCGATATATATTTAAAAAAAAAAAAAAAAAAATTGCGCTATTGTGTGTTTTTGTAGAGGAATGAGAGAGAGAAAGAGTGAGAATGATCGATAATGTGCCACACGAATTTAGAATATTATTTAACGCCTCGATTGTCTTATAATGCACTAAAAATCATACAATCGACCTTTATAGAGTTCCTATTACACCCCAAAATTTCACCTGGAATTTGTTGGAAAATTTTTCTTTTTTATTAAATAACAATAGAAAAAAAAATTAACTTTTTCCGTTTAAAAAAAGAAAAAAAGAAACTAGAAAACACAATGGGTGCCTTGCTCAGATATAGAAAACAAAATCTACTTTATGTAGTAGAAAAAACTCTCGATTGTTTCCCAATTTTTCTATTTTTAAAAAGAAAATTTTTTTTTTTTTGGAGATTGCCTGTGTCTCTAAAAAAAAATAATTAATTTACATTCTGGACTAATTAATAAGTTCACAGTATTTTCTAATTAATGGATTTAAAAATTAATTAGTTAAAAATATTGATTAATAACTTTTTTGTTTAAAAAATTTTTTGTTTAAAATAATATAAAAATTAATAAATCAGTTATTAATTAATTATTAACAAATTATTAATAATTCAGCATTAATTTGAAATCTTATTAATGAATCCAGGTTTTTAAGCTCAAACGGGGAACCAATCGTGAGCACTAGATTTTAGTTCTCGAACGATAAAACGAGCAAACATTTTTATTCCATTAAAAAAAAAAAAAAATCTCAGGTTTTTTATATTAAAAAAAAACAAATTAATTGAAAGAAAGAGAAACCAAGTAATTTAAAAAATGTTTGCTCGTTTCGAGAAGAAAAAAATAATTGTAAAGACGTAAGCTCTATTTTAAAAAAATATTTTCTTTTTTTTATTTAAAAACGAAATTTTATAGTAATTATATATAATTTTTTTTATTAGTTCACAAAAAACACACTATCAATTTTATACTGAATTATTTTCTTTTTTTTGGTGAAATAACTCGAAATTTGAATTAGTCAAAAAAATTTCTAAATTATAAATAAATATAAATTTTCCGAAAAATATAATTTTATTTATTATTTTTTTTTTTACAAAAAAAAAATTTATGCGATTTTTAATTGAATATATTAATTAAGAATAGAAGAAAATGATTTCTTTTTTTATTATATTTATTAATTATATTCTATTAATTTTAATAATTTAAAAAATTATTGAATGAAATAATATTTATAATTATTAAAATTAAAAATCTTAATTGTTTAATAGTTAATAAAATTATTATTCTTTTTATTCTTAATAATTATTAATTTTTATTAAATATATATTAATTGGTGCAATAATTTTGCCAGTTAATATTAATAATTTTAAAAATAAAAGAAAGTTATTTTTTTTATTTTTAATTAATTTTTATAAATAATTAATTGTTAAATTCAGTTTTAAATTATTTTTTAATTTTACTGAAGATTTTTAACAATTAGTTACAGTTTTTAAGTTGACAATTTCTTTAATATTGTCAATATTTTTTCTTTTCTTTTTTTTTGCTCTTAAACTGCAAAAGTTGTTTTACAAGTTTTTTTTTTTTTTATTACAAAAATGGAAAATTTCAGTTACAATTTAATTATCATAGTCTCTATTTGAATTTTTTTTTTGCTAATTCCAATTTCGAGAATTGTGACGATTCGTAAATTTGAAAAAAAAAATCTTTATTTAAAATTTCAAGTTACTTTTATATTTCAAAAAATTATATTGTTATGTTTTGATTACAGAAAAGTAAATTTAATTTTGAAAAAAAAATAGAAGACGAAGAGCGTTATCTTCCGTTAATATAGAATAGTTGTTTTTTTTTTTTTTGCAGAAAAAAAACTTCTTGTTTCTCTCGTTCAGTACTTAATTCATTGACAGTTTTATTTAATTACTATTATATTAAAATAATGAAAAGTGTTGAGACAAATGGTTTTTTTTTCTTTTCGTGAAGATGAAATTTTGTTTTTCTATTCCTATTATTAAAAAAAATATATATATATATATATGTTAGTTTGGTAACTTTTTTTTTCGTCTTTAAGAAAAGAGACGTGTACATAGAGATTTGAAAATTTGTACTCCAACAAAAAAAAAAAATATTGTATCGTTAGACAATAAAACAACGCTGAATATTATTTACTGTTTACGTATATATAAATATATATATATAATAATTTTAAGTTGAGAAAAAAAAGAAACGCGTATGCATGTACAGGTGCCATATTATAAAAAAAAACAAAAAAAAAAAAATAGTACGATTTTTTCGTTTAATTGCCCACTTTTTAGTTTTTAATGAATGATAAAAAAAATCGTTTTTAGTATATAGTATACATTTTTTTTTCTTTCTCAATTTGTATACACGATTCGTTGTAAAATCAAACAGCGAATCATGATTCAATGATAATATTATTATTTCGTTTAATTTTTTTTGTAATTTTCATATTTTTTTTTTTTTTAGAAAAATTCCAATGATAGCGAATTTTTTTGGGGGAAAAATGTTGAGTTTTTCATTTTTTTAAAAAAATCATTGCATCACGATTGCGCTGGTAATTTAATATTATAAATTAGAATTAATCGTATATTGTATTAAAAATTAAACTATTATTCGATTCGCAGATTTACAATAAAAAAAGAAAAACAAAATTTGTTGTGAATTTTACATAATCAGTGGTGTTTTTTTTTGCCCGTAATGCCATTTCCTATTTGTGTATTTTCTCGGATATAAAATTTTAATTTTTTTTAAAATTAATTGAAGAAAGAGCAATTTCGAATATAAAAACTTTCGAATTTTGTAAATTTTGATATTTTTTGAAAAATATAAAAAATTACCGACACAGAAATCTACCTTACCGACTGATGGTAAAACATTTTTTGAAAAATTAATACACTGGAGACTCCATCCAATGTGACTCTATCCATTGGACACGTTGGTGGCGCGGCGCGGTAAAACGTCGGAGGGTGAAAAATGGGCGTGACTAAACTCAGAAAATAATATTCAGTAGCGTCTGTTTAAAGTGTATCATTGACAAGTTCAAAGTCAAAATGGTCAATAAAATAAAAAAATTATTTTTGACGTTTCAACAGCACTGCTGTCCTCATCAGAAACTAAAATATTTATTAATGAAATAAAAAATATTTATTAATAAATAAAATTTATTAATATTTTACGGTATCAGTGAAAGACCCCATCTTTTTTATTGGTAGTACAGCCCTGAATATTTACAGTTTTCGGCGTAGAGGTTGCGTCAAGTACGAACTCCATCGACTGGACTAAGACTCGAGCCGTCCAGTGGATGGAGTCCCCAGTGTATATAAAAATTACCGACATAGAAATCTACGTTACCGACTGATGGTAAAACGCATTTTTTAAAATTTATTAACCATCTATGTAATTATTTCAATAAATTTCTGAATATTGTAATTTCGGATCTTTCATTTCCAAATCTTGCAATTTCAAATTTTTTAATTTCGAATTTTACAATTTCTGAATCTTGCAATTTTTGAATTTGTCACTTCTGAAAAATATGCACTTTCGAATCTTAATTACAAATTAATCAAAAAAATTAATTTTGTTTTTTTTTTTTAGAAAAATTCCAATGATAGCGAATTTTTTTGGGGGAAAAATGTTGAGTTTTTCATATTTTTTTTAAATCATTGCATCACGATTGCGCTGGTAATTTAATATTATAAATTAGAATTAATCGTATATTGTATTAAAAATTAAACTATTATTCGATTCGCAGATTTACAATAAAAAAAGAAAAACAAAATTTGTTGTGAATTTTACATAATCGGTGGTGTATTTTTTTAATTTTTGCCCGTAATGCCATTTCCTATTTATGTATTTAATGAAATTTTAATTTTTTTTTAATTAATTGAAGAAAAAGCAATTTCGAATATAAAAACTTTTGAATTTTGTAAATTTGAATCATGTATTTTTGAATTTTGATAATTTTTGAAAAATTTATAAAATTACCGACACAAAAATCTACCTTACCGACTGAAGGTAAAACATTTTTTGAAAAATGAATACATAAAAATTACCGACATAGAAATCTACGTTACCGACTGATGGTAAAACGCATTTTTTTAAATTTATTAACCATCTTTGTAATTATTTTCGATTTCAATTATTTTCAGTATTTAAAAGTTTAAAAAAAAAATTTGAAATTGTCTTTTCCAGTTTTCTAAAAATCCTTTTTTAGAGTTTTCGAAATTTTCAATAAATTTCTGACTATTGTAATTTCGGATCTTTCATTTCCGAATCTTGCAATTACAAATTTTGTAATTTCAAATTTTACAATTTCTGAATCTTGCAATTTTTGAATTTGTCACTTCTGAAAAATATGCACTTTCGAATCTTAATTACAAATTAATCAAAAAAATTAATTTTGTTTTTTTTTTTAGAAAAATTCCAATGATAGCGAATTTTTTTGGGGGAAAAATGTTGAGTTTTTCATATTTTTTTTTAAATCATTGCATCACGATTGCGCTGGTAATTTAATATTATAAATTAGAATTAATCGTATATTGTATTAAAAATTAAACTATTATTCGATTCGCAGATTTACAATAAAAAAGAAAAACAATATTTTTGCCCGTAATACCATTTCCTATTTGTGTATTTTCTCGAATATGAAATTTAAATTTTTTTTAAATTAATTGAAGAAAAAGCAATTTCGATTATAAAAACTTTCGAATATTGTAAATTTGAATCATGTATTTTTGAATTTTGATATTTTTTGATAAAATATAAAAAAATTACCGACACAGAAATCTACCTTACCGACTGATGGTAAAACATTTTTTGAAAAAATGAATATATAAAAAATTACCGATATAGAAATCTACGTTACCGACTGATGGTAAAACGCTTTTTTTAAATTTATTAACCATCTATGTAATTATTTTCGATTTCAATTACTTTCAGTATTTAAAAGTAAAAAAAAATTTGAATTTGTCTTTTCCAGTTTTCTAAAAATCCTTTTTCTAGAGTTTTCGAAATTTTCAATAAATTTCTGAATATTGTAATTTCGAATCTTTCATTTCCGAATCTTGCAATTTCAAATTTTGTAATTTCGAATTTTACATTTGCACTTTCGAATCTTAATTACAAATTAATCAAAAAAATTAATTTTGTCAAAAAAAAAAATAAAAAAAATTTACTATAAAAAATAACGGAGTCTATATATACAAGTTTATAATTAATGACGATAGTGATGAAAAAATTAGAATTAAAATAAAACAATTATTTTCTAAAAAATGAAATTATTTGTTTAAAGGAAGTAAATGAAGATGTGTATCTTCATTTTCCGGAAGAGATTGTATATAAACCCACACATGATACACAACCACGCGATATAGTATACGTGAATCTTGGTCAGTGGTTCTCTGCGTGCATGACCTTGTGCCTTGGAGGGGAAAATAAAATTGAAGTATAAAATGAAGAAGAAGACGAAGAAGAAGAAGAAGGAGAAGGAGGTATACGTTGAAGAATCAAGCAAATACATTTGCGAGCAACTTTTAAACACCTTCAGTCGGTTGAACACAGTACTCGCGATTCGTTACCCAGAACAAATTAATTTTTCTGCACACATTAATTTAGAAAAAAAAAAAAAGAAATAATTTTCTCTTTTCTCCTATCGTCAAAGGTCTCTTTACAGTGCTTCCTTTCAGGATACAGTGTATTTAAAAAAAAAAATTTGTTTTTAAATAAATTTTTATAAATTCTTTTTTTTACAATTTTATAATTTGCTATATATTTAAATTGAAAAAAAAAATTGAAAATTGTCGTTACAATGACGAGTGAAAATAAAATAAATGAGAATTTTAATACAAAGTGCTGGAGAGGATTCAGTTAAAAGACACACGTGCTTTTCTTTTATATTTTAAATGTGAGGGAAACGATAATTCGAATGTGCACGTGCTTTTATAAAACGTGCGGGGAAATTAATGAATTTCGAAGATAAAACGAGAATTTTCCTATTTTTGGCCTTTCGATTTGAAATTGGTGAGTTTTTCCTTTTTTTTTTTTGATTAAATTGCGGTTTTTTAGTATTAAATCAAAATTCAGAATAGGAGAATAGATTTTTGCAAAATAAACGCTATTATTATAAGAATTGAAAATTTCTTCGATAAATAAACATTTTTATAATAATTTTTGAATTTTTTTTATTATTTTTTGTATTTTTTTAAAATTATTATTATTTATATTTATTATTTACATTAGTATTTGAATGTTTAAAAAAATTTTGAAATTGTCTTTTCCAGTTTTCGAAAAATCCTTTTTTTTCTCTTCAATTTATCGATATTTTAATATTTTTAGTCAGCTTCCACTAAAATTTTACTAAACAAAAAATTTATTTGATTCAAATAATCATTTAACTATTATCAAATAAATATTTCTCTCTACCAAATAATTTTTATATAAATTAAAGAAATTGTATTTGCTTCAATTATAAAATTTATTTGTTCAAATACAATTTATTTAGTTCAAATAAAAATTATTTGTTTGGTTGTAAATATTAATTTAATAATAGTCAAGTAACCGATTATTTGAATCAAATAAATATTTTTTCTGTGTATTATTATTTATTTATCAATAATTTTTCTCTACTATTTATTTATTTTATTTATTTTTGTTTTTTATTTTTTTTTTATTTAAAAAAAATGTTTTGTAAAATATTTTCCGAATTTATAACATGAGAATTAATAGAAATAAATTTTTATTTTGTAATTTTAAAAATGAAAATAAAGAACAATGTTGCAAAATACTCGGATCATTTTCTGATACCGTTGAAATAAGTCGTGTTGTGAATTGTTACATTTCAACGAGCCAGAGACTTTTCCACACTGGCACTGGTTCTCCAATGAAAGAGTTCGATTAGTGCCCCCGGGTGGTATTGCTGCGCTTAAATCACTTTCAAGCTCCTGGTATAGAGATAGGAACGTTGCAACTAAGAGTATATAGTATATATCTATGATGAATCTAGGGAAACAAAACGGCAGTTTTCCGGACCTGTTACGTTTTATGATCCGCAACACAATTGTATAACATGTATATCAATATATATAAAAAAAAAAAAATTCGGAAAGATATTTAACAAAAAATTTTTTTAGCTTTCGAAATTTTTACTATAATTTTTAGTAGTTTTTTTTTTTACTAAAACTACAGTAAAATAATATTACTAAATCAAATAGTAATATTTTACTAAAAATTAGTAAAAAAAAATCTCAACTAATTCTGAGTCATTTTTTCCTAAAACTTTAGTAAAAAAATATTACTGAATCAAATGGTAATATTTTACTAAAAATTAGTGCAAATTTTGACGTTAGTATTAAATTTAAAGAAAAAAAAATTTGAAATTGTCTTTTCTAGTTTTCTAAAATCCTTTTCTTTCTCTTCAATTTTTCGATATTTTAATATTTTTAGTCAGTTTCCACTAAAACTTTAGTAAAAAATATTACTAAATCAAATAGTAATGTTTTACTAAAAATTAGTGGAAATTTTGACATTAGTATTGAATGTTTAAACAAAAATTTGAAATTGTCTTTTCCAGTTTTCTAAAATCCTTTTTTTTCTCTTCAATTTATATTTTAGTATTAAAATTTTATCAAAAAAATTAATTATTTTCGATTTCAATGACTTTCAGTTTCATTTATATAGTTATTTCTGTTAATATTAAATTCTGTTTTCTTTTTTTATATTATTTTTTCATTTTCTATGTATGTGAACCTATATTTCAAAGTTGATGAATTCTAAAATTTGATATACTTTTGTTTCTTTGTAATAAATTTTTTTTTATTAAATTATTAAAAATAAAAATTTAATATATAGTGCACCACCCTTTAGAGTTAACGGGTTTTAATGATCGGTAGTTTCTGGATTCTTTCCTTGCAGCATATATTAAATTTCACATTAACATTATCCTTGGGATGGATCAAAAAAGATTTTTCTTTCTCTTTTTTGAAATTTCAATAAAAAGAGTCGTCTCAGTTAATGAAAAACCTAGAAAATATAGAAAATATTAAATAGTTGACGGTAATATTAAAAAAAAAATTATAAATTATATTGAACACTGAAACCTGTAAAATATATTTTTTTTAATTTAATTTATTCACACATTATAATTATGAAAAAGTAATTGAAAATGGAAAAATACAAACGTTAATTTCTCCTTTTATGTGATTATTGTTCTTCTTCTTCTTCTTATGGTGTTTAGATCAGGAGAAAAACTCGTCAAATCAAAACAATCACACATAACCTAAAAAAAAATTGAAATTATTCTTTTTAAAAAAAAAATTCACCAGGCAAATTAAAATATTGAAATAAAATGCTTAAATGAAACACGAGGCAATATAAAATATAAATCATTTCTAAAATTTGCATATCTCGCTAGGAGATATATAGAATGAATTCATTTTGCATATATATACATTCGTAACTGTCATATGAACGAAAAATGTTATATAGAAATAAACGTTGAGGGGGTCAAATCGTTTTGACCGAAGAATGTCATTTTTTTAAATTTAATTTCTTGGATACCAAAGCACGTTGGTCCGGTTTTGCTTCTCGGTCATTTTACCCCATTGGTGTGTTTGTATATGTATATATATATATATATATATATGTATAAAGGTCTGCGGTCGTTAAATAATAAACGCTTGTAACGATTGTGCAAGGTTGTTGCTTATCTTCTTCGCGATCCGCTAGGTCGTCTCGACAACTAAACTGAGGAATCCCCCTTCGGAGGAAACTCAAGAACCCCGGAGCCATAATAAAAGTTGACTCGCTACATCGCGCGCAGCAACTGGGCCATTCTCATAATAATCCTTATAATCATAGCCTTCCTTCCTTACGTCAGAATTTTTTTTTCTTTCTTTTTTTTACACTCCCAAATAATTTACCTTCTCTTCTTCTCTTAATTAAATAATTCTAAAAAGAAGAGATAAATTTAATCATCATGAAAATTATTTTTTGTCTAATTAAAAAATAAATTAATTTTAAGCATAATTAGCTAAATTTTATAGTGTTTTTTTGGTTGACAAATACTTTTTTCCATACGGGGAAAATTTATATATTTTATTGACTCGTTAATACCCAGGGATTAATTAAAGGTGTGAGATAAAATCCATCCTAATGGGAATTTAATGATGATTCATATAACTAGCTAATATTAATTGCAAGAATTATGTAATTATATATATTCTTTCACAGTTTTTCGCATATACAGGACAAATTAGAATATAAATTTATTTCGCTAAAAATATTTAAAATTTCTCTTTTACATTTTTTTAATTGTTCAATTAAGGTCACGCGCATATATTTAGTTTATAAATTTTGTACATATTGGCAATATTTTATATAAATTAGTGAGACAAGTTCTAATTAGGATACAAGAAGTATTTGAAGAAAACCTAAAACTATTGACATTTTGTAACAAGTTATGCTTGAAAATTTTTTCACTAAAAAATATTTTACGACTTTCTTTTTTGCTCTTATTTTTATGGAAACAAAATCAAATCATTTAAAATCAAGAATAGAAATCGCGAAAAAATTTACGCTAAAGAATTCGGAAATCGTAATAAATTGCAGAATATATGAATATTTTGAAACTATCCGCTTATTTTATATGGATTGAAATTCCTGCAACGTTTTGGTTGCAGTATCGTTCACGAATAGCAGTTTTTTAATATCTACGTGCGACGAACTCCGGATGTCGTTGTCTTCAATATAGAGATATGTAACTGATTTTTTCCTTCTTCTTCTTCTTTTTTTTTTTTTTTTGGAATCAAGTTAAGCACGCGATCAAAATCTCATGACCTTGTTGAAATTCTTCTGGTTCATATGCATATATATATGCTTGTTATATACCTATATATGACGACGATACTTAATTTTGTTATAAAATCAACAACCAAACCGCCTTCAGTTAACGAGATCCAGAAATCAAGGAAGCGGTTCTTGTCAATTTTGTCCGAATCGACAAGTAGCGATGCTCTTGTTTCCAGAGCACGTTTCAAACACCATGAATATTCGCGACCAGTTTTTTTCAAGCAAAAAAAGTCATTTAAAATTGAGGGAAAAACGGCTTTTTTAAATTTTTTTTACCCTTTTAAAATGTGTATTAATTGTGAGAAAAAAAACAAATCGATTCTATGTAGCATACTACTATGATTGAAATCGCTATACCGACAGTAATAGTCAATAATCATTTGAATTATTATTGACTGTAACCATCGCATGCAACTACCATATTACAACCATCACCCCATGCAACTACTACTACTACTACAATACAATAATTTTTTTAATTTTATTTTTTTTAATTATGTAAAATTGTCTTTTAAGGTTTTCAAAGAACCACTTTTTCAAAACTTACTGTAATAACAAACATAATTGTTATAAATTCGGTTTTGAAACTTTTTCCGCACTTTGCAAAATTGTCTTTTAAGATTTTCAAAAAAAACCATAATTATTGTAACTACCATAGTTGGTAGCAGTCAACAATTATTTTCGTAGATTCGAATGTCTTTTCAGGTTTTCAAAAATTTTATTTGAAGTACCGTAACAATAACCGCAATGTTATATTCAGTAACTATCTACCAATGATAATTATTATATTGTAAATTCATTTCTGAGATTTCTAATATTTTGAAATAAAAACTTTATTTCTTGATTACGCTGGTCAAACTAATATCAATCATTGTAACTATTTTACTATCACTTTAACAATATAAACACAGGGTAAAAAAAATTATAACGACGTACACAAATACTACACAAGTCACACACAAAATATTCTTCTTTTCTTGCTTTTCACCAGAATTTAGTTTATATATTAAAAATGTTTTTATATTGATTAACAATAATAATATAATAACTTAAATTTTTTCAAAACTAAATTTAAAAATGAATTAGAGTAAAATAATTTTCCAATTTAACATTGACTAGTTTCAGCGAAAAGTCCTCTATGGTTTCGTGCCTCGAGAAAACCGTAAGGTGTTCATCTCTCTCACGTTCACTTTCACTGCGAAGCAACGAGCATGACAAACCTCATAAGCACATTTATAAGATTTATCAACTGGTGTATCTAGAAAAAAAGAAGATAAAAAAGAAAAATGTAAAGCAAAGATACACGACAAAATTACAGGAAAAAAACACATAAATATTAATAGAGAGTAAAAAGCTTTGAATAAACATTTTAACTTAATTGTTAATAACTAAATTCTAAATATTTAGAAGTACTCAAAATTTGGAAATGGTAAAAAAAATTGCCAAAAATCTTCTCTTAATAATTATTTGAAAAATAATACTAATTAATTTGAATATGACAAGAGGATTAAAAATTCCATCGCCGCAAGAAAAGATGGAATTGAAATTGACAAAAAGTTGTAAATTGATTTTTCATATAATGAGCCATTGGAAATATGATGTAAAGAGGCGCGATTAATATGATGATGCGTGAGTGAGAGCGAGAATGATGTGAAAGGCAAAAAAAAGGGACGGAGACTCTTTCATTATAAATGGATAAAGTGGTTATAATATAATCGGGGATCTTGTGTGTTTGTAATGCATGTAAGCAATTTGAAGAAGCCTCAAGTCTGCAAGAAATCCTCTTAGTACAATAATCCACAGTTCATTCCCCCCTTTGTACTGTGTTTTTACACTAAAAGTCACCCAAACACATACATATCTTCTTTCATATTATAATCCCTAAAAAAAAATTGGAAAAAATTACTCATACCTATTTCAAAATGTTTTTTATTTTTATTGAAATTATTTCTAGAATTTAGAGAATTTTTTTCTCTGTTTTTTGGGGGAATTTCTTTGAACACGTAAAGTCGCACGATAAATGATTATAATGACAGAATGTAATGCGGAAAAAGAAGTGACTTTTTGGACGTTCCAGTTTCAGGCGTGTGTAACGGTCCCTCAAAAATTAAAAGGACTCGAATCAAAGGTCCGCTTTTTTTACGAGCGTGCCATGACCATATTAAATATATATACAGGTGCGAAAGGATAAAACAGGCTTGAGTGCATCGACTCGTAACTGAAAGATGAGATAAGACAATTTTTTACTTTGCTAACAAAGTGAACTTACGCAATATAATAAATTCGCCAAATATCCTAAAAGTCTGCAAATAAAGATTTAAACTAATTCGTTCTGATTGGTAGAATAAAATTGTTCCTACTATTTTTATAGTCAGTATTTTCAGATTAGGGTTAAAGGGCCCAAAAATTTTTTTGCAGAAAATAAAAACAGAAAATAATTTCTTGTTAATTGTATTGCAACAAAAGAAAATTTTCAATATTATGCAAATTTGTTTCTGAGTAACGTATAATTTAAAACACACTTTATAAATCTAAATTATGGTTTAAATACGGGTTCGTAAATGTACATGAGGAGCAATTGAGGAAAGACAGACAGATCTAAGATTCTAAGCATCATGCAGGCATGGCTATTATGTCGAATATTCTGATTTTGTCTATTTTTACAATACTCTTTTTCCTGCTTTTATCCAGGTGAGCGAGGATATGACGAAAGCAGTGGGTAATGTATTATGTATATATAGATCATTTTCCCATCCCAGTATTTATATACGTACACACACATATATATATATAAACTTCCACTTGCTTGAGAAACTTAAGGACAAGTCGTGTGGACCAGGTCTGGCCTCAGGTGGAAGACCAGTTAGTCTCTTTAACTAGTTAACAGTATAAAACCGACGATTCACCCATATTACGTGAACGTTATCCATGCTGACTATATGAAGGGAAATTACAGGAATCTTTTTTTACCCACTGGAAATCGAACCGATTATTAAGAAATTTTGTTTTGGAAATTTTAGTTTGGTGAAATCATTTGGGTTTTTCTTACAGTCTGCAAACTTATGATCGGTTTCTTAGGATTTGAACCATCATCCTCTTTCTTTTGTTGCAACACTGCACCTAAAATTGCAGTAATATTGCCAAAATTATCTAAATATTTCGGTGATTTTTGAAATTTTTGAATATTGAGATAATGTTGCCAATATTGCTGCAAGTTTAGGTGCCGTTTAGAGATAAGCCTATCTTTATATAACCAATTTCTACGAACCTGTCTGCCTTGATCGGTGACTACAACTGCGAGTTTCATCCCTTGACGGTTGGGTCCTGGACTGTCAGCTTCCCGTCTTCTCGAGGTTGGACTTCTGCTTCCTGGGTAAGGCAATCCAAATCGGAGATCATTATTGTTCGATCCATCAACTCGACTTAATTTTTTAGTTTTGCGAACTCTTTTGATGATCTTTGCTATCGAAGCCTATTCAGTTGGAGTTGTATCCGATTTTGATCAGGAGGTGTCCCTTTTTTCTAGGTCTTGCACTTTCCCTTGACGACTCTGGTCACCATTGATGATCCTCTCGTCACCTTTTTCACAAAACCTCGAACCTGTTACAATTCATCTCCGCACTAGAAACAAATACACAATAAATAAATTAAAAATACGAAATTGACCCAGAATTAACAATGGATTCTCATTGTCATCTGGAAAATCGAGAGGGACAACATACATCGCAATGGAGAACGAGACGAGGAAAAAAAAAACGTCAAGTGCTACGTCGCGAATACTAATTACGCCCTCTATATTTTCGAATCGATTGTATATATTGTAAATGTAAACTAGCCAATTCCAAGTTAGGCGCCAGAAAATATATGTTGCTTACTTTCTTATATACCAAGGGGAGACTTTGCATTGATACGAGTCACGTTCATCGATCATTTAAAACGTTTTCCAACCGATACGTCTTTTCAATGATTGCTTCTGCAATACTAATTATATTCCACTATATACAGTTTCTATTTGTCGCGGTTATTGTACACCTCTTTCTTTTAAAATTATTCGAAAAAGTAAAAAAAATAATATTCAAAATTTTATTTCTGTCAGAAATATGTAGATTTGATATTTAAAACACATGTTCCAATTATGTGAGAATTTTAATCACTTAGTCCACTCTCATTATTTTAACAGTTGGGATAATAATTTTGATTTTGTTAATCAAGTGTATATATATATTTTTTTTTTATGAACGCTTTTGTCCGTGTTTGCCGAGCCGTAATTCCATCTTGGAACAAATCCGTTAGAATAGCTCTCGCAAAAGCTGTTATCGCGTTGCACTTTTATATATGTCTGCACTTGTAAACACACAATTATACATCAAAGATTCATGTCGAATTGAATCAAATTTATAATTAGACGAAATTCATGATCTGAGATATGTTCTTTTTTGCATTTTATTGCCAATAACTGGATTTGTTTATTATGAAAAAAAAGTAATGTTTTATTTTAATGAAAATTTATGTAATGGAAGTTTTTGTCAATTTTTTTTCAGAGAGACGATGATGCGAGTGATAATAATGTTTTGTTTTGGTCTAACGACCCTGAGGAATTGTTACTCATCAGAAACTGAGGATAAGGAACATCATCGTCAAAAACGACTTCTTTGGATAACAAACGATGGGAGGATAGCATTACCACCGGGTACAATAATGACTATCACACCAACATTAGCATTGCCATTCGTTAGATATCCTCCTTCGGGATTTTTGAGTAACATGACTATCAGTTTACCCTTCACCAGTAAGTTTTCCATAAATTTTGGATTAACTATTTTAATAATAAAACAATTTTTGTTTTTCAAAAAAATTCTGAATGACTCTTGTTACTATTTTGAAATCACTACTGTCAGTAACAATAATCATTTGAATTACTATTGACTGTAATCACCGCATGCAACTACTATATTGTTACCATAACCCCATGCAACTACTACTACTACTACTACTATACAATAATTTTTTTTAAATTTTAGTTTTTGAATTATGTAAAATTGTCTTTTAAGGTTTTCAAAGAACCACTGTTTCAAAACTTACTGTAATAACAACCATAATTGTTATAGATTCGGTTTTGAAACTTTTCCCCCGCTTTGTAAAATTGTCTTTTAAGGTTTTCGAAGAACCACTGTTTCAAAACTTACTGTAATAACATAATTGTTATAAATTCGGTTTTGAAACTTTTTTCGCGCTTTGCAAAATTGTCTTTTCAGGTTTTCAAAAAATAATTTTATTTGAAGTAACAATAATCTCCAAGTCTTTCTCAACTTGTAAAATTTTGATTTTATTTTTCAGTTGACTTTGACAAATTGGGTTTGACGGACAATGAAAATCCTTATGGAGCGTTACCAACTGTTTTTGACAGAGCAATGAAAAGTCGACAAGCCGGAAGAATGATGGCAGATTTTATTGCCACATTTATTAAACGTCGATTTCATAAACGAGAAGCACTCCAAGTGCCAAAGAATGCGTTTCATGGTGGTGAAAGAGCTCTTCTTTATGGTACCGCTGAAGATATGCTAAGTACATTAGGTCTCGATGGAAAGGCATGTCTTCTTCGGGCAATTTGTGAAGTACAAGGTCATCCTTTTGATAATTTTGGACTCGTTGGCGAAATGTTGAAATTATTTTTCACGTAATAATCAATTTACCTCCAAATAATTCTCTAACCATTTCTCGACTTTTTTTTTTTAATTTTTTAAAAAAATTTTTTCCAGAGCGAGTAAATCACCTTTTGCCAATATACTTCACGAATATGTCGAAGCAGAAAATCGTGGAAAAATTGATGGTGAATGTTGGCCTTATTTTAAGGATTGTCCAAAATCATTGTTCCTTCCATCTGAAAATAAATACACGTTAGTATTTTATCTATTATTAATTTTTGGATATGAAAAAAAAAAATTTAATTTTCTTTATTTCTATCAGAGAAAATGCGACTCACGATGGAAAAGATCACGATTCAGAGATGATCACAAATGAAATTTACAGCAATGATGAAGAAAAAAATGAGGAGCTGAAAGTAATGAAGAGGCCGGATGTACAAAGTACGAATTATGCTCATCCGTCGATGTAGATTTGAAAAAAAAAAATTAGTTTTCAATATTCAAGTGATACATCAAAGTGATATCAAAGTGACAATTTAAATAGATTTGTAAAAGTGTATAATGAAAGGAAATGCGAATTTTCTATAGAATTTATATATAAATAGCGAAACTATATTATTATATAGGAATGAAAAAAATGAAATTTAATATCGTTACCGATAATTTAAGCGGGACTTAAAGACAATTTTCTTTTTTTTAGCAATTTTTCAATTATTTTATAAGTTACGAAAAAAATTATTTTGTAAATATTTTTTTATGTAAATTATGAAAATTGTAATTAAGGGCATAGTTTTTAATATTTTTTTTTTACAAATATGTATAGATAATTTATGAACAAATATTTAATTTTTAATGTTATTTAATTAATTTTTTTTTCTCATAATATGAAAATTACAATTTTTAGAAATTTTATTAATTTAATATTGTTACTACATAATCGCCATATTAGAATCAAATATTAAAATATTTCTATAATTTAATGAATTTTAAGTATGTGAATATTTATTATTAATTATAAGACATAACAATTTATATAAATCGTCTTTTATTTATTATTTTTTTTTTACTTTAAATGAATGAATGAAAGTATATTATAAAAGCAGCTCTACTCTATTGTTGAATTAAATTTAATTTCGCATTTAAAAAAAATTGTTATATATTTGTATATCTAATGTACAGATTTAGATCAACTTGAAATTTAAGGTACATGATTTAAAAAAACGAATGTTATCAAAATATATATGGACTTAATAAAACAAAAATTGTTAACAATAATTATTTTTACTTTGTATATTTATTTAGTTTTAGAATTAAAAAATTAATTTTTGTATTTTAAAACAAAATATAATATAATTGACGCCTTAACATAACCTCAAAACTGAATAATAGTTTTTACTGCAAACAAATAAATTTTCATAATTAAATGTTTTAAAATTGTTTGAAATGTAAGGCACTTGGCCGATTCGTAACAAATAAAACGTGCGTAATTTTAAATAGTTTATTTCGTATATTCGGAAAGTTTTTATAAGCGTACATAAAATTGACGGCGTATCTTCAAAAACATCAAAACGGAAATTACCTCTTCCGGAAGTCTCACTCCAGCGCCTACCCTTCTCTCATTCTCCACACAAAAATCGCGGGATATTTAAGTAAAAGAATATATTGAATAAAATGCTTACAGAAATTAATATAAAAAAATTTTTTTTTGCCTTAAAAACTATTTTTCTGTTTTGAGGTTATGTTATTTAACCGAAATTTAGTATTTTATTTCACTTTAAAAACTATTTTTAACATTTAGAAAAAGAATATTGAGAATATAAAAACTTGTTCAGTTACTGTGAAAATTGTGAAAAATGTATATAATTTGAATTTTTGAGGTTATGTTTACGAAAAGGTAAACAAAGCAGATACATTTATGAATTTTAGATTGTGTTTTTCTTCACCTTTTCAAAACATTGATTTAGAATACATTTTTCTTTCAGTTTTTCAATAAAATTTACAAACCACTGTACATTTTCATATAAGGTTATTCAAGTTGGGTGGGGGAAAGCCAAGATGGTTGCTTGCTGGTGCACCTATCAGCCTATCAGCATTCATTCCCATGAGAAATTTCTCGTGGGAATGAATGCTGATAGGCTGATAGGTGCACCAGCAAGCAACCATCTTGGCTTTCCCCCACCCAACTTGAATAACCTTATTATACATAAAGTTGCTCGAAACATTGTGAATCGTTTCTTATGTCATGGCGTAACTCCAACTTCCGGTCGCTTAAATAAAAAAAGTTTTTTAAATTCAAATTTTTAACAAAAAAATTTTTTTGGTGAAACAAAAATTGGTACAAATTAAATTTTAATTTTAATAAATAATTAAAAGACAATTTTTTTTTGATTTATAATCGTTTATTTTTTGTTTCATCGTTAGGTACTGTGACGTTTTACACAAGGCTGCACCATACACCTTATGGAATTAAGGTGGTGCAAAAGTTATATATGAAGGTCGTATAACAATACCAATTTAACCGGCGCAGACATGGAACGATTTTTCTTTCTGTGTGGCACATGGATCGCTAATTTAAGCACATAACAAATATTGGAGCGTTTAGAGAGGTCCTTTTTTTTTGCACAAATTGCCTAAAAAAAAAAAAAAAAATCCATACATAGAGGATACTTTTCTACAGCCACGCACTAATATATCGATTCCACGTAAGCGAATTTCTATTTTTTTTTATCTCCAAGTAATCTTGGACTTAGACGTTTAAAAATGACAAGGTTTATTTTTTTATTGATTGTATATTATCACCATGAAGATCCCTTTGAAAAAACATGTTTTTTTTTTGAAATTAATTTTACTAATATATCTACACCTACACAATTTCTTGTATTTTCCAAAGGCATTTTTACTATTTATATATATATATATATGTTTATATCATCGCTTTTTCAACAATATATTTCTACAATGTCCCTTTTTCTTTTTTTTTTCACTGAAAAGAAATATTGGAGAATATAATTGGAAATTATATTATATTTTACAAATTTTTTTTATCGAAAATTGTTTTCCGACTTTTATTTACAGATTTTTTTTTTTTAAACAAAAAATGATTCAAAATTCTAGGATTAAAAAGAGTATTTTTTTTCCTCTTTGAGTTTTTTTACTCCCTAGGGTTAAAATGACTCTTTTTACTCCCGAGAAATAAAAAATAATTTTTTTTCGAAATATCGTCAATATTAGCGAAAAAAAAAAAATGATCGATGTGAGATATTAATTTGCTAAGGGACATTATATTTCTACAAATTTTTTTTTTTCCATATTCGTGATGGCGCACAAGTCGAGATTTTTTTCTTTTCTTTCATTATATTTACAGGCACTATTCAAAAAACGATTCTCGACTTTGCTTTCATACTTTTTCACTCATATACACACATTTATACACTGTTTAGGTCTTGTGGGAGATTTTTCTTTTTTCAAAAATTTTTTTTTTTTTTTTTTTTGGTTTTATTTTCCATACAGTGACGAATTACTATATATGTAATATGTATATACGTTGTTTTAAAGCTTTTTCTTTCAGAGACTATCTATTATATATGAATTTGTTTTGGAAAGTTTACTCGTGCAGAGCAGATTGTTCAGATGCGACGCGCATTCTGCTCTGAACAATGCCACTCAGAAATTTTTGTAACTTATCTATATATATATGAATATATTATCTACTACCCGTTTTCAAATGTCGACCAAGAGTCTTTTTTTTTTTTTTTTCTTTTTATTCCAAAATATTTTCAAACTTAATACATTAAGAGAGAAAAAAAAAATTTTTCCATCAACCTTTTTTTTATATGTTAATAATTAATAAAAAAAAAATTAAAATATATTAATAATTAATAAGAAATCAAAATTAAAATTTGTTAATAATTAATAAAAAATCAAAATTAAAATATGTTAATAATTAATAAAAAATCAAAATTAAAATATGTTAATTATTAATCTAAAACAAGATCAGAAACGACCTTCTTTTCTCACTAGAGCGAAAAGTGATTATTTTTCCCCCAAGGGTGAAAAAAGATCATTTTACTCCCTAGAGCCAAAAAAAGGTCATTTTATAACTCACAAATGAAAATTCAGTAAAATTCTAAAGACCTTGGCCGACTATTTAGTAAGTTTTTTTTTTTAATTTAAGGTCGTTTTCCACAACCACGTGATCCACGTATTTATTTTTTATTTCTTTTGTAAATACGAATAGACAAGAGACGGATTATACGAATATTAAGAAAAAAAAAAATTTCCATCACCGCCGCGTATATACGAAAGAAATTATTATTATTATTATAATTATTATTATTATTGTGGACAAAGATGTTAATAAGCGCATGTGATTGAACGATATTGTTTATATGATTGAAGTGAATTCTATTTTCGTGTAATAATTAAAGCGAGAAAAAAAGAACAATCAAGTTGCTCATTTTATCCGCGCTTTGAAAATTTATTTTTTTTTAATATATATATATAGAATTTTATACAAAAATATCGTCGATATAATTTTAGCCGAATTTTGTAAAATTATCAACATATTATTTTGATTTTCTTGTTTTTTTTTTTTTTTTTTGATTCTAAAAATGCAATTTTTATCATGTACGAAAAATTTTTTTTTTGTCTACTAAAAAATTGAAGCTTTTTTTTTTACTTCAATTTTTTCAGCTAACTTTAAGGGGAGGAATTAGTGAAATTTATTTATCGATATTATTGAAAATTTATTAATTTATATAAATTTAAAAAAAATATTTACAAGTTAATATAAAGAGGAAATTTCATTTTTATGGAAATTTTAATAGAATTTAGATTTAAATTTCTCTCCTATAATTTCTATTACTTTTTCCTCGATAATTTTATTTTTTCTTTCTAATTTTTAATTTTATTTATAATTCTGTGGAAAAATTTACATATATTTTCAAAAAATAAAAAATCTGAAAATGGTGAAAAATAATTTATTTAAAAATTTTAATAGAATAATTTTTTAAATAGCAATATTTTTTATCGAAGTTAAAAGAAAATTTGACGAAGATAAATATAAATTTTGTTGAGATAAAATTTCACCAGTCCCATCCCCTTAAGATGTTTGTTTGTATTTTTCAAAAAAAATTTTTGTTTAAGCTTTTTCAGCTTATTAAAAATGTCTTTTCAATTACTCAAAAAATGTTTTTCTTTTTTTTTTAAGAATGATGGAGGCCCTAATTAAACATAAAAATTGAAAAATTATTTTTAAACTTTTTAACGTAAACAAAATTTTTAATAAAAATTAATTTCAAACAATTATAGAATATTTAATTATACTAATTTTTTAATTATATATTAATTTTTATATAATTAATACTAATAATTATTTAACACATTTTTTCAAAAAGTGTATAACAAGATCCTATAAAGTTGGAAATTAATTTTTATTAAAATTTTACATTAAAAACCATTTTTCAATTTTTAAGTTATGTTAGGCCCCTGCATTCTTCTTAAGGGTATGTCAAAGTTGTGTCAATTTTAACATTCGATTACCATTAAAAAAAAACTGGAACAACTTTTACATGCCATTAAATAATTCTTTTTTTTTGGTTTTTTAAAGCCATTTTAGCTTATTTATTCTCCAGCTTATTTATTCTCAACTTGCTCAATATTATTTTTTCTAGTTGATTTAATATTCCTTAATTTTTTTTTCTCACCTTTTATTTAGTTTTTCCATCTCAGTTTCACTCCTTTATTCTCCTTTTTTTGTTTTCTTTTCCCTCTTAGTGATCACGTCACTTATATTTTTATGTTTCTTCGGTGTTTTACATAAAAAGTCAAATGTTTTTACAAAAAATACACTCGACTTTTTGACAGTGTGTATGTTTCTCCCGCTACAAAGTTTTTTTTTCTCTACAATTTTACAGATCCCAGTCGCGAATGCAGTTCCAGTACATTCTATTATATAATGTGCAGAATTCTTCTTTTTCTTATAGAAACAACTATTATTATTTATTCATTATTATTATTATTAATATTATTATTATTATTATTATGACATCAATTCCCGCAGCTGACGCCGCAAAATTTCCAGTTAATCTACGCGTAGAAAACAAAGCTAATTTTTTTCTTTTTTTTCGTTTATTTATTTTTTAGAAAAATCGACCGATTGTGTGATTTATTATTATTTTTTTTTTTCTTTGGCAGCATGAAAAAGCGAAGAAATATTTATGTGACCGTTGAATTTTTCTTCTAATTGTTTGCGAGAGATAGATAGATAGAGAGAGAGAGAGAGAAAGAGAGAAAAATGGGATCGAACTGTTTCACTGCCAATATTTTGCATCATTTCCCTTATATATCGAACGAGCGAATGGGAAAAATTGATTGCAATTACTTTTCTATCTTTTGTGTCTCTAAAGACGAATATTTATATTTCCAACATCATTAGAAGGCGAAAATATCGATTAAGATGTCGTCGTATCCTTCCGTCCAGTGAACGAGACAATAGATCGAATTCCTTTCACTGATGTCTGTGAAAAAAGAAATCAGAAAAAAAAATTGAGTTATTTTTCCTTTTTTCTTTCTATTATTAATAAAAATGACAATTAAAAAGTGGAATTTGAAAAAAAATAAAAATAAAATAAATTTGTAAAAATAAAAGAAAATTTGTAAAAATAAAATAAATTTGTAATAAAATAAATTTAGAAAAATAAAATAAATTAATAAAAATAAAATTAATGGATTTTTCTACCTTCTTTTTCGATCCGTTAATATAGTCCTTGTACATTTCTGATCGCAAATATCTTGAATATGAATCACTTTTCATTAAATGATAAACGTGTGTCTGAAATGAAAAATTCTCTTTCAATAAAATGTACCAAAAATTAAAATTACATCTTCTTTAATTAATTTTCTCTTTTTCCTCTTATTTCTTTTTTTTTCATTTTCTACAGAATAATAAATTTTTTTCCTCTTTTATAAGAATTTTTTTTGTTGGATTTTCTCGATAATTAAATTAGTTTTCTAATTTTTCATTGCTACGGATTTTTTTTCCCTTCTTTTCTAATAAAGACTAAATTTTTACAATATTTAAAATTATTTAAAATTATTAAAAATCAAAATCATTAAAATAAACGTCACTCACTGCTGCAACGTCAAATGACCAACGATCAGGTTTCTCGATATTTTTCTTCGTCACCTCAAACGATTTGGAATCAACATTAATTGGACAACTTGCTTCGGCTCCTAAATATTCGTTCCAAATTTCCTCCACTTTTGCCTCGACGTCTCGTTGAGGTAATGTTTTTAATTCCTGAACAGCCTCCCAAAATCTAGAAGAATTTTGAAATTTTTAACTCCAATTTCTTTCTTTCTTTTTTTTAAACCCGTGTATAAAAAATAAAATATTAATAAATAAATATTAAATTAGTATTCATTACTTGAGATTCTCGCCACTAAATTCTTTATCCAAAAATCGTTCGAATTGCTCTCGTCCAACGGGATCGCGTAAAAGTTCATGTAATCCAAAAGCCCATCTTCTCACTCTTCTCACTGGAAGATCTCTACAAAAATAGAACAAAAAAAAAATTAAAAATTATTATTAAAATAAAGAAATAAACATTTTTCTTTCTTTTTTTTTTTAAAAATAAAACTTACGCCAATTTTTCCTGTTCCCACATTTCTAAACTATCCGAAATCCATGGATTCGTCAATTCTGGTTGCGTAAAAAATGGATCGTACTCTGCGTATTGTTCAAAATATCCTATAAGCCTGTGAAAACAGTTTTACTTATATGTATATATATATAGAGAGAGAGAGAGAGAGAAAATATTATTGTCGCGCGAAAACAAAAGCCTTAGGCGCGAATGTGGTTTTCGATCAAACTCGACATATATATATATATATATATATATATATGTACAGGAAATTGAAAAGCAATCAAGGAAACATTATTGGAACAACCCTATTAATATATTCTCGTCCTGGAATTATTGATTTTGAAAATTTAATTAGAATCGGATAATTATAACGAAGCAATCGGAACAAAATAGTGTGCCTATTATCATTCTTAGCTATATAATGACAATAATTCAAAGTCTCTCAAGACAATTATTTTAAACTTCGCGCGGAAATTTTACGAAAAAAAATAAGAAGAAGAAGAACAAAATGGGAGATAAATACGAGAATTTGATTTTTTAACGTGAGGAAAAAATTTGTTTCCGTTATTTTTATTTTTTTCTTTTTTGATTCAAATTTTTATTGTTTTTTAAATTTAATTATTTTTATTTTTCCTGACCGCGAATCGACTTTAAGGCGCAAAAAACTTTAAATAATTGAATTATTTTAGAAATATTAAAATTATTTTTAAATAATTGAATTTTGAAAGAGTTACAGTTGAAATTTTAAGAAAAAAATGAAATTTAAAAGATTTTGTTTTTCAGGAAAATAATTGAATTTTCCAGAATTGAAAATAATTTATCAAATAATTTTAGATAATACTTTTTTCAAAAATAATTCAATATTCGAAAAATTTATAATTCAAATTTTTGAGAATAATTGAACTACAAGTGATTTTTGATTGAAATATTTCCGTGATTTCTATTGCCAAAGAATTTATTAGAAATTATAAAAAAAAATTGAACTTCAAAATTTTTTAATTGAAAATTTTTTTTAAATAATTGAATTTTCAAAAAATATTATAAAAATAATTAAAGTTACATTTAAAATTTTTATAAATAATTAAAGTTACATTCAAAATTTTTATAAATAATTAAATTTCAAGAAATTTTATTATAAATTCCAAAAAATAATTAAATTTTTGTAGAATTGAAAATAATTTACAAAATAATTTGAAATAAACTTTTTTTTTTTAAAAAAATAAATTGTATTTTCAATGAATTTGATAAAAATTATTGATTGACAATAATTTAATAATTAATTAAAATAACATTTTTTTTTGCTTTTTAAATTATTGAATATCGGAAGAAGTTATAGTTGAAATTATTAAATTTCAAAAAAAGTTTTACATGGAAAATTTTAGAAAGTTTTTAAATTGAAATATTTTGGAAATAATTGAATTTCAAGTGATTTTGAATTGAAATTTGAATTTTATTTGCTGATTTTTCTTTTTTTTTAGACAATTATTGAATTTTATAAAATTTTTAATTGAAAAATAATTTAAAATAATTGAATTTATGAAAAGAGATTCATTAAAATTATTGAAAATAATATGAATTTTATAAAATTTTTAATTGAAAAATAGTTTAAAATAATTGAATTTATGAAAAGAGATTCATTAAAATTATTAAAAATAATTTGTATTGAAATTTTTTTAAATTTTCTGTTTAGAAAATAATTTTAGATAAAAATTTATTAAATAATTAAAATAAAGAAGATCTGAAGAAGATTTGCATTTTATACTATAAAAAAAAATATTTTTTAAAGAAAAATTTTGTATAAAATGTAAAAAAAATCGAAAAAGTTGAATTTTATTACAATAAGTCGGAAAAAATTATTAAAAAATAAATAATTATATTATTTAAACACGAATTTTACCAAAAAAAAATAAGAAGAAGAAGAACAAAATGGGAGATAAATACGAGAATTTGATTTTTTTTTTGAAAAAAAATTCAGTTGAAAAATCTACATCACAGAATTATTTTCTACATTTTGAAAAATTCACTTTGTAATTATTTTATAAATTCTTTTTTAAATCCAACCAATTTACAGGTCGAAATATAATTTTTTTTTTTCAAAAATTTCAAATATTTATGATTTTTTAAAAGTGCGTACAAATTCTCTATTTTATAAAGATTTTTTTCTTCTCACTTTTTCCAAAGTATCATCCATTCCAGAATGACAATGTATACAAAACTATGTGTCTTAAATTATATAAAATGAAAACCGACTTAATAAAGCGTGTTAACGTACAATTTGTTGTGTCGTGTCCCTGAATTGAAATTAAGAAAGTTCAAAGGTTAAACAAAGATAGGCGAAACCGATTCATTTCATTTAAATGTTATAATAATATCTCGTGAGAGCTGTTATACAATTAAAAAAAATATATATATATAAATGCAAAATTGAAAAAAATCAATTTAAAACTTACGCTTCAGCAACCTTGGAAATTTTAATGATTCGTCGATCAAGTCTCTGCTTTAAAATATCAACGTCCCTTTGTAAAGATTCTGCTGACTGTTTTAACATAGAATTCGTCCGAGGTGGAGAAATTCTTCCACCTGCAACTCCCAGTTGCAAATGTTTGCTCGCTTTAACAATAGGCTTGTGGCTGCGACATGCCTTCTTTATGTCCAATTCCGTCGTATTCACACATCCTGGCTGTAATTAGTTTTTTTTTCAAAAAAAAAAAAATGTTCATTATTTCACACTTTTTTAAAAAATGAAAAAATGTTTTCAAAGTTAAATAAACAAAAGCAGTTTTTAAATTTTACAAATATTTGCCTTTAACAAATTATCATTATTACAATTTATTTAAGAATTATAATAATAATAATAATAATAATTAATTTAAATTTACAATACCTTTAGAATTTAAATTCATAAAGAGAAATATATAATTTAAATTTATAAAGAGAAATATATAATTTAAATTTACAAAGAGAAATAGAAAAAAAGATTGCAAAGTCAAAATAAAAGATTAAAGAGGAAAAAAAAACGAAACAAAAGGAAAATAGGAAAACGAATGCGAAGAGAGAATAAACAAACAAAAGAGAAGGAAAATTTAAAAAAAAAAAAACTCCAAATGAAAACGTCAGGTAAAACCAACAGTGAAAAATAACAAGTAAAGAAAAAAAGGAAAGAAAAAAAACTAAAACCCGAATTTAGAGATAAAATCCAATGGAAATAGAATTAAATATAAAATCTTTTCAATTTCTAGTATTAACTTTTTATGCTTTATATAAATATACAGAGAGAGAAAGAGAGAGAAACTGGCGCAAGTAAATATAGTTTTAATTAATAAAAAAAAAAAAAAAAATTTGAATCTAATTACCATTGGCCGATGAACGTCCCAAAATGCTCTCTCTTGACTATCCAGGACTTTTCTCTCCAATTTGTCTCTTTTCTTATCCGCTTTGTTCTGGGCCTCGGCTTGCATGGCAATAAACTCCCATTTTCTGGAGAACATTTTTTGTAGCCTCGCGAGATTTTCAGCCTCATAGTCAGCGAGCTCTAATCGAGTTTTGTTCTGCATTGTTCGTTTGCACAAGTAGACGGCTGAAATAAAATTGAGAGGAATAAAATGAAAAAGGAGAGAAAAAAAAAATGATGATAATGATGATGGAAAAAAAAGAAACATTCGAGGAATTTTCAACAACTTCGATAAAAGTATTTTTTTTATATTAACACGCGGAAAATGAACGACGTGAAAAAAAATTTTTTTTTACGTCAATTAATTCATTTTAATTTATTAAATTATTTTTTTAATTTACTATTTATTTACTCTAATTTTCAATTTTTTTTTGAATTTTTAAAAAATAAAGAAATATTAAAAAATTAAATTGTTTAAATTAAAAATAGTTTTTTTCTAACAAATTTTTTTAAATTAATAAATTTTTATTATTTTAATAACTCAATAATGATAATAATTTGCATTTTTCTCTCCTAAACTTCGGATCGACTAAGGCGCAAAAAAAAATCGTTCCACTCGATTTAAATTAGAAGAAAAGTCGGATTTTTAAATTTAATTCTTAATTTTCTGAATATTTTATTTCTATTATTATTAGATTTGAAAAATAAATAAATTTTACTTTGATAATATTTCAAAATTAAATTTTCAAGAATTTGAAAAATTTTTAGATTTATAAAAAATATGAAAGTTACTTTTTTAGAAAAAATTGTTTTTTAAAAAATTTGAAAAAGTTTGATTCATGCAAATTATTTATAAAATTCAAAATTATGTCAAAGTTTAAAGTTGAAAATCTTAAAAAAACAATTTTCAGTCACTTTTCAAAAAAAAATGGAAGAATTTTTAACGAAAATTTTTGTAAATAATTGAATTTTAGAAGGAATTGAAAAAAATTAATTGAATTGAAACAAATTTTTAAAAAATTATTGAAAACTACTAATTTTTGTAATGAATTTTAGATAATTTTAGAAAATAATTGAATTTCAAGAGATTTAAAATTGAAATTTTTATAAAATTAAATTGCTAAAGATTATTTTTTTTCCTACAAATTACAGACTATTAAAAAAAAATTGTAATTGAATAATTAAAAAATATTTTAACTAATTAAATTCTAGAAAAACTTTGTTAAAATTATTAAAAAAAAAAATAAATTAGCGAAGAATTTTAATAATAATTTAATTTCAGAAAAGGGGAACAATTCAGATATTTAAAATTAATCAAATTTCAACTTTTTAAAAGAATTTAAATTGAAAATTTCAAATTGCCGAAAACTTTTTTTTTAAAAGAATTATAAGCAATAATTAAATTTTTTCGAATTTTAATTATGAAAAATGTTTTTAAATAATTAAATTTTCGAAGAATTTGAAAAAAAAAAAAAATAATTTTAATTTATTATTGAAAAAAAAATTTCGCAGATTTTTTAGATTCAAATTTTGGACATAATTGAATTTTCAAAGAAATACATTTCCTACTAAAAAAAAAGTTTTTTAATTCAATAAATTATTTTTCAATTTCCTTTTTTAAAACCTGAAAATTCGAATTTTTAAAAAAATTTGTACTTGGCAAAAAAATACTAAAAAAAGAAAATATTTACCATAATCTGTGTTTTCAGGTTCCCAGCAATTCGACGGCCAGAAATAGGGAGTTTGGAATCTATAAAATGTGTTGTCGTTCTTGACGGTGAGACAATGATCGTCGATGGGAAAAAAATATCCATGGGAGGCCATGAGATGTGCGACGTGAAGGGCCTCTGTAAAAATTTCTGACATACCAGTAATGTACACATAGTTATTTTAACGTAAAGTAATAAAAAAATGAAAAAAAAAAAATTTATCCAATTTAAAAAAAAGAGGCCAATTTGTTTCAATTAAAGAAATTTCTCTAATTATCTCTCTACTGATGAAAATTTTCTCTCATCACTTTATTCTTAATTCACACGTCTTTAAAGTCATTCACCGAGTTACTTATTCATTTAAATTTATAATCTAATTTCCTAGTGCGAAAAAAAAGACGATCCATTATTTTTAATAACCGATTAATTAATTAACTAATTAACTAATTAATTTATTTGCTCATTTATTTATTTATTATCCAGCAATTTTTTTATCGTGAATTTTGAAAACGTACCTTGATCATCGATGTCCATGTTCTTCATCATCCAGATTATTAAATCGGTTCCTAATTTACAAAAAAAAGGCGAAATAAATTAAAAACAAATTTTATTAAAAATTTAATATTTGTGGCAAAAATATTTTGTAAATATTTAAATATTTTGCAAAATTACATAAGAGAAAAAAATGGGAATTAAAAATCGGTTAGAGAAATTCTACATCAAAGAAGGGGTAGCAAGGTTGGATAACTGCGCTTCGAACGTTTCTGATTGGCTCGTAATATTTGCCGGTAATATTACGAGCCAATCAGAAACGTTCGAGGCGCAGTTACCCAACCTTGCTACAACTCTTGTCAATATTGATCTGTTCTAAAGTGTAAAAAGTTCATATAATATTGTAACGCGAATAATTTACCTTTATTTCAATAACTTTTTATTATATCATCCATAGGACGATTATTTTTATGTTTATTTCGAATCATATACAAATTTAGCACAAAAATATTCGTCGAAAAAAGGGTTTCTTTGACAATCAGAAAAGACTATTAGTATTTTAATTTTTATTTCTGCTAACGGATTCAGAAATATTCTTCGAAAAAAAGGGTTTCTTTGAAAATCAGAAAAGACTATTTGTTTTAATTTTTATTTCTGCTAACGGATTCAGAAATATTCTTCGAAAAAAAGGATTTCTTTGAAAATCAGAAAAGACTATAATACTTTTTAATAGCAGACACAAAAATGAGGTTATGTTGCAATTTTTTTCATTTATAAATGAATTATTTATTAATTTACATTTCTTAAAAACTTTTAGTGAGCAAAGAAACGTTCTTAACGTTTTTAAAATGTTTTGGAAACGTTAAGAACGTTTTTTTCGAAACCTCAATTATAGAACTATTTTTTTTCTCCATTAGGATAAAATTTACCACATTTTTGTAATTGCAATTTTTCCTTCCCATTTTTCTCTCTCTCTCTCTCTCTGTAAATTAATGACATTACCTGTAAAAACGGAGGGGATTTTACTGATAAAACTCTTGACTGTCTTGACCGGAACACCATTGGTTTCATCCATCATTTTCTCCACTATCGATTCCATCTTGAACAATTAATTTTCATTAGAACATCATCAATAATGGATTTAAAAAAAGAAGAATTTCTCTTTCTCTCTCTTTTTTTTGGGGAGGTGGTGAAATAATTTTCGAACCTTTTTATAAACAAGATAATTGGGAGTGTCTTCAGCACAAGTGATGGCCGCATAGCCAGAAGTGTACTGAGGTGGATCTCGAGCGATTTCCGGTTCACGTGTACTTTGCTCATTATTATCAGAAGACCTTGCTCCCGGTTGTTCCGAACTGTTTTCTACTCCGTTGCTCTCTGCCGGCTTTCGCCTGCGGCAGGTAGACTTTTCGGTGCTCATGGTTACCATGACCGCGCTAAGAATGGCGCATCATCGCCCACCTGAAAAAAAAGAAGAATCAAGTATATAACCAACATCGAAAATAGACTTCTATATACGTGTCATATATCCGATAATTGTCTATTTTTGGAAGGGTAGTTTACACGAGAATCTAGTTCAAGATCAAATTGTTTCCCTTTTTTTTATTTTTTACATTCTTAATTTTAGAATTGCAATTCACATTTCTATTTTCTGTAATCTCAATTTTATTCTAAAAACAAGTTTTTTTTTAATATTTTGCATTATTAACAACTTATTGTTAGTTTTTCCAAGAATCCATAAAAGTGAACTTTGGTATTTAAATCTAGATTATGATAAAAAGCTTTTGTTTGAAATAAGTCGACCTCTATTATTCCAATTTTTTTTTAAATTCTCAAATTTGATTACCGGAGGGGAGTTAATTACAACGCGGATGGAAGAAACGTGAATTGGGTTGAGAAATAAATTGGATCAACAGTTGTGTGGATGTATTCACGTGGATGCGAGAATTTCTGATCCGCAATAGAGGTAACTATATATATAAATTCAATGCGTCAACAATTTCCGCGCGCAACGTAAAACCAACTGGGATTGACGAAATGGAAATGAAAAAATAGAAAAAGAAAATCTACAGTGAATATCAATCTGGATTCATATTTTTCTTTTTTTTTTTTGAAAGTTTAATTGGAAAATAACCGAGATACACATAGACCTGGATGACCAGAAGAGACAAGGCAAACAGTATTGATTACCGGCCTACAACGATGTTTCTATATACATATATAGCTAGACTTTCCAGTCCTCCTACCTATTGACCTACCCACACATATATACTCAAAAACACGAACCTTCCCAACTTCTGCTCTTTTCTAACTAAAGGATTTCGAACCTACCACCTGATGCGGTGTTACAAGGTCGACCCGCGCACCGACAAAGGGTTATATTGCCGATTGCAATTTCTTTTCAAGTCCCTAGCACGAACCGCGCCACAGAGATTTGTATATTTATACAAAATTGGCATATCGAATTTGCGGTCAGACAATTTTTTATTATAACTCTCAAGGGCAGATAAATCAAAAAATTGTGAAGAAAACTTTTTTTTTGGCTCTTATGACTTTTCATCAAGGCTCTTAACTCTTCAGCTGATTTACCGAATTGACAGTTCTCGTTAGTAATGAAGGAACCAAGTCTTCAAGAGGTAATAGAAAAGTTTTGAATTTTGTAATTGCGAACTTGTTTTCCGTTCTATTAATTCCTTTGAATTTGCAGGCTCCTTCTAAGAAGAAGAACAAGAAGAAGTAAGTAGGAAGTAAAATCATTCCAATTGACGCTGGAGAAAATGAAAAAAAATAGGTGACTAACCCTAGTGAATAGACAGAACCAAAATTGGTACCGAAGTTAAATTGAATCTCTGCCAAATAGGAATATTTATCGAAAAATAGTGATTCTTGGAAAATCTGAAGACTTTATTCAACATCGTATCAGCTAAAGGAATATTCTTCGAGAAATGAGTTTTTTTTTGAAAACCTGAAAAGACTATCACTTTTTATTCATTGTCTCCGATATAGGATTTAGGAATATTCTTCGAAAAAAAGGGTTTCTTTGAAAATCAGAAAAGACTATTAGTTTTAATTTTTATTTCTGCCAACGGATTCAGAAATATTCTTCGAAAAAAAGGGTTTCTTTGAAAATCAGAAAAGACTATTAGTTTTAATTTTTATTTCTGTCAACGGATTCAGAAATATTCGTCGAAAAAAAGGGTTTCTTTGAAAATCAGAAAAGATTATTACTTATTAATCTTTATTTCTGCCAACGGATTCAGAAATACGCGGAAAAAACGATTTACCTGGAACAGTGAAACGTTTCACTATAGTTGCAAAAGTTATACTTGTTTCAGTTAAATCTGTCGTTATTCTAGTGAAACTTTTAGCTATTTTAGGTAAATATTTTTTCCCTGTATTCTTCGAAAAAAGGGTTTCTTTGAAAATCAGAAAAGACTATTATTTTTAATAGTTATTTCTGCCATCAAATTCAGAAATATTCTTCGAAAAAAAGGGTTTCTTTGAAAATCAGAAAAGACTATTATTTTGAATCTTTATTTCTGACAACGAATTCAGAAATATTTTTCAAAAAAGGGTTTCTTTGAAACTCAGAAAAGACTTTATCACTGTTAAACATTATTTTATTAACTGCTCGAATTATTTGACATAATCTCTAAATACTCCTGACCCTCCAACTGTAGGGTTTAACACTTGTTGTATATAATATACCAAATTCAAGTGGACAGTTTGAGTAAGTAATTAAATCCTGGAGGAATTTCAAGATTTTGCAAGTAAACCCAATTTGTTGCTATCCCAATATAAATTATTGCTTTTGATTATTTTATTTATTTATTACTTTTACAAACTCTTCTTAAAATAAATGATTCTCTATTCGCCTTAACATAACCTCAAAATAAAATTATTTTTAACGGAAGCAATACAATATAATTTTAATTGCGAAAATATAATATTAATAAAATGAAAAAAAAGTACCGAATTCATTCATTTTCTTATAGAAAATTTTTAAAAAGACAATTTACAACAAGAAACTAAAACTTATTGAAGATAAATGAAAAAGCTTTAAATCATGCTCATATTCGACACAATTGTTTTCGAAATCTTTCTCTTCTCGAAAACTTTTCACTTCCTGTTTTTCATATATATATATATAAAACTTGACTGTTTGTCTTCTATATATATATATATATATATATATAATATATATATATATATATATATTGTCACTTATTCGTAAAACTTTTTCCCCAACATTTTCCACATCGAAGAATATTATATAAACTTTCTGACTCTGTTTTTTTTGCCCGCCTGTCTTATAAATAAACTACATTTAAGACATAAAAAAGCAGCAATTGTAAAATTGAAAGAGAATATATATGAAGAAGAAAAAAATTGAGGATAATTATTCCGTTTTATTCTCTCGACAAAGAAAAACGTTTTACGAGAGGTGCATAAAATAAGATATGCTATATATCTCAAAACATAACTGAGAGATCGTGTCCTATAGAATATATAACACTCGGCATCAATTTATTTTCTCATTTTCTTCGCGTTTCTTCAATGCTATGAAGCGGTTAGCGAAAAAAAATAATTTTTTTTTATTTAAATTTCAACGAGAAATAAAAGAAAAAAAAATACAATTCATGAGAGAATTGAGGATGTAAATGAATGAAAATTATGTTTAAAGTTATTTTACAGATCTCTTTTGTGGAGAGATAAAACTGAAAATTTTATGTAAAAAAGAAAAAATGTAAAATTTTATTTTACTTTCTGATTTTCAAATACATGTAAAGGGAATTGTTAGTTTAAACGTTTGACGTTTACTTCCTTTGGATTAATTAATTTTGTGTGTGAAACACTTGACGACCGAGTTACCTCAACCACTGTGTGGTTGCGCCAATATGACCATCACACCTGAACTACCCTCAAGCTCAATCAGCTCTAGTGAAATATTTTTAAAAACTAATTGCATTTTACAGTTTATCGATTTATCAATAAGCCGTGATAACTCATCACTGAAAGTGGCGGAACTTCATTCTTGCAATTGCCAATATTAATAAACTCATAACTGAACATTATATATCTGGCTTTTTTTGTGATCAATTTTTTCCTATTTTGCACTTTATTAAAATCACAATTCTTTTTGCGATACTTCAATTTACATATTTATTTAGTTTCTTCATATTATGTGACACGCTCTGAAGAAAGGGACCAAAGCAAACGAATTATAGGTTATGTTTACAATTTTACGTTTACCTTGGGTTATGTTTATTTTAATTAGAAACGAGATCAATTAATCACAGCTTGAATAATTTTTGGCTTATTATTCTTTAAATAAAATATTTAATTTAAAACAAATTCAAAATTAATTTTTAAAAATTCATCAAATAAAAAAAATTTAGTTTATTAGTAACAAAAATAGTCGTAAAACATTTTAGTATGACTAAGTTAATGTTATTTTTCAGAAAACTGATCCTCTTGGAAAATTTTTTTTGTGCTTTTCTCGACCCATTTTTAAGAAAATTTTAGATTAAAAATAAAATGTAAAAACTTAAGAAAACGCTATTATTATTTACTTTTCACACGTTTTCTTTCTGACCTAACCTGAACTGATTATTTATTATTACGCTACTGCGCACGTAAAAACCTTTATCAAACATAACCTATAATTAATTTCCTTTTTCCCTTTCTTCAGACCGCATATATTCAACGTCATCTCTGCCAAAGGAATATTCTTCGAAAAAAAGGGTTTCTTTGAAAATCAGAAAAGACTATTATTTCTTATCTTTATTTCTGTCAAAGGATACAGAAATATTCTTCGAAAAAAGGGTTTCTTTGAAAATCAGAAAAGACTATTATTTTTAATTTTTATTTCTGTCAACAAATAGAGAAATATTCTTCGAAGAAATGGGTTTTTTTTTGAAAATCTGAAAAGACTATTATTTTTTATTTATTGACTCCGATATAGAATTCAGGAATATTTTTCGAAAAAAAGGGTTTCTTTGAAAGTCAGAAAAGACTTATTTTCATCTTTGTTTCTGCCAACGAATTCAGAAATATTCTTCGAAATAAAGGGTTTCTTTGAAAATCAGAAAAGACTATTATTTTTAATTTTTATTTCTGTCAACAAATACAGAAATATTCTTCGAAGAAAAGGGTTTTTTTGAAAATCTGAAAAGACTTATTTTCATCTTTATTTCTGCCAACGGATTCAGAAATATTCTTCGAAAAAAAGGGTTTCTTTGAAAATCAGAAAAGACTATTAGTTTTAATTTTTATTTCTGCCAACGGATTCAGAAATATTCTTCGAAAAAAAGGGTTTTTTTGAAAATCTGAAAAGACTATTTTTTTTTATTTATTGACTTCGATATAGGATTCAGGAATATTCTTCGAAAAAAGGGTTTCTTTGAAAATCAGATAAGACTTTATTACCGTTAAACATTATTTTTTTAATTGCTCGACATAATTTCTAAATACTCCTGTATGTACCTATGGTAAAAATAACCTATAAATTTTTTCTTTATTCCCTTTCTTCAGCTCTCATCTTGTGTTCAATTTTTTTATTTTTTCATTTTTTTCAATTCAACTCTCCTGTTTACGATACTTTACGTAAATTTAATTTTTTTCCTAAAACTTGAATTGCATTATAAGGGGAAAATAATTATGAAACTATATATTTCAGAGTGTATATTTTTTTGAATATTTAAGGATGAAGAAAAGTTGAGGCCTTATATTTTTTAGGGGAGAGAGCGGGGGGGGGGTGAATTATATATATTATTTTCTGTGTCAATGGGAAAGTAGAAGACTACACTTGAGTGAAAAAGAAGCATGTAACAGGTGTAAACAAATGAGGTGGAACTGAGCTCAGCATTACCTGTCGCAACGCCGAGTACCCTCGGCTTATCTTCAACACGAAATCATGACGTTCTTTACGTGCCGAGTACTTGAATTTTAAAAATAGCTTCGTGCATGGGTAAAATGATTATTAATACACGCCCTTAAAAAAAAGTATTATCTTAATTGCCCCATACATGTGCAAAAAAAAAAATAAAATAAAAAACAGAAAATTACACAGAAAAAATATTTTTGTTTCTTACTTTTAGATTATTTTGTAAGTTTGCGATTTTTTTTATTTTATAATTTTTCAATTTTCCGTATTCCTACATAATTTTAGATGAAATTATTATTATTATTTTTTGATTCTATTCTATTCTTTTTATCATTTAATTTTTAAGACAAAAAAATAGAATATTCTATAGGATACTTCATTTAGCGGAATATTTATCTCATTCTTGAAACTCTTTTTTTTCATATATTCTTTCCTTTTCCTATTCTCACTTTTAATTTCTCATCTCAACTTCCATAGGTATAAAGTAATTCACCCGCGAATTTAATGAGAATATAATTAATTCTATCCACAAAGCCTCGGGTAAATTTTTCCATTTTTAATGCTCTCCAATTTAAAAAAATGAGTTTCAAGTATATATATATATATATATATATCGACGAATTTAAATATTTTACGAGACAGAGAGAATAAAATGCAAAAAAGACATTTTATTTTCTTGATTTTCTATAATGAAAAAATTAATTCATTAATAAAAAAAGAAAAAAAAATTTTTATAAACCATTTTGTTGTTGTTGTTGATAAAAACTGATGGTTTTATTTAAATGGAAATAAAAAAAGAAAATAGCATCACTTTATACGGTTTATGTATACGCAGAGAAATAAAAACCTTTTATGTAAATTTCAATACTGATATTATAGCAAATCTAGACTAACGTCTTTTTTTTTTAACTTTTTTCCAATTTTAATGCATTTTTCACTTTGGAATTTTGTTTTTATTGTTGAATAATATAGAGAAATATATTTTTTTAATAATAACATTTTTTTTAAAAATATTTAATAATAAAAAAAATTCAATAAAAAATGTATTACAAAAAAAAAAGAATTCTCCTTATTTAGAAAGTTAATTTCATCATAGAGTAAATTATTTAAAGAACCATCTCAAATTATATATATATATATACCGATCGTCTATATATATTAAAGTTTATATATTCAAATAACTTTGTTTGAAATTAGCCGTAAATGATTCTATAAAAGGAACAAAAGTTTATTTCCGGCTGAGGGAGTTTTCATTAAAATTTTAATTTTATCATCATACTCTGTAGATTTATATTCGGACGAAATATTAAAGAATCAACAAGTGGTTATCAATATGATTTAATATATATATATATTGAGATGTACATACATTTTTTTAAGAATAAAATGCAAGTACATATATATATATATATATATATAATCAAAAGTCTCTAAAGTTTTGAGATCAATTAATCAAAACTTATCGCCACCGTTGGTCACGATAAGACGATTATAAACTGGTCTTACATAAAATTCATTTTATGACTCTCTAATACCTATATATATATATATAAAGTATAACTTATGGTTTTATGTGAACTGAGCATGCGAGGAATTACAAAATTTTTTTCATTAAAAAAAATCAATTATTTCCAATATTCCATTTTCTCATACTCTCGTCTTATATTGAACTTCTTTTTTTTTATTCAAAAAAAATTATTTTCCCGCGATTTTACTGAACATTTTATTGTCATTTTAAAATTTAATTAAAAATTTATTTTTTTATTTAATATTTTTTAGTTAATATATTTTTATTTAACATTTTCTTCATCATTGTGTAATATTCTGTTTTTCATTTTGGATGCAATTTCCTGTAATAAAGCGAACTCAAGTGACAAATTGTGGAACTAATGTAATCACTGGGCCTTCAACAAGTGACCCTATAGAGAACCGCTGGAACCAAAATTGGCACTGAATTTGCGGTTGAAACTTTGGTTTCTCTCTCAGTGTTCGCAATTTTCGCAAGGCTATACAAGCAATATATGTGTGTGTTTAATTTAAAATTAAGGAAAAACAGTTAATAACAGCTCAAAGACATTTTAACATTCTTTGGCTGATGCATAAAAGCAGCAAATTAACTGTGCGCCTTTGAATAGTGTAACACACATAACCTCTCAAAATAGACAAACATTCCCTTTAAAATGCAGGAGAATAATTATATTTTGATAATATGGAGAGAGAGTAAAGTGAATGAGATGAAAAATTGTGAAAACAAATTTATACACCAATTTAGTGGTGAAATTTCACATTTTAGATTCTCATAAAATTTCAAGGACGAAAATAAATATGTCCTGAAAAAAATTGTTCGAAAACCAGAAAAGACTATTTTATTGTTATCAACATTAAATTCATAACGGCCCGACTTGTCTGACATAACCTCTAAAGATACGAATTTTCCAACTAGAAATTAACAATTTTTTATTTATATATATATATATTTTTTTTGTTATAAAATATTTAAAGTACCAAGTGATAAATTCAACAAATAATGGAATTGCAGAGCCTTCACAAGTGGCTAAAGAAAAAACTTTTTTTACTTTATTATTCAACAGTTTATTATTATTATATAACTTAGTACCATTTTATTAAATAGTTTCATTTTATATTTGTATTTTCCATTAAAATTTCATTTTCATGTAAATGAACTGCTTTACCACTTTATTTGAATTTGACACTTTATTTTTACTCCTTTCTTTATTTATAATACTTTCATAATAAATTTAATTAAAATTTTAATTAATATTTCGAAATGAATTAATGATAACGCGTTTTCAGAAAATATTTTTCTTCAAATTTCTTTAAAATTATTAAATTCTGTTCTTTATTGAAAAAAAAATTTAATTCAAATAATCGGTTATAAATAAATATTGAACCAAATAATTTTTATTAAATTTTGGTTAACAAAAACCATTTAATTGAATCTTATTTAATACAAATAAATATTTATTTGACAATAAAATAATCAATTATTTGAATTAAATTTTTCTTCAAAAATAAAATTAATTATACTTTTTGGTATTTTGTCAATCACGAAAGTGAAATTAATGAAAATAATCTAATTAGACGGCTAATCAGTAGGTAAATGAAAATTTTCTCCTGACAGTTTAATTTGTGTGTCAGGTGACCCGGAAAAATTGAGATGTCCCAGGGACTTTTCTTTATATATATATATATATACACCCACATTACAATTATAATAATAATAAACGTTTAAATTTTCCTGCGTGTTTTGAAACCTTACCTACACCAAAATTATAATTCCAAGTCACGCAAAACCGAAATTTATGGTGAACGCATGTATATATAACACTCACCCTCGTCAAAAAAAGGGGAAAGAAAAAATCACGCATCTCAATAAATCTTTTTTTTTTTATTATATACATATATTCAGTATAATATGATATATATATAGGGTTCCAAAAATAAAATGTCATCAACATTATTTCCTCAATATAAGAGAAAACAGATTTTCAATCTCAGAAATATATGTCATTCACTTTAATGCTTTCGATAATTTGGAAAAATCAATCATAAATAATAAAATATTTATTCAATGATAAAAAGAGGTTATATAAAAATTCGGTTTGATTTATATTATTCATTTTTATTAAATGTAAAAAAAATTAATATTAAAAATTTAATAATAATAAAAATAAAAATTTTATTAATAAATTATAAAATATAAAAATTTTCGTAATTACATAAAAATTTTTAATAAGCAAAAATCTAAATATGTAAAATTGTTTCGAAAATCGATTTTTGTTTTCTCATCTTTCAATTTCAAAAAAAAATTTCTATATTTTTACATTTCCATAAAAATATCTAAATATGAAAATTCAAAAAATTTGTAAAGTAAACGTTAAAAAAATTTTGATTGTATTTTTCTATATTAAAAATTTTAATTAATAATTAAAAATTGTTAATTAAAATTTTCAAAAAAATTTACAAATTGGAGTTAATTATTTTTTTTTTTTTACTTAATTTATAAACTAGCGATTTTTTTAAATTAAATTATTAATAATTAATAGAATTAATTGAAAATAAAAATAAAATATTAAAAATTTTCCAAACATTTCTATTTATAAATGCAATTTTTCTATTTAATTATATTTTATTCTATTCTTGAATTCTGTTCTCATACATATTCAAAAATTTTTCTTTCCAATTGAAAGTTATTTGAAGAATATTTATTTATTTTTTTTTAAATTTAATTAATAAAACATCAATGAATTTATTATTTTAAACCCTTATTTTTTATTCAATTGTTTTCTATTTAATAAAAAATTTTTTGTTTACTCACAATTGACAAACAAATTTTTTTTACTGATTTTTTTTTCAAGGGATGCAAATAATATAAATAAGAATCGAACTTACAGTGAATATATATTATTTTTTTCAAATTTTTGCACATTTTTGACACTCACTTTTTTGTCTTGAATTCAGCGAATAATCGCCTTTGAAAATAAATTGCACAAATTGGACATATTTTTTGTCCCCCCCCCCCTAGAGAATATTTTTTCCCAAAATAGGGGTGGAAGCGCGATTGGAAAAAATGTCCTTTATTTCAAGTCCTTACGGTGAAGGAATTAGGCAAAAAAAAAAAAAAAATTGAAATAATGTAAAACTGAAAAATCGAAGGGATAAAATTGGGGGGAGCTTTTTTTTTCAAAAAAAATAAAAAAAAAATTCTCACCAAACGCGACGATATTCACCGTAGACGGCAAAGAACGCGACTGCGTGCTTTTCGTGTGCTTTCAGCTTTCTTAACCTGCCTGGTGAAAGCAATATATAGATATAACATATATACACATTGCTCTCACTCTGTGCAGGCTTTGAGGGTGACAAAACAGGGACGGAACCATTTAGGGTGGATAACAACCCCCCCTACCACGTTGCTTTCCAAAACAATCCACTTATAGAATTATCCTATTCAATTTTCCGCCTTCTCTTTTCATTCACAAAAAACAAGCCGAGATTCTCATCTTATTTATTTTCTTTTTTTTTTTTTTTGTGTGTTTGAAAAAAAAAGAACCAACTTTATTAAAGATTTTTTTTTTATACTTCTGTTTAGGGGAAAGTTTCTTATTATTTGATTTATTAGAATAGTGAAAAAAAAAATTTTTAATTTTTGTAATTTTTGAGAAAGAAAAAGAAAAAAAAAGAATTAGTTAATTCTAGTTTTTAAAAACAAAAATTAGTTAATTAAAATTTGTTATTTAATAAAAGACAGAAAATTGAAGTATAGAAATCGATAAATAAAATTTTACTATTAGTTTAATTAATTTTCAATTAATAAATCTAATTTTTATTAAATAAAAATCATCTTTGGTATTAAAAAATAATATCTATTAAGACTAAGAAATAAAAAATTTTTAATTTTTTTAATAAAAAACTGATCTTGGCATAAAAAAAATCTGATTTCTCTTATCGAAGAATATTTTCTTATTATATATATATATATATATATATAAAAAAAGTAATAAATTCTAAGAGGTCATCGATTTATTTTACTCTCTTTTAATATTTAAGGGGCAATCAGTATGTTATTCGATTTCCATAGTTTTTAAAATATTCATTTGACAAAAGAAAATTGTGTGCATAGTTATTTATATATACAAGTGTAAAATTCCTGCAATAATATTTGTTGATATTTCTCAATTATTTTCAAAACTTTTCTTTTTTAATTTAATTTAATTTCTTTTTTACAAAAAAATTCTATTTTGTCAAATTTTAATTTTTTCAATATTTGTAGAAAATAAAATTTCTCATATTTCAATTAAAAAATTTCAGTTATTCAAAATTTTAATTTTAGAAATTTCTGTTTTGTTAAAATAAAATCGCCGAATGGAATTTGCAGCTTTTAAATTGAAAATTTCAGTTATTTAAAATTTTAAAATTCGAAATTTCAATTTTTGAAACATCCTCGGAAACTTCCGTTTTTGTTCAATTAAAATTTCTCAAACTTCAATTTTTAAATTAAAAATTTTTAATTTTTCAAAATTTTAAGTATCAAAATTTTAAGTTTAAAGAATTTTTTTTTTAATTTACACAAAACTTTAAATTTTTCCTTCAATAATAATTGAAACTAAAAAAAATTCTTTCCAAATTTGAAATTTTCATTTCCTCGTTTTAAAATTTTGTTAAAAATTTAAATATTTATATTTTCGGAAAATTTTGTTTAGAAAAATTATTTTTTATTAAATTGAAAATATATTATTGGCCCATGTATAGAGGAAAAAAAGAAGGAGACATATGTGTATTTTTGTTAAAATATATAGTGCCCTGTTGCGTACCTGTTGCTCTTATCTTGTTACTTTCCTGGCAGGGAGTCCAGATGTAATGAAAAAAGCCGGATGCGAAGAGCGCAGGATCGTTTCCTCGTCATTTCAATGCATTTGTGGATGTCACACAAAAGTCCCACTGTTCGACTTTAAAGTTTAACACCAATAAAATTCCGTGTCATATCGGTCATCAATCTGCGAAAAAAAAAATAAAATAAAATAGAAAAAAAAAAATTTTCATTTCAAGGTGAACTTCACTATAATGATTCTCCTTGTTTATCAAAAATTCTTTTTGAAATTTTAATTTAAATTTTAATTAATAATAAATTACAATTTCTTTAAAATTTTTTTTGGGCAATTTTCTTTTCGTAAAAAGAAATTTTTAATTTAATTAACAATTTAAATTTAATTATTTATTTAATTATATTTTACAAACAATATTAATAAAATTATTTTCACTAAATAAAAAAAAAAACGAATTTTGAATTTACAAAAACTATTTTATGGTAGTAAAATAAATACTTTCATTAACGGTGTTGTTATTTATTTTTTAAATAAAATAAATATAATTTTGCTGCAAAAAAATTATTTATTATTTAATGTTTAGGGAAAAATTAAATTCAAAATTTTATTCACCTGGAAAGTAGAATCGTTCATTGAAGTTGGAAAAACTCGATTTTTCCGACATTGCTTCCTGACGAAGAGTTGGAATACAATAATTGTCAGTGTCCCATTGAATTATATAACCATTATTAACTGCAGTAATTAAACTGTCTCTCACTTCGCTCTTTAAATTGTCCCTTCGTTTATTACAAATTGGATAATAAAGTTGCAAATGATTGAGAATCAATGATGATGGGACATAAAGTCGTCTCATTTGCAATTCCTCAACAATATCTCGTATCATTTCGGGCGTTATTGATATTCCATATCTGATTGGTCCTAAATTCACATAAACACGAAAAAAAAAATAAATTTTTTTATTAAAAATAGTAAAATATTTAAAAATTTTATTTACTTCTAATTCCATTCATGTTATTTTAAAAATCTGCATTTTAATCAACCATTTTTGAAAAAAAAATTTTGTTTTTTTTTTTTTTTAATTTGGAGAATTTTTATAAAAATCCGACGACATGATGAATAATTTTAATGAATGTCTATTTACATTATTATTTTAGAAATGAATTTTTTTTTCAAATTGTAAAAATTTTATATCGACGAGACATTTTGAAAACAAAAGTAAATCTATAGTTTTTATTTTTTTTTGGTTAACGTTTAATTCTATATATAGTTCGGTAAATTATTTTCCATTTTTAGGTAAAATTTTAATTTATCATAAAATTTAATTCTTTTATAATTATAAACATATTTTTAAAATTCAATAATTAAATTTTAATTTTTTAATTTCAATTAAATTTATATTAACTGAGAGTTTTCTAAATTTTCTTAATTGAAAAAAAAAACAAATGAAAATAAAATTTATTTAATTTTCCAATAATTACATTTTTTTAAATAAAACAATAAAATTGAATTTTTCTAATAAGAAAAAATTGAATTTTTAAAAATATTATTTGTAAAATAAAAAATATTTTCTTATTCTCTAAAATTTTAAAGATTAGAAAAAATTTTTAATGATTTTTATGATTAAAATTTTCAATTTTAAATAGTTTTAAAAATTATTATTTTTTAAACTAATTTTTAAATTTCTTTAGGTTTTAAATTTTCGAAAATTGTTTTAAAATTTTAGAATTTTAATTTTATAATAATAATAAAAATACTAATAAATAATAATAATATTGTCCCGACAACTTATTAAATAAATAAATAAAAATAGAATTTATTTTTTTATAAAAATTATTTATTTCTTTTTTTTTAACGTGTAAACGGAGTTACAATTTTGAAAAATTAATATTATTATTTATTAGTCACTTAATTATAATTCATAAAAATATTTAAAATATAATAAAAAGAATAAATTTTGAAATGACGAAATTACATATTTTATTAATAATTAAATTCTATTTTTAAAAATTGCGAAAAAAAAATATTTTTTAATTTTTAATTTGTAAAAAAAGTACCTAATATTTTTTTTTATCAAAAAAGATTAAATTTGAAAAAAAAATCGATATTATATAAATATATATATATGAAAAGTTATTGTACCTATAATTCATTTTCTTCATCGTGACGATTTATTATTATTTTCTCTAAATTCGATGACAATTTAATTCCACAAAGTTTTGTAACTTCACTTCTTTTTTTTAAACCAATATCACGTCGTTGTTTACGATTTTCCTTTAATGTTATTGGTGATTTTCTTTTTTTTGGATTTTCATGAATCTTGATAATATGCTCGTCAAGTTTTTGTTTCGTTGATAATTTACGTGAACAAAATTCACATGAAAATCTAATATCCATATGATGAATACGAATGTGTGAATCTAAATTTCGTTGATATTCATAAACTTGATTACATCCATCGTGCCGACAAGCAAAGAGAAATTGTTTCTCATGTGTTTTCAAATGAAATGCTAATTTACTTTTGAAAGGAAATTTTTTCTCACAAATATCACATGTAAATTCTGCAAAAAAAAAAAAATATTTTTTTTTATTTAAACAACAATTTATTAATAATTATTTTTATAAAATAATTATTGTAAATTTATTTATTTTTTAAAAAAAAATTTTAATTTATTTAATATATACATACGTTTATAATGAAGAGTGTGTTCTTTTTTATGTTTTCTGAATTCATTGAAATTATTGAAGGAAATTTGACAAATTTGACAAATAAAATTTTTATTATGAACACTTGACTCAAGATGTAATTGTAATTTATTATGTTGTGCAAATGATTTCGAACAAATATGACATACATATAATTTTCGATTATGTACATCAGTTAAATGTTGTTTTAAATATTTTCTCGTTAAAAATACGAGTGAACATTCTTCACATTTTACTTCAAAATATCCTTTATTCTCATGTCTTCGCGAACAATGTCGCTTTAAATTATGTTCTTCTGTGAATATCATATCACAAAATTTGCATCTAAAAAAAAAACAATTTACAAATTACTCGAAAAAGAACAGTAAATTTTAATATATTACTATAATAATAATTTAATTATTTAATATTTATTATTTATTTATTATTTAATAATTTCTATTTGCACTAAAAATTTTTATTTAAATTCCTGACTTCCAATTTTTATTTAAACAAATTTTCATTTATAACAGAATTTGAATTTTTTAAAATAAAATATTTTTTATAAAAAATGCTGTAAAAATATTTCTTGAATTTTATTATAATTATTATTTTTTTAAATAACTTACGGAAATTGTTTTTTGATTTTTTCTTTATGAGACAATTCATGTCGTTTTAAACGTGAATTATTCGCATAAGATTTATCGCAGCCATCAAAGTTGCATGTAAATTGTCTCTAAATGAGAGAAAATTTCATTTTAATTAATTAATTGAAAAATGAAAAAAAAAACAAATTAATTAATAAAATTACCAGTCCGGTGTGAGTACAAAAATGTGTCCTAAATTTAAAAGGTGCTGAAAATTTCATATTGCAACCGGGATAGGTGCAAGAAATAGTCTTTTTTTTATTATAATTTTTGTTAATATTTTCAATATTTCTTTCATTATCACTGGAATCTTCAATTTTTTCATTTTTCAAAAATTCCTCTTTTTCTTCACACTTGAGTGAATTCTCCGTGAAATTTTTAGTTTCCATTTTTTTTTTTTTAGAGTAGAAAGAAAAAAATTACGTTAATAATATAATTTTATTATAGGCAGCTTTAGTTTCTAGAAAAAAGAAAAAAAATTTTTATCACAAATTAAAAATTAAATTTTTATTCACTTATTTTTTGTAAAATAACAAAATAAATAAAATTTAAACAAGATTTTTTTTTTTTGGAATAAATTTGAACTATTTTTGGAAATGAAAACAAAAATTTAAACATTTTTTTAAAAATAAAATTAAAAAATTATTAATTTTGTCACGAAAATTAATTAATTATTAATTTTTTGGCGAATACGAAAAAAAAATTAAATAAAATTAAAAAATTATTAATTTTGTAACGAAAATTAATTAATTATTAATTTTTTGGCGAATACGAAAAAAAATTAAATAAAATTAAAAAATTATTAATTTTGTAACGAAAATTAGTTAATTATTAATTTTTTGGCGAATACGAAAAAAAAATTAAATAAAATTAAAAAATTATTAATTTTGTAACGAAAATTAATTAATTATTAATTTAGTGGCGAATACGAAAAAAAAATTTAAATAAAATTATAAAAAATTATTCATTTTGACAATTTTGCGAATATAATTAAATTAGAAATTTGATTACAATTAATAATTAAAGGATACACAAAAAAAATATGAATATAAACACTATAATTCTGTAAATAAATAAATAAATGTAAATAGGTCAAAAAAAAAAATAAATAAAAGAAAAATTATTCGACAAACATAACCTCAAAAGTCGAGAATATTACTTGATTTTTAATAACAATCTAATTAGCAACAATAAAAAAAATAATATAAATAACAAAAGAGAAAGAAATTCAAAATTATAAATATAGTATTAAAAAATTAATTCAAACAATGTAAAAATAGGTTATGTAGTCACATGTTTCTAAAATTATTTTTCTCTACTTTTAAAATTGTTATCTTAAATATTCGACATGCACATTTTTTCAAGGATTTTTACTTACTTTAATTGTGTCACTTTTAAACTTTTTGTTAAACAAAACCGAAAGATTAAAAAACTATAAAAAAAAAACATTCGAAAAATAGACCAGAAATATTTTTCTTTGTTACCCTTACCCACGGTCGTATATACAGGTCCGGAATCTCATAATGGTTCGCAGGGTCGTGCGTTGAAGCCCCTCCGATAGGTGGCTACGTGTCGAAGAGTCTATGGTTGGAGTGTAAACAAACGAACATAACCTATAAAAATATAATTTTTCGTGCGGTGTATTTTTTGTTTTTAATTTTAAAATGCCTTCCGTTTGTGTAGTTCCAAAATGTGACAGTAAAACAGAAAGAAAAAGTGTTTCGTGTTTTCATGTGCCGCAAGATGACAAAATAAGACAAAAATGGCAGCAAGCAATACCTGGGGTTTTACGTTTAAGATCTGCAATGTCTGTGTGTGAATTGCATTTCAAAGAAGAAGAAATTATTAGAAAAGTACAAACATATAATCAAGAAGACAACATTATTTATGAAAAAAATTTAATAAAGCCGCGTTTACGTTTGGGAGCAGTGCCCTCGATTTTTAACAATAATAATAAGACTCAAAATGACGTAGACAAAAACGGTACGTTTTTATATTTTTTAAAAAGAATAATGTGAAATAATGTTTATGGTATTCATTTTTTTATTTAATTAATTATATGTTGAATAGAAAGTAAAATATACAAGCGTTATTCAAATTATACTTCGTTCAGTACAACTATTATTATGTATGACTTGTTATAATTTTTTAAAATGTTTCATAAAGTTTGATCTACTTTTGAAGAGCAAATATTTTATAAAGATTTAATATTTTTGATTTTTAAATATTAACGTTTTTGGCAGAATACATTATATTTATTGCAATTTAAAATTTATAAATTAAGTTTTCAAAATCAGAAGTTTGATGTGCACAGAATATTATTTAAAATTAAATTTTAATTTTAGTAGTTATTTTTTTAAATACCACAATTTTTAAAGAAATAAAGTAAATATAAATAAATATATGCTTTAAGTATTAGTATTGTGTACAATATTTTCTATTTTCCATTTTTTTTAGGAAATGCACCACTTACATCGAATAATACGTCGACAAATTCAAATTTAATTCATGTTGAAGATTATTTCTACGATAATAAAGAAAATGTATCAGATAATGTCGGTTATACAGTTGATCCGGATTATGCGGTTCATACGGTTCAATTCAGTTCTGCTGTAACTTTTGATTTGTGTTCACAAAGTACGTAATTAAGAATTATTTATTGAAAGATTAATTATTATTTTTTATGTTTTGAATTTGCTTATTGTATTTTAGAAATATAATTTCGTAATTGTTTTTTGTAGGTAGTGAATTTTCTGAAGATGAACCATGTAGCATAGATATACCTAAGCCGTGGAGTGTACTTAAATCTCAGACAGGAAAAGAAGAAAGTTTGTTATTTGTATGCTTTGTTAACAAAGAAAATGTTAAAACACATACATTTGAGAAGGTTGTTGTGATGAGTAAAAATAGAGAATTGCAATACGAAGTACATTCAAATACTGTGAATGCCGAAATGTTTGAATTACCGAAAAAAGTAGATAATGTTAAAAATTTGCCACAAATTCTACAAGGGTTCAAAAAATTTTGTGCTTGTGAAGGAATAAATATAAACGATGTTGATTGTACATCAAACTTGTTAAATTGTAATAATTACAATCTTTCGGGATGTCGGTCAAAAAATTGTTCTTTATTATCGCTAAACTACAGTAAATGTCGTGATTGTAAAAAATTGTCAAAACTTTTGTCGCAGCAAAAACGAAGATTAAAAAAACTAAGCAATAATGAGGAGATTAAAAAATTAAAACCTTCGAGTCAAATAAAACTAAAAGCACTTCAGAGGAAAAATCAAAGGAGAAGAAAAGAATTAATTCGTTTAAAATACAGATTACATGTTTTAGAGAAATCTCTCGAGAAAAATCAATGTAATATTGCTAACATTAATGAAAATGATTTTGATAAAAATTCCTCATCTTTAAATATGTCTCAAAATCAGAAGATGATAGTGAAAGAAATTATTCGTGCTGCTAAATACACAAATCCAAAGGGTCGACGTTATTCAGACGATTTTATAATGCTGTGTTTACTTATGAATATAAGATCTCCTTCATTTTATGAATTTTTAAGAAAAAATGATATTCTTCCATTACCGTGTTCCAAAACTGTACGAGATTATTTATCAATGATTAGAACTAAATGTGGCTTTGACGACGGCTTCTTTAAACTTCTCGAGAAATCATTTAAAGGAAAGGATCCAATGAAGCGCCATGGTATATTAATTCTAGATGAAATACATTTAAGGAAATCGATTTCTGTTTCGTCGAAAGATTTAACATACTCTGGATTAACTGATTTTGGTGAAAATAATAAAAAGGGTGAAAATCTTGACGCCGTAGCAACTCATGGTCTCGTTCTCATGTTCCAATCTCTAACTGAAAAATATTCTCAGCCCATTGCTGTTTTTGCCTCAAAAAACTCTGTTCATGGAAATGAATTGGCGAAACTCGTCGTGCAATCAATCTACTATTTAGAAAATTGTGGGGCGAAAATTCATGGGATTCTCGGAGATGGTGCTTCAACTAATGATAAAATGTGGAAACTATTGAATATTAAATCTTCACGAGAAGATACAAAATGTTGGTTTACACATCCTTGTGATGAAAATAGAAAAGTATTTATGTTTTCGGATGCACCGCATTTAATTAAATGTATTAGAAATAGACTGTACAGTAATAATCTTCGTGTGAGTTTTTTTTTTTACAATTTTAGTGTATTTTTTTTAAATTTTGTTGTTTATTATAACGCATATTTAAATTCAATTTTTTACCTTCTTTTTTAGATTCATCCTGATGAAAATGAAATAAAGTGGGATTATTTTCTACATCTATTTCATGTCGATAGTAATCACGAGGCCAGAGTTCGTGCGTGCCCTAAATTAACTAAAAGACATATTAAATTAGATCCTCAAGGACTAATGCGTGTTCGATATGCAACTCAAGTACATATTTATGAAAATATTCTATTACCAATAATAATAATAATTCCCTAGTTTATTTGAAATATTCAAGTTATTTACTTCTTTTCAGATTTTTAGCGATTCAGTAGCAAAAGGTTTGATATTTTATCAAATGCACCAATATCCTCAGTTTGAAGGTTGTGAAGATACAGCTAATTTTTGCATGAAAATGAATGAAATGTTTGATGCACTCAATCGGCATCAACCAAATCAAGGTCTTACACCTAATTCTAAAGATTTTAAGGTATTGTACTTCATTTTCTATTTTCATGAAAAAATTACTTTTTCATTCGTTTTCTATTATTTTTGTTTATTAAGAATTATTTTCAAAGTCATTTCCATAATATTTTATAAAGGTGTTGCAAAATATTCTTCTGTGGCTAAACAATTGGGAGATAAATCTTGAAAATGGTCTAATAGATGAAAGTAATTACCTAACGTTAGAAACAGCAGGAAGATTACGAGTAACAATTATGTCAACACTGACTATGTGTCACTATTTAATTGACAAATTTGATTTTTCTTATCTTCTAACCGGAAAAGTTAATCAAGACAATCTAGAGGTACTTTTAGTTATTTTTTCTGATTCAAATATACTATATATTCATTGCTTTGTGGATAAATGTCTTTTCTTTAGAAATTCTTTGGCACAATTCGATTGGCAGCTGGATCCAATGAGCATCCCACATGTCCAACGTTTTTGCAGTTATACAAGTTGTTGGCTGCATACAGTATATTAAAGCCGCCTAGATATGGAAATTGTTTAGTGACTGAGCAGAAAGTTCAAAATCTTATCACAATTTCAGAAATTAAAGAAATTTTTGAAAAGTCTCATTCCAAATCGACATCACTGTTAAACAGTATTAAAAACAAACTGGACAGTCTAATTGAGGAAGACACCTGGGAAGTTGACGAAGTCATTGAACATGACTATTCAATTAGACCAGTTATAGACTGCATTATTTATTACACCACAGGTTTTAAAGATTCTTTATTAACTAACATTTATTAATGTTTTTGTGTTTTGTGTATATTTGTTTTGCATTTTTCTAACGCTTTTTCTAATATTTTCTAACATATTTCGTACAATCACTTTATGATAATAACTATTACAATATTATTAATTATTTATTAAGATATATCTGTAGTTATGATTATTTATACATATATTTATTTCAGCCTATTGGTCCAAAAAAGGAATTGGTTTACATTTTACAGCAACTTAACTGAGGCACAGATGTTATTTCATCAATATTCTACCGATGTAAACAGTTTTTTTTAATTCAATTTTTTATTGATTATATACAATAAAAATGTGCTTGTCCATATTTCCTTTAAGCAAAAATAAAAAAAAAATATTTGAATTTAAATATATTGCATGAAATTAAAAAGTAGTTCTTGTATTTTTTAATTAGAAGTAGTTTGTGATCGTCCACAGAAAAGCCAATTAAAACTTAATTTTTTAAAATAAAATTTATCATTTTAATTTTAACATTTATATTTCATTTTTAGGATATCTTTGTCGACAAATTTTGAAGAAAAAAGACTACAGTCAATGTGACTCTTGTATTAAAGCTCTCACATTTTGCGATAAAAAGTCTGCAGTCAGCAACCTGGTAGAGTTAAAAGATCAGGGTAGATTAATTCATCCCAATTACCATTTTTTTAATCTCATTTGTTTCACAGAGACAGTTTTTCGCAAATACGCTAACCAGCAACACGTCTTTGATAAGGTTATTGATGAAGTTACAGACAATTATAAATTCACTTTTCCCTGTAAACAACATGCTTCCAGCATTTTAACTTATGCCTTATTTTATTATATACGTTTAAGAATGTGCCAATTTGCGTTTCAGTTCAATCAAACTCTGAAAAAAACATCTTCTATCAAAAGAAAACTTTCCAAATTAGAAAGCAGTTAAAATTCTATACAAATAAGAGTCTAATTTTTTAAGAAAATGTAAATTATGTTTATGTCTCGTTAAAAGCTGTAAAAAATATTTTGCAAATTATAAAACTTTCGTTTTTCAAATCAAAGGTAGTTTTCTTTTCCTTAAAACAAGGCTTCAGCTGCGCTTATCAGTGTTTAATAATACGTTATATTATATACAATCGGTCAATATTTTATGTTTTACAAAAGCCAAAGAAATATTGTCACTTTTATACAAACCGAAGTAATCTTCGTAATTATGTCAATTTAAAAAACAAAACAAAAACACAATCAATATTTTATGGATTATTTCAATACAGGAAGAGTATTAATTTTTTGAAAAAGAAATCATTTTTACAATAATAAGTCAACTATAAAAACAAAAATATTTGTACAATTCTAGCATTTATGCACTTATAAAATCGCTTATTTATTTCTCCACTATCAAAACACTTTTTTTAATAATTTTGTAAATATACAAGTCGAAATTATGAATCAACTCAAAAAATTTTTTAGTGTATATACCAAAAATTGAGGTTATGTTCGTTTGTTTACACTCCAACCATAGACTCTTCGACAAATACGCCCTCGGGCTTCACGCGGCGACCCTGCGAACCATTATGAGATTCCGGACCTGTATATACGACCGTGCCCTTACCGGCAACGGACCTCTCTGAAGTTGTCAACATTTATCGATTATTACCAACGCTACCAACTTTAAATTCACATTGGCGCGAAATTTAAATTCAAATTTCCACATTTTGCATTGATTAAGGTGGTGCAAAAGTCGAAAATAATTTTTTTAATACTCAAAAATTATATTTCATATATAAAATTCCAAATTAACACTTAAAGTAAAAAATAAAAAATTCCAATATAATAAAGGATTTGTACGGAAATTAATAATTAAAACAAATTACTCATTTTTTTTTTTATATAGGAATACGATAACGCATATATTTATTGCGATAAAATAGAAATATAAATGTGGAATAGGAAAAACTGAAATTTGCATTTTTTTTTTTTTTTTTTTAAGTATATAGACGTGGGTTTTTGTAAAGGTTTTTCTACAATATAATACAAAAGTGACATGGCACGTTCACGCAGCATTACAATACATTTTTTTACGACAATGAATTTTTTTTTTCTTTTGCAATATTCAAGAAAGGCAGATGTTCGCTGGCGTCGTTGTCTAAAATTTTCAAGACTTAGGTATCACATATAATTCGCTCGCAATGAACTAATAAATGTATTTATTATAAATTAGAAATAATTATTGCAAAAAAAAAATAAAAACGCGAAAAATTTCGATTAAAAATTTGGCATTTTTGGCAATGAATAATATACAATTTTTCATATTTTTTTCACTATTATAATTAATTTTTTTTTCGCAAAAATGTAAATTTCCTTGGGTTGTATAATTAATATAATAATAATAATAATTACAAAATTGCGGAATGTTTTTTTTTCAAGCTGCTTTTGAATTCGATTTCTGCCAGAAAATTATTTTTTTTAATCCATAAAAATTTTATTTGGAATATAATGTTTATATATATATATGTATGTATATATATTAGTTTGTCTTTTTGATCTACGTTCACTTATTTAATTATAACTACTTTTATGATCATTTTGCCGTTTTTTTATTGTAATTTCTAAAAAATTACAATAATATCGATCGAGTTTCAAAAATTGATTTTTTTTTTCTTTTCTCGAAATCGATTTTTTTTTTATGCATCTTCGAAAACGCATTCACAAACGCTTTAGACATTGTCATAATTTTGTAATAATATTTTTTTATTTTCTTATTCTTTTTTCGAAGGGTAAAATCGAATTTTACTGGTGTAATTTTTCGAATTTTCGATTAAAAAAATGCTAACGTCAGAGCAGTGAATTTTTGAAGCGTACATCGATATTTTATCGATAAAATTCAATTTGATCAATAATATTCGATAAAAATTACGATAAAATTCGATTTTATTATAAATCAGAAACGTAACCTCAAATTCTTTTTCTTCTTTTTGAAAAAAAACATTTGTTTTTATTAAAATATTTTTGTATATAAATAGGAAATAATTTTCAAAAATTTTTTTTTCCGAATATTATTAACGTAAAATTGTAAATATTTGAAAAATCTTTCACATACTTTGAGGTTATGTATCTCAAGCGAAAAATTTGTTTGTTTTTTTTCAAAAAGAAAAAATAAAATAAATTTTATATAATATATAATTATAACGATATTGACATTTAGGATTAGTAAATATTTGGCTTAGGGCTTAACACCTTTTATCTCACAGCAATAAATAAATATTTATCTTCCTATATATATATATATAATATGATAGTCAAAGTTCCAAGAGAAATTATCACCCAATTATTTCAAAATTCGAGTGAAAAAAAATGTTTGATTTCTATATACTGATTGTAATTTTTTTTTTTTAATTGAGCAGATTTCTGCAAAGATTCCTTTAATTGTATTATATAATATTCATTGAGGTTATGTCTAAGAGAACCAACGCCTTATGAAATTTAAAAAAAAAATTCTCCAACAATTTATCATAAAAATCTTTTTTAAATTCCCTATATAATTAAAAATAGAATAAAAAATAAAAATCTTCGTTTAAAGATTGTTAAAAAAAAAAAAATGTTTACATTTTCATGGCGTCATTTCTTTTATACATGGCCTTAAGAAAAATTAACCAATTAACATAACTTCAAATTAAAAAATTAGAAATTTTTAATAAACAATATTAGGCTTTTAATATAATTTCAATTTGAAATTAGTTTCTCTATTAAAATTTTTTGAATAAAATATTTCTTATATAAAATACCTTCTCATGTAATCTTAAGTGAATGTAAAAAAAATTAATTTTTTTAATTTAAAGTTATGTCAAATGGGCTTTAACACTTAAATTATGTATAAAGAGAATTATCTATATCTCGTTATTCTAATAAAATATTAATAGATTCCAATTACAATTCTCACAATTGTTACGAATCGTTGATAAATCAATAAAAACATTTACAAATATTAAAAATGTACTAAAATCCAAATTAAAAATGAATTCTGATTTTTACGAAAAAAAAAGAAAAATCAATTAAAGAAATTAATCGAAAAAGAATTTAAAAGAAAGAAAATTAAAAATTTTTAAAACAAAAATTAATTAAATAGAAAAAAGAAAAGAATTCTTTACAAATTTTTTTCATTATAAATGAGAAATTGGATTCTTTTTTTTTTGGTACATTTAAAATAAAAAATGAAAACCTTCTGTGAGATTCATTTTCTAATTTTACGAAAAACTATATAACATATTCTTAATTATATTCATAAAGAATTAATCGACAACTAATAAAAACGATAAACATTTTCTTTTCTAAACATTTTGCACATGTTTTCATTTTCCATTTCTTTTTTTTTTCATTTTAAATAAATTATTTACAATTAGATTTCAGTCCGATAAAAAGATAATATACAAATATATAATATATATATATAATATATAGAATTTACTAATTATATATAAGGGTTGGGAAAATACTTTAAATATTCCAGTTGAAAACTAATTTTCAAAAAAATTTCCATTCATTACTAAATTTTCCCTCCTTTTTTTTTTTTTTTTTTTTGTAAATAACAATTATATTTATTTTTTTTTTTTTTTTTTTTTTTAGTAAAAAGTAGAAATTTTGCTAAAATTTTTTTCTTTCTAAAGAAGCGAGATATATATTTTTGTTTTCAAATATATTTTCTTATCTAAAAAAAAAATAAGAAAACTGTAGTCAAAAAATTAACGGTTTAATTCTTTGAATAATATATTAATTGCAATTAATAATCAATTTAAAAAAATTATTTTTAAAAATTGTTATATCAATTAATAAAAAAATATATTCGATTAATAATTGAATTAAATTATCAATTAAATTCTTAATTAATTTTTTTTTTTTAAATCGGGGCAATTTTCTTTTTGTATTCAAAAAGAGTGTGACAAAAAAATAATTGTTTTGAAAATTTTTTATAGCTTTTTTTTTTTTGTTGAAAAAAAACCTTTAGACCGATAATTTAATTTACGATTTCGAGTTTTAAGTGTTTTTTTTTTTTAATTATTATTTTGTGCGTTAGTGAGAAACGTTTTTCTCCGAGCGTTGTCACTTCTGCACTTAATTATTAATTTTTTGTTTTTTGACTATCTGGTACGGCAAGCAAATGTTTTTTTTTTCTTTTACGATTTTTCATCAAAAAATCTAATTTTTTTTTTTCGATGGTTGACACAAATTCTGAGTAATCAGAATTTTTAGAATTTATTTTTTTACCTATATTTATTTTTATATACGAGTTTCACTATTTTTTTTAAGCAGATCTATAAGAGAGAGAAAAAAGAGAGAAAAATATTAGAAAAATATTTTTTTAACTATCTTTTTGTATCTTAGATATAATTTTAAAAAATTTTTTATTTACATTATTAGGGAATAAAAATAAAATTATTATTATTGTAAAAATTAATAATATCAACAATATATATATATATAAATTATTTAAATAACTCACCACATTCCTTTGGTTTCAGCAGATCCATTCCAGACCTTTATAATATATTGTACAAAGAAGACGACGACAATAACAATAAATGTATCTATAAAATTTTTCAACATATTAACATTATTCTGGTTGTCTCTTAATCCCCTTTGTCTTATTGCAATCTGTTCGATTAATCGTTGAATTTGGTTTAGTTTCTCACTGTGCTCCGTTAATCGATCCTCCATTCCCTTCACCATGCCCGCGAGTCTGTTTTAATATAGAAATATTTTTTTCTAATTAAAAATTAAAAAAAAAAACAGAAAATTATACACAAAAAAAACACAAAATAATACAAAACAAACAAAAAATAATTTCGAAAACAATAAAAAATTATAATACAAAATATATTTAGTAAAAAATGAGAAAAAATAAAATCTCAATCAGAAAAACTAAAAAGAAAAAAAAAACAAAAAATAAATTGAAAATTATACAGAAAATGCTTAATAATACAATAAAAAAAAACTCGAAAAATTAAAAAATTAATAAAAGACAAAACAAAAATTCAAAAAAAGAAATAAAATCCAATTGAAGCAAATAAAATCGAGAAAAAAATAAAAGAATTATAAATTTTTTAAATAAAAGACAAAGCAAAAATTCAAGAAAAAAAAAGAAAATTTCTATTCTAACAAAAAGAAAATAAATTAAAATGATAAATGAGATTAAAATCGAGAAGAAAATAAATATTTTTTTTTTATAATAAAGTACAAAATAAATAATAAAAGCAATTAAAATTATAAATGAGATTAAAATCGAGAAGAAAATAAAAGAAATATTATTTTTTTTTTTATAATAAATTACAAAACAAAATCAATTAAAATTATAAATGAGATTAAAACCAAAAAAAATAAAAAATTTTACCTAATTGCAGATCGTCTTCGTTTTCCCACAGATTGACTTGAATCGGAATGAACTTCCGCCGACGAACTTCCAGAATCATGTACCGTTTCCGTGATAGGAATATTGCTAGAGAGCTGACGTTTCGACGATTTCAGGACGGAGAGAGATGAACGAGATTCGGCCTGAAGCAAAGGCATCTGAAAAATTCACAGTTTTTTGTTGGCTTTTTTTTTCTCATTCCTCAGTTGAATCCGATTTTTCCCTTTTTTTTTTTTTGTTTGTTTTTCACAATCTTCACGTAAAATATATATATATACAATAATATGTTTGTTCTCCCTCATAAAAGTTTTCTCTTCACATTTGTTTTGGATTTTGAAAATTTTTCGACTTCTTTTTTAAAAAGAAAAAAATATTAAGAAACAGGTAAATTAAAAAAGTGAATTTTATATTTATATATATATTTTTTACTTTTAATTAGATTATATTTTAATATTTAACAAAGAACAGATTTTGAGATTTAAAAAAAAAAAACCTGATTTTGTTTTCGAAAAATTTCTATTTTTTTTTTTTTACCTGTGTTTGTGGATCAATCGAGACAATGCTACCGGTACGCATAATTGGTGTCTTGTGTCTAGTTTTTGTGCGAATTATATAATCCTGTTCATATTGCACTACATCATTTCTAGGATCCCAAGGACGAGTGTCGGCATTACGATAAACCCAATGTCCCGTAATTATATCCTATTAAATTAGAAGAAAAAAGAAGAAGAAAGAAAATATCAATTTTTTAACTCAAATTAAATACATTTTCTTTATTAAAATTATTAGGACAATTTTTTTCCATTTTTTTTTTTAGGGAAAAAAGATTATTGAAAAAAATGTCAAATTTTTTTTCAAAATTAAATTAATTTCTCAATTAAAATTATTAGAACAATTTTATTTATTTTGAGAGAAAAAAAAAGAAAGATTCGAGAGAAAAGTAATTTTCAATTTTGACAATTACATTAAATTATTAGCTTAACATTAATTTATCAAAAGTAAATAAATTTAGAAAAAAATAGTTTTAAAAAGCAAAAATGTCCAATAAAAAATTTTTGCAAAAATTTTTCTACCTGCACAAAATATTTGGGAATCCAATCTTCGCATTTTGCTTTTCTTTCTTTCGCGCGTTCTCTTTGGGCTTCCTCCAGCTGTGTTTTAGCTTCCGTCGCTGCCACTTGATCATCATTATTGATAGCGTGCGTAACGGCTAACCATAATTTTTCACTTTCCCATTGACCTTGATTTTCCAAAGGAACCGTAAATTTCTTTAATCGATTCCATCGAACTTCTGGCGTTGGATTGAAAAATGAACTCTCTTGCTGTTTTTTTTAAAAAAAAGGAAAATTAAAAAATACACTAACTTTGTTTTTTCTTTTCTAAATAATCAGCAATAATTATTTTTATTATTATTATTATAATTATAAAATAAGAATTGGTTTTTCAAGGTTTGAAAAAAATGAAGATTTTTTTAAAATTGAGATTCGATCACATAATTTTAATATAAAAAATTACCCCCGATCTTTTATCGGTGATTGTGATTTGTCCGTCCCAATAACCGGAAAAATTGGCAAGAGTCTCCTTGCCAAGTCGTATTCTTCCAACAACTTGATTCAATTGATCGGCACCTCCCAAAAATGGCTGAAAAACAATTTTTGTTAATTTATTTTTCAAACTCAATTTAAATTAATTTTCTACTTATTTAGTTTCAATTTGGTTTTTAATAATTAATTTTCTACTTATTTAATTTTAATTTGGTTTTTAATAATTAATTTTCTACTTATTTAATTTCAATTTGGTTATTAATAATTAATTTTAATTTGTACATTAAAATAGAAATATAAAATAAATAGAATAAAAAAAAATCGGTAGTTGTAAAATAAAAAAAAAAAAAACAAAAAATAGTCGGAGAATTTTGTAAAAAAAATTTACCTTTAATTTAAATTCCAATTCCGTGTGATAGCCAGTTTTTTCACAAACAATATTAATTTTCCCACCGAGTTCCATTGACAATGTACCCATAAGAATTCCTTTACAATGTGCATAAGGAATTGTCATTGTATAATCTTCACCTCGCGGTAACATTGTTAAAATTGCTGTTCCATCCAGTACAGCCGACGTTGAATTTCCTGTTTCAACAATACTCAAATTAAAACAAAAATCTAAACTAAAAAAAACCAAACTTTCTTTTCAATTATTGATAGTAAAATATTTTTTAAATTTTTTAGAAATTTAAAAACTATTATTACCTATATCATAGAAAATAATTTCTTTTTTTTCCCAATTTGTCAAACATTACAAAAAATGAAAAAATTTATTTTTAAATTCAACTAATTTATAACTAAGAAATAATTATTTTTAAATTTAATAATTATTATAAATTTGAAATTGATTTTAAAAATTTTTTGCCAAAAAATTGATAGTTAATTTTTACATTATTGAGAAATAATGATTAAATTTAATAATAATTATAATTTAAAATTCATTTTTAAAATTTTGTTAAAAAAAAAAACTAACCGTAAAATTTCGATTTTGCTATAATTGATGCGCTGATTGTAAATCCATCTTGTCGGTTAGTCACGTAAAAACCAGAAATTGGAGGATGATGTGATAACTAAAATTATAGATTAATTAAAATTTAATAATAAATTGTTATATCTAAAAAAAAAAAAATCTTTTTTTTATAATTTTTCATCTAAACTGTGTAATTAAATAGAATAATTAGTGTATTTCTAAATGCAATTAGTCTTAATTTTTATTTAATGATCTATTCACAATTTTCTTTCATTGTGAACAACCAGTAATTACTATATACAAAAAAATATTGACCGAAATAAAAAACATTTTTTTTTTTATAAAAAAGACATTAAAAATGATTAATTATACAAAAAAAAAATATTTTATTTACTTAAAAAAAAATGTTTTTTGAAAGTGAAAAATTAAAACATGCCAAAATGGTTTTTTTCTTTATTAATTAGAAAATTTCAATTAAAAAATAATTTCCAATAAAAATTCAAATTACCTGTTCGGCTAAATAAAAAGTACGAGAGCCATTTGGATGTTGCCAATAGCAGCGAAATGTTTCGCCAAGAAGTGGATTATATGGTTTCTTTAAACCTTGTGGTTTTTTATAAAAACCAGACAAATACCATTTGACTACTAATTTCATACGAGTAAAAGCGTCGTCTTCGAGAACAGCTCTATTTCGAAAAAAAAGAAAAATTTCATTTAATTAATACTTTTGAATAAACGAACTAAAAAAGAGAAATTAAATTTTTTTTTTTACATACTGCGATAAAATATCGGCATGATAATAAGAATCCGCGAGTTTTTCCAAAAATGAACGTGGTTCAAGAATAAATGTTGGAAGAACAACTTTTGACAAATCCATTCCAGGTCGTACTTGTTTCATTAAAAACCAAATTAGAGATTTTTGTTCATCTTGCAATTCGGCAACAACTTCTCCAGCCTTGGATTAAAAAAAAAAAAAAAAAAAAAAGACAATTATAAAAATCACAATTTTTAGACAAAAAATTTTTTTTTTTAAAAATGAGAACAAAAAGGTGACGAAATAATATAATTACAAATTTAATAAAGATTAAAAAAAAATTGTTAATAAAAGCAAACAAATAATTATTATTATTATTATACTAAATTATTAGTGTAAAAATAATTATTAAAAATTAAAAAATTTATTTTGGTAATTTTTAACAAAACTGACATAATTTACTTTACAAATTAAAAATAGAAATTTAAAAAAAAAAGATTTGAAAAAATTATTAGAAAAATGTAAAAGAAATAATTTTCAAAAAAAAAAACTTACAGATCCAAGAACTTCATTTTCATTAGAAACATAGGGCGTTTCATTAATTTGTTGTTCCTCTTCATCTTTGCCAGATGCATCGGATTCACTTTCAGTTGCACTAATTTCAACATCGGCAACAACACCATTTTCCGGTTGGCTGATATCGTCCAGGTCTGTGTGCGAGGTGTATACAGGATCTAGCGTTACTACTTGACGGGTCGCGTACTCTAGGGCATCGATAGAAGGACTTGTCATGCGACGGATGGGATTAAAAGATGGTACAGATAAAGAAAATGACGATGAAGAAGAAGCAATAGCATTATTATTATTATTATTAAATGTCAATTTTTCATTATTAACCGAAATTATTTCCATTTTGTCATTGTCATCGTCAAATGAATTTGATGATAATTGTACGATTTTTTTTTCACTATTTTGCAATAATTTTTCTTCTTGTGAAGTTAGACGACGGGCAAGTTTTTTTTCCCAATAGGAAACTGGATAATAGAGATATTGAAACATTGAAATTGGCGAGGGACAAACACTATTATTATTATTACTGTTAGTTTTTGAATTGTTTGGAGAAAAAAATTTAGGCGAAATTGGTTGAGGACACGATAGCAAGCGACGTTGTGGTGTTGTCGGTGTACGTGGTGCGTAATGATTTAGTGAAATTGTCGTCGAAATGTCATCAGTATTGTAATCTTTTCACGATATGATGTAGATGATCATCGCGTGGCAATAATGACAAAAATTATATTCTTTATTGTTAAGAATATATTTAAAATATTAAATTCTCATTAAATAACGATTTTAATATTTCGCTTTTCCTTCTTCTCGCATTTGTTTATTGTTTTTATATTCGATTTTTTTTTCTTGCCTCAGATGAAAAGAAACATTCAGTTTAGGAAAAAAAATAATTATAATTTTTCAATTTTGTTTTCTTTAAAATTAAAAAATAGTTTTTATTTCTTTTTTTTCGGTTTTATGTAATAACAAGTAAATATTTACTTAATTTTAGTGAAAAAAAAATAGTAAAATCTAAAATAAAAAAAATTTAGCAAATTTTGCGAGAGTTAAAAATCGAGTTAAAAAAAAAATGGCAAAAAATTGAAAAAATTTGGTTTTCTTTCTGAAAAAAATTGAAAATATAAAAAAAATAATTAAAAGACAAAATGAGAAAAATTGAAAAAGATTAAAAGAAACTTTTTTTTATTAGTTTTTACCGAAAAAAATGAAATTTAAAATAAAAATCGATAAAAACAGAAATTGAAAAAAATAATGAGAAGAAAGAAAGAAAAATATTAAAACAAAAAAGCAAAAAAAAATTTGAACACAATTAAGCAGAAACGATTATTATTAGTAAAGAAATTGAAAGTTAGTATTTTTGGCAATGTTTAGTGGGCAAGGAACAGTTAATAAAATCTCCCATGCAAACTTACGATATTAAAAATTAAAAAGCAAAAAAATAAAAAAACTTAAAAAAAATTTCTCTAAAATCCCAAAAACATTTTTTTGATTTATTTTCAGACATCGAAACTTCTTTTCAAAATAAAAAAAAAATTAAAAGCAAAATAATATAAATTTCATAAAATTATTCAAAACTAAATTTCTTAAATATTTTTTTTTGTATGATTTTCATTGAAAAAATTCATAAACTTCGAGTCTTGATTTTTATTTTTTAGAGAAATTTTTTTTTCAAGAAAAATTCAAAAGGTACTTTTTTGTTTTTCCTCTTTTTTCGGGGAAAAATTGCAACCTCTTGAAATGGGGGGAAAAAAAAATTACCGTGCTCATTGAAATGTTTCTCGTAATCCGCTTCACTCCATTGGGTCTCGTGGGTGGTTGTCGAATCATGTTGAGGCGAACGTGGAATTGCACTCGTTGATCGCACAATCAAAGATGAACAACGAAGTGACAATTCAAGAGCGTCAAGCCAGCATTTACCGGCAGCTTGCGATGGAGCTCTGAATATTAAATACGAAGTTGGCAAAGGTTGCACAACAGCGCCTGCAAAAAAATAAAAAGTCATTTCTTCGAAAAAATCTTTTTTTTTTTAATTAACCTTCATTTTGAACAAAAAACAAAACAAAATCATAAAAAAAACGTTTGTAGCATTTTTTTTTCAAATCAAAGAATTTTTTTCCAAAAGAAGGAAAAAAGTTCTAAAGAAAAAAAAATATCACGAAATTTTATTTTGAATAAAATTCTTTAATTTCGATTTTAATTTAAGAAAAACTAAAATATTTGTAGTTTTAGCTAAAAATAGAAAAATAATTACCAACTTCTTGATCTAAATATATACGAAAAAATGGATCAGTGAGATTAAAATTTATTGCACTCTTTTTTTTCTTTTTTTTTTGTCTTTTGTTATAAAAAGAAAAGTTAATTTTACCGATGGCTTCATTCTGAGGTCCTCGTGGTGTCCAAATCGATTGTTCCAATGGATGAAATAATTTAAAACAAAATCCATCCTTCTTACTGGGTCGTTCTATCACTTGACACGTATTCAACAATATCGTTCCAACCCAATGACTACTCTGTAAATAATAATCAGACCAATATAAAATATTTGATTTTTTTTTCCATCTATATAAAAATATAATTTAAAACAGAAAAAAAATTTATTTTCTTTTTGAATTTTGCCTGAAAAAATGGAAAAATGCAAAAAAAACAAAAAAAGGTAAAAAAAATAATACAAAATAAATATTTTCAAATTTGAATATAAAATAGAATTTACTTTTACTTTTGGACTCTTGTATAGAAGTAACAATCCAGGTTTAAGAATACACCACAATTTTGTCCAACTTTTTAATGTTCCTCGAATTTTTAACCAATCGCTCATAACAACAACTGTTGGATCTTTTAATGAACTTAAAAGTTCATTTGCCACTCGTTTCTTTTCTATTCGATAATTTTTCCTCTGCGCCTTGTAAGATTCTTTTCTCGTTAATTTACATGTCTCGCCCGACTGAAAATAATATTTTTCTTAAATAAGTATTTTTTAAATATTTTTAATATTATTTTTTATTTTTTAAAATGTTTTTTAAACTTTTTTTTTTATTTTTTAAAAATTTTTTTGTAAATTTACAATTTTTTTTTTTCAATTCTATTCTTTTTATTTATTTTATTTTAAAATTATTTTAATATAAAAAATTTCATTCGGGTAATAATTTTTTCCCGAGGAAACAAAAAAGCATTTTTTTTTTTTTTTTTTAAACTAAATTAAAAGAGAAAATATAATTATTTCAATTACCTTCTCGGACGTGTTATCAGTTTTTATACTTTCCCCAGTGGCGGAGAGTCCTGAAAGTGAAGAATAAAAAGATTTTTTTTTTTTTTGATAAATTACTAAAAAAAGAAAAGAGAAGAAAAAAGCTACTATGATGGGAGAAAATTGGTGAATGAAAATCTAATTATTTTTTTTGCATATTTTAAGAAAAAAAAAGAGGGAAAACTTTCTTCTATGAGAGTTAACGTTGCTTAAATGATAACGTAATCCCTTGCCTCTCTGCATTTCTATGACTTCTCACATTAAAGGGATCAACACACTAGATATTTTTCTCATTATACAAGCTAAACGTTGTGAAGTAGCTGACAAGAAAATTAGTTTACGTATATATAAAAAAAAACATTGAAATTAAAAAAAGAAAAATCCCAATGATAATTTTTTTAAATTTCTATAATCAAAATAATTTTTTATCAATTATTAATCGAAATAATTTTTTTAAAATTTCAATTACAATTTTCATATTACATTTAGATTTCAAATTTTCGTTTTTATTGTAAAAAATTTTCCGTTTTCAATTTCAATATTCATTTTCCGTTTCGAAATCGTATTTAAATAACTTCCATTTCGATTTCCATTTTCCATCCCATTCAATTTCGAAATTTTTCTATACTTTTAGTTTCGAAATCAATTTTCAATTTTTGATTTCTATTTTTCTAATTTTAATTTTTTATTTCAAATTTGATACATTTATTTTTTTATTTTCTCTTTTTTATTATTATTATTATTATTATTATTATTTTATTGTTTCCATTGTGTATTTTTAGAAAGATTTTTATTTTCACTAATTGAGTTGATTTTAAATTTTACTTTATTTTCAATATAATAAATTGCATAAAAAAAAATATATAAGTGAATATTATTTTTCAATATTCCATCATTTTTTTCTCTCTCTTTCAATTTTATTAATTACTGATGAAAAAAAAATTCTCTCTACCCCGTATATTTAGCGTAGGTTCACTTTGACACATTCTTTCAATATTCATTTTTGATGGCAAAAAAAAAAAAAATAAAATAAAAAAAATCACACACAATACGGAAATGAAATTCGTACTTTCGAGACAAGAGAAACAAACTGAACTCAACAATTGTCCCATTTTTAATTATTATCAAATCTGATAACTTATCATATCTACAAAAAAAAACTCTAAATCGAATGCAATTTTATTAATACAAAAAAAAATTAAGTAATAAAGAAAATTAATAATAACAAATTTTTTAAATAAAAAATAATTTCTGATTTTAATAAAATTTTTTAATATAAAAAAATAAAATTTTTCCATATTTATAAAATTGTTTTAATAATTTAAAAAACAATTTTCTAAATATATTTTTTACTCTCCAAGAAACGTTACAAATATTAAATTAAGGTCAAGGAAAAAACTAAAATCCAAAAAAAGTCTTGAAGATAAAAAAAAACTGAGCAAACAAAAAAAAAAAATAAAGACCCAAAATATTGTGTAAATAGAAAACGAAACAAAAAAAAAAGATTTATAAAAATATTTTCACCTGGAGATAAAGGTGGACCTTCTGTGACATGCATTGTTGCGGCAAGTGATTCGGATGATGGAAGTTTTGATAACGACGTGGGATGAACTTGAACGCTACTTCTTCTAAAGTGTCGATCATCTGCTGGTGCTGCACGTTCATTAAAGAATTTTATCTTCCTAAACACATGAATTTTGCTGGGATTTTTTTTTTCGTACGAGGATTATTATTGCCATAATTAATTTTAAAAATTTCAAATTTTTTTCTTTCCTTTATACATATTGGAAAAAAAAACACACAAGCAATAAATATTTCCTCTTTTTAAAACGAAAAAAATTTCAACATAAAAAAAAAAAAAAGATAAAGACAATAATAATGTATATATATAGAGCAGTTTAAGAAGCGTTTTATGATTACAAAATTAGCCCATAAAAAGTTAGTATAATAAAGTCAAGCGTTTATCTCCGATTAAATAAATTCTGTTGTAATCGAAATATTGTCATATTTCTCAAAATTTTATAGCTCTCTTGTTTGAATTTATTGTTTAATTTAAGTTTCTATTATTGTACCTCTTTTGCAATTCAATTATTTTTACACAAAAAAAAAAAATTTTTTTTTATTAAAAAATTGAAAAAAAATAAACAAATATTTACAAGTAGATTTTTCCAATTTATTTAATTTTATTATAATTTATTTAAATTGTAAAATTATTTTAGAATTTAATTTTTAAAATTAAAAAAATAATTTTTTTTTTATGTAAAATTATTGCAATTACTGAATAATTTATGATTTGTAAAAATTGCAAAGTGAAAAACAAATTAAAAAACCAAATTAAAATAAATTAATTATACAATAAGAAATAGATTTCAATAAATATAGAACGAAATTAGTAAAACTAGTCATTAAAGAAAAAATGAAACGAAAAAAGAGAGAAATTAAATCAAATCAATAAAAACGAAAATAAAAATCTAAATATTAAAAATATTAAAAATATAGCAACAGTAATAATAATAATTAAAAATAATAAAATAACAAAAAATCTAAGCAAAATTAAAAAAAATATCAACAGCAAAAAATAAATAAAAAAATAAAAAACAAATATCTAAGCAATGCAAAAAATAATAAAATAGCGATAGTTATAATAAATAAAAATAATAAAAACCTTAACGAAATGAAAAACAAAAACGATATTAAACGACGTAAAAGAATAAATTAAAAATATAAATAAAATGAAATTTTTGAAACTTTGTTAAATTGTATAATTATTTCACTAATTCTCTTTTTTCGTTCAAAAAAAAAAAAAAAAACAAAGATAATAGAATTTATTTACCGAATACGATGTAAAAAATACATTTCATGCTTTGACAATAAATTTTTCTATAATGACATTGTAAAAAACTATTATTATTCACGTTAACTTTCAAAAAAGTTCAAGTACAAACTGTTGGTTATAATAAAGTGTAGTTTTTTAATGATTATATACAAGCCGATTATCATTATTATTATTATTATATATAGATTTACTTACCACTGCTTAGTGATCGTGTAACATTCGGTGGGGTTATTGTTTTAAATGCTTCCGTGGATGTTCCAACAGAAGATGATGAATGTAAATCCGAATGAGATCGACGATCACCACCAGGAACCATAATTGGTGTCGAATTCATTTTTCCTTCAAGTCATCGGAAAACAGAACAAAAAAAAAAAAAAAAAAAAGAAGAAAAAACTCAGTTAATTACTGTTTTTCCATTTTCCAACTTGACATAAAAGTTCATTTTGTCGCAAAACTATAATTTCTGCGAGATCTATGTCGCTGATATTATGCGAAAATTATATGCAAAATTATTATTACTTTTTTTTTAATTGTTATTTAAAAAAAAAATTTAATTACCCTAAATTTTTATTTTTCATTTAATTTATTTTTTACAATTTTTATTTTTACTATTATTTTTGTTATACTATTTTTATTTCTATTTTTATTACTATTACAGGCCTCGGATCGACTTTAAGGCACAAGAAAAGTCGTTTTAGTCGAATTATATTTAAAAAAAAGGTCGAAAAAGTCGATTTTTTCAATTTTAACAAAATTGAATTTGTTAATAAATATTTTACTTTAAATAATTAATGTGAATTTTCAAAGATTTAAAATTGAGATTTTTGAAAATAATTGAATTTCAATTGAAGTTTGGAAAAATAATTGAATTTTAGTTGATAATGAATTAAACATTTGGAAAATAATTGAATTTCAATTGAAGTTTGGAAAAATAATTGAATTTTAGTTGATAATGAATTAAAAATTTGGAAAATAATTGAATTTCAATTGAAGTTTAAAAAAAATAATTGAATTTTAGTTAATTTTAAATAGAAAAATTTGAAAATTGATTGAAAAATTTGGAAAATAATTGAAATTAGTTGATTGTAAATTGAAAATTTTTAAAATAATTGACTTTTAATTAAAATTTTGGAAAATAATTGTTTTTTATTTAAATTTTAGTTAATTTTGAATTTAAATTTGGAAAATAATTGAATTTTAATTAATTTAGAATTTAAAATTTTGAAAATAATTGAATTTTAGTTTATTTTGAATTAAAATTTTTTAAAACAATTGAATTTTAGTTGATTTTGAATAGAAAAATTTGAAAATTAATGGAAAATTTTGGAAAATAATTGAATTTTAATTAAATTAGAATTTAAAATTTTGAAAATAATTGAATTTTAGTTTATTTTGAATTCAAATTTTTGAAAACAATTGAATTTTAGTTGATTTTGAATTGAAATTTTTAGTGATAATTAAATTTCAAAAAATTTTTAGAAATAATTAATTTTTAGAACCTTTTAAAATTGAAATTTTTGAAAATAATTGAATTTCAAAACATAGTGTTAAATTTCAAACAATAATAATAATAAGTGAAATTTCTAGTGATTTCTGTTGATGAAGAATTTATTAGAAATCACAAAAAAAAAAAAAAAAAACAATTGAATTCCAAAAGTTTTTAATTGAAAATTGCTTTCAGATTATTGAATTTTCGAAGAATATTACAAAAATCATGAAAAATAATTGAAATTTTTTGCAAATAATTAAATTTCAAGTGATTTTGAATTAAATAGTTTTTGGTAATTTTATTTGCTATAATTTTTCTTTAAATTATGAACAATTATTAAATTTTATAAAAATTTTAATTTGAAAATTAATTTAAGAAAATTGAATTTGTAATGAATTTCATTAAAATTATTAAAATTAATTAATTTATTGAAGAATTTTAGTTAAAAATTTGTTAAATAATTGAAATAAAGAAGATGTGAAGAAGATCTGCATTGTATACTAAAAAAAAATCGTATTTTGTTTAAATTTTTTTTTAAATGTAAAAAAAGTCGAAAAAAGTCGTATTTTATTAAAATAATTCGAAAAATGTCGTATTTTTGAAAAAAAAAGTTGGAAAAAGTCGTATAATCCAAGGCCTGCTATTATTATTATTCGTATATTTTCTAAATTTTATTATTAATCGCGAAAAAAAAAAATCTTTTTCAACTTCTTTTGACATTCCTTGAAGGTGATCATTAAATATTCACTTGGAATCAATAATAAGGGCAAAGTTAACTTGAAACTTTTGCAGGTCGTTATTGACTATTTTTTTTTTTTGTGCTAAAGTTGAAAAAAAAAACAAAATTTTAACATACACGCAAAAAGCTGCACTGCAGTTGTATATATAGTTACCTTCTTGTTTCTTTTTTCCTCCTCCCCCCCACCCCACACAGAATCCTATTGAGATTAAATAAGTAGATCCATGATTTTTTTTTTTGTTTCAACAAGAAAAAAAAATCTTCATAATATCACGAAAACTAGTTTCTGTATGTTAATTAAATAACTACTTGTATTAAGAAAAAAAAAAGAAGATTTAAAGCTGAGTCAGAATATACGAGAAAAAACAGAATTCGCGGTTTTTTTTTTATTTTTATTTATTTTCACAAAAATTCGATTTTCTTCTCGAGATAACACGACGACAATCGTTTGGAAAAATAATTTTCTCGCGAAAAAACGCAAATTTAGTTATTGGTTTTGAATTGTATTATTAGGAAATGTCACCAAAAAAAAAAAAAAAAACACTGAAGACCATGCTGTGTAGATTGTTCACTACGTTCTTGATTCTCACACTCGGCTTTTAACACCCCGCCAGTAACATATAGTCTCTCTTTCTCTCTCTCTCTCTCTCGTTACGCATTTTTGTCATCTTTTGTGCGCGAGCGCGATAAACCTGAAACACGAGTGTTCGATTGATCCTATACACTGCAACGCGAGAAAAAGCCAATTTTTCACTCCGCGCGAATTAAATTGCAAAAATTTCGAGAAAAAAAACTCCCATCGCCGAAAAAAACAAAAAACTGAAAAATATTTTCCCCATTCACGAAAAAAGACCCTTTTTTTATCAATAATAGTTTTAATAATCATCCTGAATATTTCATCCTGACCCGCGAATGAAACAAAAATGTCTTAACCTCAAAAATTTATCATATGCACTTATACATTATACATTTTAATTCACCGAAATATGCTTACATTAAAATTATGTAAAATAAAAAAAAAATAAATACCTTTATTGTAGATTGAAGAAATATTGTTGAAACTTGTTTTTGGAGATAATTTGGCACAAAACACGTGACTTTTTTTTTGTTTATAAATATAATATGCATTTAACAAATTCGGAACATTAGAAAGAGAGAGAGAGGTTAAGAATTTACGATATAAAATTTCACTGATTACACTGATTAAATTTTATTAAGCAGAGAGGATATATATTTTATTACTAGTAAATGAGGGAAAACATTAAAATAATGAATAATTTTTGATTATTATAAACGATGATGACGTTTTTTTTTTTTTTTAAAAAAATGACATATGACGCACTGACACAAACAGGTTTTTTTTTTTACTGAAGGAAAAATTCGATAATTTCGATTGTTGCTATCGAATGCGCAATGGCGCAGAATTTTGAATTTGGAAAAGAAAATAATGACAAAGTAATAACAAAATAATAATAATTATAATAATAGTACTAATAATAATAATAGCACTAAAAATAATAATAGTACTAATAATAATAGTAATAATAATACTAATAATAAAATAACACAAATTTTGCAGATTCAATTTTTCCGATTGGCAGCAATGTGAAGAAAAATGTTATTGGACCACACTTGCACTAAACTTATGCCAAACTTCAGAGTGAGAAATTTCTGATGTATCACGCCGATGCCTGACAGTTTTGTTTGGTTCTATTGAAACAAATTCCATTTCTTTGCCCTTTTTTTACGTTAAATAATTCACAAAAACTATTAGTATATAAAAATGGTAAGTAATTGATAATTTTTTTTTTTTATTAATAATTTTTCATTTTTTTTTTATTTTCCTAGAATTATTGCATTGTCATTTCAATTTTGTTGGTTGGAAATCATTGCTTTTTCTTTTAATTATATTTTCTCTTTTTTTTTCATTATTATGTTTCACAAGTTTTGAAAATAATTTCGTTTAAATAATTTTTGTATTTTTTAAAAGTGATGGTATTAGCGTTACATTGCAGAGAAAATTAGAGAAAAAATTTTTGAGGTTAGAATTCCAATTTGGAATTTTGAGCCGTAAATCCAAATATTTTTTCTTAACTATTTAAATAAATAATAATAATTATTGAATAATGTATATATATATACAAATGAAAAATTAATGTAAATAGATTATAGTATAATTTTATTATATTTAGAATATTTTTTATTGATACGAAGGGGTTATTAATTTTTGGAGTATAAATAATGAAATTAATAATTTTTATTGAAATTGAATCGAATTAGATTTTATGCGTTTTTATTTTTAAAAAAAGTACTTTTTTTCTGAAAACAAATGTTTTCTTTAGTTCCGAAATCAGTACGACAGTGACGTTACGGTATGGAGTCCTCAGGGACGATTGCACCAGGTGGAATATGCAATGGAAGCTGTAAAATTAGGTTCCGCTACTGTTGGTTTAAAAAATAAAACACACGCAGTACTTATTGCACTTAAAAGAGCATCGTCCGAACTTTCTGCTCATCAAAAGAAAATAATTCCCATTGATAAACATATGGGAATCACAATTGCTGGACTTACTGCCGACGCAAGAATGTTAAGGTTTGTTTATTTTTATTTTTACAGGCCTCGGATTATACCACTTTTTCCGACTTTTTTTTTCAAAAATACGACATTTTTCGACTTATTTTCATAAAATACGACTTTTTTCGACTTTTTTTTATATAATAAAAAAAAAATTTAAACAAAATACGTTTTTTTTTAGTATACAATGCAAATCTTCTTCACATCTTCTTTATTTCAATTATTTAACAAATTTTTAACTAAAATTCTTCACTAAATTAATTATTTTTAATAATTTTAATGAAATTTATCAAAAATTCAATTTTCTTAAATTATTTTTCAAATTAAAATTTTTATAAAATATAATAATTGTTCATAATTTAAAGAAAAATAATAGCAAATAAAATTACTAAAAACTATTTAATTCAAAATCACTTGAAATTTAATTATTTGCAAAAAATTTCAATTATTTTTCATGATTTTTATAATATTCTTCGAAAATTCAATAATCTGAAAGCAATTTTCAATTAAAAACTTTTGGAATTCAATTGTTTTTTTTTTTTTTGTGATTTCTAATATATTCTTCATCAACAGAAATCACTAGAAATTTCACTTATTATAATTATTGTTTGAAATTTAACACAATTTTTTGAAATTAAATTATAATCAAAAATTTCAATTTTAAAAGGTTCTAAAAATTAATTATTTCTAAATTTTTTTTTGAAATTTAATTATCTCTAAAAATTTTAATTCAAAATCAACTAAAATTCAATTGTTTTCAAAAATTTTAATTCAAAATAAACTAAAATTCAATTATTTTCAAAATTTTAAATTCTGAATTAATTAAAATTCAATTATTTTCCAAAATTTCAATTCAAAATCAACTAAAATTTAACTAAAATTCAATTGTTTTCAAAAATTTTAATTCAAAATAAACTAAAATTCAATTATTTTCAAAATTTTAAATTCTGAATTAATTAAAATTCAATTATTTTCCAAAATTTCAATTCAAAATCAACTAAAATTTAACTAAAATTCAATTGTTTTCAAAAATTTTAATTCAAAATAAACTAAAATTCAATTATTTTCAAAATTTTAAATTCTGAATTAATTAAAATTCAATTATTTTCCAAAATTTCAATTCAAAATCAACTAAAATTTAACTAAAATACAATTATTTTCTAAAATTTTAATTAAAAGTCAATTTTTTTTATAAATTTTCAATTTATAATCAACTAATTTCAATTATTTTCCAAAATTTTCAATTAATTTTCAAATTTTCTATTTAAAATTAACTAAAATTCAATTATTTTCAAATCTTCAATTCATAATCAACTAAAATTCAATTATTTTTCAAAACTTAAATTGAAATTCAATTATTTTCTAAAATTTCAATTCAATGTCAATTGAAATTTAATTATTTTTAAAAATTTCAATTTAAAAGGTTCTAAAAATGAATTATTTCTAAAAATTTTTGAAATTTAATTATCTTTTTAAATTTCAATTCAAAATCAACTAAAATTCAATTGTTTTCTTTAATTTTAATTCAAAATAAACTAAAATTCAATTATTATCCAAATTTTAAATTCTAAATTAATTAAAATTCAATTATTTTCCAAATTTAAATTCAAAATTAACTAAAATTTAAATAAAATACAATTATTTTCCAAAATTTTAATTGAAATTCAATTATTTTATAAATTTTCAATTTATAATCAACTAATTTCAATTATTTTCCAAAATTTTCAATTAATTTTCAAATTTTTCTATTTATAATCAACTAATTTCAATTATTTTCCAAATTTTCAATTCATTATCAACTAAAATTCAATAATTTTTTTAAACTTCAATTGAAATTCAATTATTTTCCAAATTTTCAATTTAAAATCAATTAAAAATTAAAATTCAATTTTTCGAACATTCAACTATTTGAAATCATTTTTTTTTTCCAAAACATAAATTATTCTTAGTCCTGTAAAATTTAATTATTTTCTGAAAATTAATAAAATCTTTTGAAATTCAATTATTTCTAATAATTCCTAATATGGTTCTTATAGAATGTTTCTTATTACAAAATTAATAAAATGAATTTAATATCTAATAATATTAGTTATTTAAAGTAAAATATTTATTAACCAATTAAATTTTCTTAAAATTGAAAAAATCGACTTTTTTTCGAATATAAATCGACTAAAACGACTTTTCTTGTGTCTTAAAGTCGATCCGACGTCGGATTTTACAATTTTTTATAATATTTATTTATTTATTTATTTATTTAATCACAATTTACGGGCTTTTCAAGAAAAGAAAATACTAATTTTATATTTGGGTCAATCCATTATATTTCGACTGAAGTCGTCGCTGACTAATTTTTAAAAATTATAATACTTTGCAGGAATGATTTTGAAGTTATCAAGATCACGAAATGAAAAGAATTTTAATAAAATTTTAATTATTTATTGCAAAATATGAATTTAAAGTATATGAGGTGCTGAAAACTGTCAATTTTTTAGCCATTAGAAAATATGCAAAAATACGTAGAATTTACTATAAAAATAAAAATTTTTTTTTGTAATTTACTAAGAATGAATAAATTTGTCATTATTAATTGATGTAATTATTTAAATATGTGAAATAATATATAAAATATGATTTTCAAGTTCGCCTGTCAAATAACCTAAATTTGCAAATTTCATCTATTAAATGTGAGAAAGAGAAGTCATTAAATTGAAAAAAACATTACCAAATATAAAGTACCTGTGACTAACTTTTAGTTTTTCTTAGCACTTTTATCCTTTTTTCTTCATAAATATGAAATAAATAGCAATAAAAATTGGCACTTTGCTTATTTTCACTATTTTCAAATGTAAATAACTTCCTTGGAGAAAACTGAAAAATTACAAAACTTGGGCAATATCTAATTGATCACTAAATACACACACTGGAAAAAAATTCGCTTTGGTCCCGAAGATACTTTTTGAGATAATTAAGTTTAAACTTTTCACAATTTTTATCAGGTTAATACATGTAGTTTTTTAAGGACGAAGTTAGGTTTTATTGGTTAAACATTTTGAACTAACTTCAATTTTATAAAAATCACATGCATTAACCTGATGAAAATTGTGAAAAATTTAAACATAATTATCTCAAAAAGTATCTTCGGGACCAAAGCGAATTTTTTTCCAGTGTGTGTAGTTAGTGATCAATTAGATATTGCCCAAGTTTTGTAATATTTTTCAGTTTTCTCCAAGAAAGTTATTTACATTTGAAACTAGTGAAAATAAGCAAAGTGACAATTTTTATTGCTTTTTATTTCACATTTATGAAGAAAAAAGGAAAAAAGTGCTAAGAAAAACTAAAAGTTAGTCACAGGTACTTTATATTTGGTAATGTTTTTTTCAATTTAATGACTTCTCTTTCTCACATTTAATAGATGAAATTTGCAAATTTAGGTTATTTGACAGGCGAACTTGAAAATCATATTTTATATATTATTTCACATATTTAAATAATTACATCAATTAATAATGACAAATTTATTCATTCTTAGTAAATTACAAAAAAAAATTTTTATTTTTATAGTAAATTCTACGTATTTTTGCATATTTTCTAATGGCTAAAAAATTGACAGTTTTCAGCACCTCATATACTTTAAATTCATATTTTGCAATAAATAATTAAAATTTTATTAAAATTCTTTTCATTTCGTGATCTTGATAACTTCAAAATCATTCCTGCAAAGTATTATAATTTTTAAAAATTAGTCAGCGACGACTTCATTCGAAATATAATGGATTGACCCATTTAATAATAATTTTTGTAATACTGTAATTTTTTTTATTTATAAATTATTAGCATTTAATTGCAAAGCAAAAATTGAAATATTTAATTGCAGCCGATATATGAGGACGGAATGTTTGAATTATAAATATTCACACGACGATATGTTGCCCGTGAGTCGTTTAATTACAGCGCTTGGAAATAAAATGCAAACTTGCACTCAACGATACGATCGAAGACCCTACGGTGTTGGTCTTCTTGTCGCCGGATACGATGTAAGTTTTTTTTTAACAGAAACAAAAAATTTATTTTAAAAAATAATTAAACTAAATTAATTATACTGAAAAAAATGATATTTTTAGTATAAAATTTTCTTTCAAAATTTAATCATTTCGAATATATCGAAAATTCTTTGGTTTTAGAAAATTTTTTTAGATCCAGAAAAATTGGAAATTTAAAAATGATTCTCTAGACATTTCTGGAAAATTGGAGAAATTTTTGCATTTGTTTTTTCAGGATCAAGGTCCACATATTTATCAAACGTGTCCGTCGGCAAATTATTTTGATTGCAAAGCAATGGCTGTTGGTTCACGTTCACAAAGTGCTCGAACATATTTAGAAAAGCATCTCAATGAATTTTTAACCAGCGATCGTGATGAACTTGTGAAACATGGATTACGAGCATTGCGCGATACACTGCCCAATGAAGTCGATTTATCCGTGAAGGTACTCATTTTTTTTCCTTACTATTATTTATTTTTTTTTCTACTTCAATTTTTAATTCTAAATATCTTTAAGAAAATAAAATTCTTTTTTCTTTCGAAAATTTACCCTTTTTTTTTGGCAAAGAAATTTAATTATATAATTTAATTGTTGTATAATTATTAACTTTATTAATTGTATTTTCCAAATTTTCAGAATGTTTCAATTGCAATAGTCGGGAAAGGAACGGATTTCACGATTTTGGACGAGGCTGCAACGTCGGTCTATCTTTCCGAGATTGAAGGCGACGAAAATAGAGGAAGACCAACTGAACCGGAAGTAGCCGACGATAATAAACCACCGCAGGATCCACCTGCCGATCAGGGTCCACAGGATCCACGAGTTTCCGTCGCCATGGATACCGAATAAACGGTTACATATTTATATCACAAAAAAAAAAATTGTCTTTTTCATTATTATTAATAATAAAAAAAAAATAATGTCTACGTTTTCTGCAATATTTTTTCTCTCTCAAAAAAAGTATTTTTTCCATTTAATTCAATCTATATTTAAAAAAAAATTAGAAATTACTTTTTAATAATAATTAAAGTTTTGATAATTTTAATTTGTAAGACTCATTTTTTAATTTTGTAATTAATTTTATTTCATTTTTCGAAACAAAAACAATAATTTTTTTCCTCTATTTACAGTAGATTTGGTTTAATTATTTTTTCCTCACTTTTTTTTTTTCTTAAGAGTGAGTTGTTTTTTCGCTACTTTGTTTTTGTTGTTGTCGTCGTTCCTTGAGAATGTTTGTTAGGAAAAATTCGCCAGCTTTGTATGAGGAACGAACCAATGGTCCACTGGCTGTGTAGAGAAATCCCAGTTGATTGCCAACCTTTTCCCAGGCTTTAAATTTCTCCGGTGTCACGTATTCAATGACTTTTAAATGACGTTTTGTTGGTTGCATATATTGACCAAGTGTCAATGCATCGACACCTGCGGCACGTAAATCTCTCATTGTTTGTTCCACCTCTTGATCCGTCTCCGATAGACCCAACATTATTGACGATTTTGTTATTAGATCGGGATTTAATTTTTTTGCTCCCTCAAGAACAGCGAGCGATTGTCTATAGAAAAAAAAATAGTATTTATCATTATTTAATTTAATCAATTTATAATTTATAAACTAAAAAATTTGCAAATTTATAAATTATAAACTAATAAATTGTAAATTTATAATTTATAAACTAATAAAGTGCAACTTTTTTAATTTATAATCTAATAAATTGTAAATTTATAATTTATTAAAATAACTTCTAATAATTATTTCAAAATTTAATTTAACAAAAATTAAATTCATATTTTATTGTCTAAATTTTGCTTTTACCTGTATCTGGCTCGTCTATCGCGAACAAAAGGCGTGAGTCTCTCGACAGTTTCAATATTGTGAGCAAAAACATCCAATTTTGAATCAACAACTGTCGCGACACAATCTTGATTCCCTCGGAAATCAGGAACTAAACATTCAACCAAAATGTTGCTTCTAAAAATAAATTGAATTTTTTTTTTTTAATTTTTTAGAATTAAAAAAAGATAATTTTACTCATTGTTAAAAAACAAATACAAATACAAATACAAATAATTTTACACCCTAGAGTCAAAAAAAGATCATTTTACTCCCTAGAAAGTATTTTTTTCCGTGAAATAATATTTTAAGTATTTTTTTTTATTTATTTATTATTTTTTAAGTATTTTTTATTATTTTTTTTTTTATTTATTTATTATTTTTTAAGTATTTTTTCTGACCTTTTCTTAATTTCTCTAACAGTATTTGCAATGTGTTGCGCTCCTCCGTCTTCCAAATCTAAAAAACGAGAATAACAAAAAAATTATATTTAGAATTAAAAAAAAGAAAATAAAGAAAGAGAAAAAAAATCCTTTACCATCTCGATCAACGGAAGTAAGAACAACGTAATCGAGACCCCAATCGGTTATTGCTGTTGCTGTATTTTTTGGTTCATTTGGATCTAATGGTGGGGGAATTTTTGCTGTTTTTATTGAACAAAATCGACAACCTCGAGTGCAAGTGTCGCCCATTAACTGAAAATTTGCATACAAAATTAATAATTGAAATTGAAAAAAAGGAAAATAGTCGAAAAAATTGAAACTTTTTTTATTTTAACTAAATTTAATTAAAAAATTTATTTATCTAATTATAATAATAATTATTTATTTAATTATAATAATTATTATTTATTTAATTATAATAATTATTATTTATTTAATTTATTTATTATAAATTAATTTGAAACATTTTTATTAAACAAATTCTTTTTTTTAAAGGAAATTTTTTGTTTTTTGTATTAAAATTTTAATAAAAATTAAAATAGAAACAAAAATTGCGTTATTTTTCAAATTCATAAATTAATAAAATAGTTTAAATAAAATAAATAAAATTCTAATAATAATAGAAAAAAAAATCCTTTAAAAAATTACAATTTTTTTCTTGTAAATATTTCTGTTATTTTTATTATATTTAAGAAAAAAAAAAAAAATTTCGTTACTCGTCAATTTGATCTCCTCCCTCGACTTTTGCGAAAGAGATAAAATTCAAAAGGTTATCAAAAAAAGTTTCGAGACATTTTAATAATAAAAAATAATTGTGTCATTAGAATAAAAAAAAAAAAATAGAATAATTACCATAATTGTTGCAGTTGCTGTTCCATGATCTCCTCCACCCCAACATTCACCAATATTTGGACATCTTGCCTCCTCACAAACTGTACTTAATTTTAAATCACGTAATTGTGATTTTATTCGACTATAATTTTCACCAATTGGTATTTCTCTCTTTAACCATGGTGGTAATCTTAATCTTGTATTATCACCTTTTTCCAATTTTAATTTACCATCATATTTTATTGTTGATTCGTCTGATAAAAAATTCTCCAATTGTGGTCCATTTGATAATATTTCGGAAAATTTCTCTTTCGTAATTTTTGTACAATTCAAACATTGATTCTAATAAAAAAATTTAATTTTTTACTAAATTGTTTTTTTTTTAAATAATTTTTTTACTAAATTGTTTTTTATTTCAAAAAATATAATTTATAAACGAAATATTAATAACATAAATGACAACAGAATTTTTAGGTTAGAATTACTTGTATAAATAAAAATTACAATTAAATATTATAATTATAGTTATAAATAACAAATTTTGAGTTAAAAACTTACTCCAGTTTGAAAATTAAAAGCCCCTTGATGTTTGAAGCAAAAAATTCGTGTTGTTCTCAACATTTTTTCGAAAAGAAGATATCGGTTTTTTATTTAAGGAAAGATAACACTTTTTTTAAAAAACTTATATTTACATTATTAAAACTAAATCATACATTAAACTACGTTCTTTGAAATCTATTTATTTATTTTTAAAATTGTACCTAAGAAAATGACCTTGAAGTGACATAACCTTAAAAATTTAAATTGCGCCCTCTTTAAACGCTTAGTGCGCATGCTCATAAATCATATGTTTTGCGTCATTTTTGTCTGTATATATATATATACACATGTTTTTGTTGTTGTGCAGTTTTTCACCACCATTTTATTCTAAAAATCAGTTGAGTGTTAATGCAATAACAAATTTTAATCTAATTTAAAACGAAACTTTTAATGAAAATTTCCCGAAAAATTGTACTAAAAACAATAATTTCGAATATGTGATGACTTCGACCGAAATTTTAGTATCTCTCTGTGTTATTCGAATCGAAGTCAGTGATCCCGATTCCGAAGAAGGTAAAGTTTATTACTTTTCTCATTAAAATCGATTTTATTTTTATATTGAATATTTTCATTTTGTATTTCGTTTTTTTTACGGTTTAAATATTTTGAGGTTAATTTCGCGTTTATTTTGTTTCTATAATAATATAATTAAATTATTATTATATTTTATTTATTATTTATAATTTTGTTGAAATAAGTTGTAAAATTTTAATTTTTTCTGCGCAATAATAAAGCAATGGCTGTGAGAAAAATGCGAGGATGCCGTGAACCTCGGGAAATAACAATAGAAAATTATTCAAATTCCGAGGAAGGTCCAGTGCCACTTTTACATCAAAATTTAAATAAATCACATTCAACATCAAGAATGAATTCAGAGGAAATTGCATCTTCTGAAGGTGCAACATCGTGTAATGTTGCTGATCAAATTAATTTTTTCTCTGGTAATCCATTTGTTGAGGTCACTAAAGGAATTCTTCATTTGTTTAAAGAAGAGTGAGTTATTTTTTTTTATTTATAAGTAAATTTTGAGAGTTAAAAACTTATTAAACTTAATTTTAATTTTATTAATTAATTAATTATTATTAATTAATTTTTAATTATTTTAATTATTTAATTTTTATTTTTTATTATTTTAATTATTATTATTTATAATTTTTTTAATTTTAATTATTATTAATTTAATTATTTTAATTATTATTATTACTATTTATTATTATTATAACAAAATTATTTTTTTATTTATTTAAATTTTTATTTAATTATAATTAAATTATTCGCAAATAATATATTTTAATTAAATTATAATAATACATTTTTTGTTTCAAAATTTTACCCAAAATGAATAAATTTAAGAAAAAATTAATTTACTCCTTACTAATTTATTGACAATAAAATTTAATTTTATAATAAATAAAAATAAAGTATGAAAAATAAATTTTTTACAGTTATTTTAAATAAAAAAAAAAAAATTAGTTATTGTTTTAAATTAAATGTATTTAAATATTAAATATATAATAAAAATGTATAAATTTATTTTTTCTATAAAAATTGGAGAAATTTTTTCTAATTTGTCCTAAATTATTTATAATTATTAAATTTTATTTTCCACCCTGTAATTATTAGTTGTTATTATTATTATTAATTTTTTTTTATTACAATAAAAAAAAATAAATAATAATTATTATAGTGATGTTATTTTTTTTTGTTATTAATTAATTAATTAATTAATTTAAACAGTGAATTAACGGATGTACAATGCGCTGCAACGCGAAGCAATACAATTTGTATGCTCTCAGTACCTGCAACAATGACTTGTCATGATGTTTTAACATTTACCGCTGCTTGTCATCAAAATATTCAACATTTTCGAATTTTACGCGACGATAATCCTGATCAATACATGGCGTTAATTACTTTTCGTAATTCCGTAAGTAAAAAAAAAGTAAAAGTAAATCAAAATTTTATTCTTTTTCTTTGAAATAAGATTTTAACTATTGAAATATTAAATTTAATTTTTAAATATCCTTTCGCCAATTCTTTAAAATATTTCTCAACTTTTCTTTTCATTAATCTATACATTTTTTATTGAAAATTTCCCATTTTTTTTTTAAATTTTCAAATATATTTTTAAAAATAATACAAAAATAACTAAAAAAAATAACTATTTTTGAAAATAAACTTAATTTTTAAATATCTCAGCTTTTTGAAACTTTACCTTTAATTTAATTAATTAATATTAATTAATAATAAATTAATTTATTTAATTAATAATTTATTTATTTAATAAATAATTAAATAATTTTTTAAAAATAATTTAATTGCAAAATAACTATAAAAATAATTAGTTTGGAAAATAAATTGAATTTTTAAATACTATTATTTTTTTTGGTAAAAATTCGATTTGTAAATTAATTAATTTAATTTTTAAATAAGTAATTTTTTTTTTTAAGAAAAAATTTTGAATCTACCGCTGTAGATTTATTAAATTCCAATTGCCACGTGGCGATGAATTTTAACCTAACCTTGTCCTTTTCAGTCCTTTTTTTCCCCATTTTGGAGTTAAACGTATACTAAAGAAAAATTTTCCTTTTTTTTTTAATTTAAACAATTAAATTTTTACTCTAATTAAAATTTACTTTTTAAATTCAATAGTGGCTTAAATCGCCTACGTTTCAGTGTTATAAATTTTGCATCGTATTTTTCATTATTGTTTTAATTTGTAAATTTTTCCAATTTTTATATAAATTTTCGGCTTGACGACGCCAACAAATTGTATTTTTTTTTTTTTCGAATTCACAAATTAATAAAATAGTGCAAATAAAATGAATTGGCCTAAACTGAATAAAATAATACGAATAAAATTCTAATAATAATAAAAAAAAATAATAATAATAAAAAATAAAAATAATAAATAAATAATATAATAACTAATATAATAAATAATATAATAAATAATAATATAAAAATAATAATGAATAATAAATTAAAATTCTTGATGTTCTGTAAATAAATAAAATAATATGAGTAAAATAAATAAAATTTTGATAATAATAATGAATACAAAAATTAAAAGAAATAAATTAAATTAATAATACTTAAAATAATGTTATTGGTGTTTTTCCTAATTCATCTTTCAACAAGTAATTATGATATTTTCAAAAGATAATAATAATAAAGTACTACAGGTAACTATTAATTTTCTCTAATTAATAAATAATACGTGAAAATTTTTTAAATAAATTAGTTTCTATTAAAAAAAAATTTATAATTACACCCAAATAATAATTATAATATAATTAATAATTTATTCACCTATAGATACCGAATGTAAAATGTAATTGAAAGTACAAATTAAAATTATATTTCAAAAATTTTGTAAAAATCTAAAAGGAAATTGAAATTTTCAAATTCGTAAAACCATCCAATATTTTCTTTACTTTTTCCTTAATTTGTTATTTATTTCTTTCTTTTTTTTTACAATTTTTTGTCCGCTTTTATTATAAATTATTCGTAAAATAAAATATAATATAAAATATTATATAAATAAAATTCGTAAAATTCGTAAAATTCGTAAAACCATCCAATATTTCCTTTACTTTTTCCTTAATTTGTTATTATAATTTCTTTCGTTTTTTTTGTCCGCTTTTATTATAAATTATTATTATTATAAATTTATACCTTTTGGTTATATTAATTTTATTTTTTCTATTTTTGTTACTAAAATTTAATAATTTTTTCTTTTTTTTCATTTCAGGCGGCTGCCAGTGAATTTTACGAGACATTCAATGGTGCACCATACAATTCATTGGAGCCCGATATTGTTTGTCATTTGGTATTTGTCTCAAAAGTTGAAGTTGGAGACGATGGTTTACCAATTGCAGGACACACGGAATTGCCATCGTGTCCCGTTTGTTTGGAACGAATGGACGAGAGTGTCGATGGAATTTTAACTGTACTTTGTAATCATACATTTCACGCAAGTTGTTTAGTTAAATGGGGCGATACATCGTGTCCAATTTGCCGATACGCCCAAACACCGGAACCACTTGCCGACAGTCATTGCATGGAATGCGGTAAAAATTCCTCATTTTTTAAAAATCTTTTTTCCAAAAAAAATAATATAAATAAAAATTAATTTTCTTTCTTATTTAAATTATTTTATTTTATATGAATAATTGAAAATTAAAAAAAATGAATTTTCCAGTTCCAGGAACGTCGAATGATAGTCTTTGGATATGTTTAATTTGCGGACACATTGGTTGTTCGCGTTACACAAAGGGCCATGCATTCGAGCACTATCAGGATACGCATCATTGTTATGCGATGCAATTGGGCAATAATCGTGTTTGGGACTATGTGGCCGACACTTTTGTTCATCGATTGCTTCAGGATAAGGATGGAAAAATGGTCGAGGGACACGAGCCATCGAAAGTTGAAGGCGCATCAATGGACGAGAAAGTCGATTCTGTACAATTGGAATTCACTTATCTTCTCACATCACAATTGGAGACGCAACGGCAATTTTTTGAGGATCGTCTCAATCGAATTGAACAGCGAACAATTGCCGAAACAAATGAATTAAGGGATAAATTGACACAGGTCATCGATGAAAATGCCGACATGAAGGTATGTGGAAAAAAAAAATTAAAAATACTTGATTTTTTTTGTCTCGTTAATAAATAAATATAAATAATTTTAATTTAAAAAAAAAATTGTTTTTCTTTTCGTAAAGAAAAAATTGTCATCACTCACAAAGGAGAAACAAACATTGGAGAGAAAAATACAGGCAACAAGTCAAAAATTGGAGAAAACACAAATGGAACTCGCTGAGGAGAAGGCGTTGAGAAAATCACTTGAAATGAATCAAACATCATGGCAAACGAAACATAAACAGCTTAATGATGAATTAGTGGAATATAAATGTAAAAAAGAAGCTGAATTAGTTGATTTAAAGGAACAATTGAGAGATGTTATGTTTTTCTTTGAGGCACAAAAACAAATTGAAAATTCCGCCGATCGCGATGAAATTGCTGAGGGACGTATTATTATTGGTCCCGAGGCAAATACATCGACGAAAAATACAAATTCTCGCGGTGGCTCAAAGAGACATTCGAAACGTTAATTTTTTATTTTGGAGAAAAACAAAAGCTATGAATAATTTATTAAAATATGTAATTTTAAAAAAATGTAATTTCAAAAACAAATTATTTTCTTTCGTTGGAATTTTTTTTTTTTTTAATTGTAAAAAGTCGTCTGTTAACAAATGTTAGCTGAAAAAATTTATTTTCTCCTTTCTTTGGCGAATAAAATTTTACTAAAAAAAATACTATTTCTGTTTTTTTCCCCAAATTCAATATATTTGAAAAAATATTTCTGTCCATAAAATAAAAAATTATTTGTACTTTCAATTTCAAAAATTTTTTGTCCCTATAAAAAAAAAAAAAAATGGAAAATTATAGGAAAAAATTAATTTAGGAATTAGCTGAAAAAATTTATTTTCTCCTTCTTTGGCGAATAAAATTTTACTAAAAAAAAATAAATACTATTTTTGTTTTTTTTCCCCAAATTCAATATTTAAAAAAATAGGGGCCGAAAAAATATTTCTGTCCATAAAATAAAAAATTATTTGTACTTTCAATTACAAAAATTTTCTGTCCCTATAAAAAAAAAAAAAAAAATGGAAAATTATAGGAAAAAATTAATTTAGGAATTTATTTTTAGGAAAATTGTATAATTCAGAAATATTTAGAAAATTTAAAAATTAGGAAACTAATTTTATTTTAAAAAAGAATTTATTTTTGTTAATAATACTTTTTTTTAAGCTTTCTTTTGTTTTTTTTTTATAATGTCAGTTTTCGTTTTAGAATAATTGTTTTTTTTTTGTAATTCGCTAAATTTTTAATTTGATTATTATAAAAATCGCAATTGGAAAATTTTTTTATATTTTATTGAAAGAAAAAAAAAATTATGACACATCGAGATGATGAGGAAACAGATGAAGAGACTAATGAATCGAATGATGATGATGATGATGATGATGATGAAGAGATCACAGTATCCGGAACTAGTGTTTCGTTGAAGAAATTGAAAATTCTCGGCATTCCAGTGGAGAAAATTTCTTATAAAAGAATTCCTTGGAAATGTTTAAAATTTTCATTTATTGCAATCAACAGTCTTATTTTTGTAAGTGATGAAAAATTTTTATTCTAATTTAAAAATTTCTAATTAAATTTTTAGAAATTATTAATTTTAATTTTAACAGGAAAAAAAATATTTTTTATTTAACTTTTTTGAAATTACTTTTTTTTATGTTTATAAATTAATTGTGTAATTAATTCGAAAACAGTTAACAGGAATTGTAACTTTAGTACTTTCCGTTTGGATGATGATGGATATAAAATTATTTATGGGTCAAAAAATGTATATGTCAATTCTTCTAATGGTTGCAATTTTTGGCACAGTGGTTTCATTTTTAGGATTATTTGCTTTTGTGAAAAAAAGAAAAGGTATTTTAATAATTGTAAGTGTCTTTTGCTTTAATTAAAATAAGAATTAATTTTTTTTTTCCTATTTTTAATTAATTTTTCTTGAAAGGTAAGTGTTTGTATGTTTTTTTTTTTAATAATTAAAATCAAAAGAAATCTTCCAATTTCCAGTATATTGTGCTCTATGTTATAGCCTTGTGCATGATATTTATTTCTGCGATTATGAGTTTTACATTTTTCGATAATTTGGTGAAAAAAATTCGCGACGAAATGAGAAATTCCATTGAAAAATATTCTTATCTTGATTGGGCAACGGAAACATGGGACAATACACAACGATATGTAATTTTTTTTTAATTATTAATTTTTTTTACGAATTTTCAAAACTCACAAAAAAAAACAGAAATTCTAAATTTTATTCTACTAAATATTTAAAATATTTTTAAATTAAGATTTTAAATATTTTTTTCTAAATAAAAAAATGTTTTTTTCAAATTCAGTTACAATGTTGTGGAATAAAATCCTATAAAGATTGGCTAGAACAGGAAAAACAAATTCCGCGAAGTTGTTGCGCTGTAAAAATGGAAGAGGTAATATAAAAATTAATAGAAAAAATTTGTTTTGTATATTTTTTTTTTATTTTTGGTATTTTTTTTTTCTATTTTTAATTTCTAGTGTATAAAAATGACAGAAGAGGTAGTTTATCAATCTGGATGTTTGAAAAGCGCAGTTCTCTTATTAAAATCGCACATAAACAAAGTTTCCCTAATGACTTTGTTTATTTCCCTAACGATCGTGAGTTGACAATTATTCTCTACATTTTTTGTTTTTTTTTTGGTTTTGTTTTTACAAAAAATTAATATTTTCCCTTCCATTAAACGAGCAATTACCATTTTTTTTTCCAGGAAATTATATTTACATAATGAAAAAATATACCATAAAATTACATTTTTAAAAAATGTAATTAATTTTTAGGAAAAAATTTATCAATTCTATTTTTTCAATTGCTTTGAAGTCCTCGGACAATTAATTTTAAAATTCAATTTTAATTAATACTATTTTTTTGTTTGCCGAGAAAATTAAAAACATTTTTTAAAAATGTAAAAAAGTAATCATTTTTTTTTTGCTTCAGATTGGAAGTATCTTCATTGCATTTTGTCTGCGCAGAAAATTAAAAACCTGATTTATGTGAGACTGTATAAAAAAAATCAGCAAACTGCGTAAATTTTTTTTTTTTTATTATTATTTTATAATTTAAAAACTTACTTCAAATAAAAACTGACTTTTTTTAAATAATTTAGTTTGGAAATTTAATTACTAATCTAAGATTTTTAATTTAGTTTGTAACAAAAAAAAAAAAAGAAAAAAAAAGAATAAAAAAATACTTTAAAATATATATATATATATACAGATCTTAGAAATGAAAATTATTAAACATAATATCACAATTTCTTTTTTTTTTCTTTTTTTTTCTACTGAGAAGTTGTTGGAACATTATTCTCGGCAATTTTCCTTTTTTTCATAATATTTTTCGTTCTTTTTTTCATGCTTTTAGTCATTTTTTTTGGTACATTTATTTGTTTTATCGAATTTTGTTTTTGTGAATTTTTATGAATTTCAGGTAATTCCAATTGATAATTACTTTTTATAAAATCAAACCACCAATTTTTTTTCTGTGAATTGCAGAAATATTGAAATTTTTGTTTTGTTTCATCGCGTAATTCTTGTTTTGGTGTCCAATTTAAAAGTGATTTTGATACTTTACAAAAGAATTTACGATATTTTGAGAAACACAATAAAGCCGATGCAACACCTTCTAAATGATCATTTGAACCTGTAAATAAAAAAAAAAATTTGGCATTTGTAAATTTTTCAAATTACAAAAATTTATTAATTAAAAGATTTTGGGGGGAAAAAAAATACCTTCATTTGAATCTAATAAATCGCACAATTGTTCGACAATTTGACTGAGATGTCCCTCTTGATCTTGTTCAGGAAAAGATCGCATTACAGTTCCTGTAAAAAATTGAAAAAATAAAAATTCGATTAATTACTGAAATTATGCAGGAAAAAAAAAGAAGAAGAATGAGACAAAAAAAATGTAATAAATTACCAAGTAATGTGAATGCATCGTAGGGAGATTTGTGTCTTTTTCCAACAATTAATTGTTTCAAACCAGATTCACCTTGGATGATCATTTTTTGCGCCCATTTTGGTCCCATACTTTTTGCTAATAAAATAATTGCAGTATCGATGCTTGATTCATGTTTTTCTGAAATTAAACGAGAATATATTGATTTTTACAAAATTTTCTAAAATTCACTTTCTTTTTCAATATTAAACTATTTTATCGTAATTATTTTTTTTGGCAAAATATTAAAATATTAAATAATAAATAATAAATAATAAAAATATTAAATAGAATATTAATTAAAAGTAATTATTTTTTAAAAAAGTTAAAATACATACTTTCCAATGCAGATAAACATTCAATGGCAAGTTGCTCGGCGGAAAATTCAGCAAGTGGATAATTATAAAGTCCCTTGTTTGAAAGAAGTTTTTTTAATGCGTCTAAACATCTTTCAAACGAAAAAATACTAAATGCCATGCATTTGGATAAAATTTCTGTAAAATTTCAATTAAAATTAATATAAAGAGAAAAAAAATTATTTGCTTATACTAAATTTAAATAAAATAAAAAAATTAAATTTTTCCTTTTTCTTTACCTGAATTTGAATCGTAGATGGGAAAAACTTCTGACCAGCAGGTGAGAACAACAAAAATAGCAACACTCGCCTTAAAACGTAAACAATAAATTGCATCGATTATAAATAATCTTGCTCTTTCGCGATCTTTTTTCAATCGTGTCATACACGTGAAAATACGCGTCAATCCTTCGACAACACATTTCTGAAAAAAAAAATTTTAATTTTTACAATTTTATATAACAAAAATTAAATAAACAAAAAAAAGAAAAGAGCACAAAAAATAATTAAAAATTAATCAAGAAAAATACAAAAATAATTTAAAAGAAAAAAATTGTTTCTATAAATAAAAGTATTTTTCTCTAAGTAAAATAAATTTCAAAAAAAAAAATTAACTAAATTTAAATTTGAAGATAAATTTTTCTCTTTTATAATTTAATTAAAGTTGAATTATTTTCTTGATTTTTTTTTCGGAATGATTGAAATTGTAAATTTTTGTAATTAATTAAAAAAAATTTAGTGAAATCAATAAAAAAAATACAAACCTCCGGAGCGTAGCCAAGTCTAAAGAGTGTATAATTAATACCGTCAAAGATAAACTCAAAAATACTGATATTTTCAAGTTCATTGCATTTTTTTTCTAAAGCTGAAATTAAAGTAATTATTTTTTGTTGCGTCAACGTCATCATTGGAGCCGGTGGTGTATGCGTTGTATCCAATCGTTCATCACTATTATCATTGAATTTACTTATCAGAAAATCTAAAATACATCTACAAAAAGAAAAAGTACAGAAAATAAATAATAAATTCAATTTTAAAATTAATTATAAATGCAAAACTCAAGAAATAATTTAATTTTAATTTTTTTTAAAATACTAAAAAAATTTTAAACCGGCAAGAAATAATAATAATAATAATAATAATAATAATAATAATTATTATTATTATTTGTTGCAGGTTTAAAATAGATTTTTGGGTTTAATTCAAAAAAATTTTATTTTATTTTAAAAATTCAAATACTCACTTGGCTGTTGTTTTAATTTCACGCAATTTCCAAATTTCTTCAACTACATCAAAGTGTAATTCACTCGTCCAGTCTTTATTGCTTATTAATCTATTTAATTGCAATGTTATACATTTTTCTGTAAAAAAAAAAAATAAAGGAATTTTTTTTTTTTTTATTCTTATCATTTTCATTTTATTATTTATTATTATTCAAACTAGCAATATTAAACGCGCGCAAGCGCGCCAAATTGAGTATTTAATTGTTTGTTATAAAGAAATTAAAGATTAATATTATCAATAATAATTTAAATTTATTAGAATATTATTTCATATTAAATGATAATAATGAAAATTATTATTATATGTTATTAAATTATATATAAAATTGAATTATTTTCCAAATTTTCAATTTAAAATTCAATTATTTACCAAGTTTTCAATTTAAAATTAAATAAAATTCAAATATTACCCGAAATTTTAATTCAACATCAACTTAAATTAAATTATTATCCAAAATTTCAATTAAAATTCAATTATTTTCCAAAATTTCGAGTCAAAATTAATTATTATCAAAATTTTCAATCAACAATCAACTAAAATTAATTATTATCAAAATTTTCAATCAACTAAGATTAAATTATTTTCAAAATTTTCAATTTAAAATTCAATTATTTACCAAGTTTTCAATTTAAAATGAAATAAAATTCAATTATTTTTTAAAATTTTTATACAAAATTAATTATCAAAATTTTCAATTAAAAATGAACTTAAATTAAATTATAATCGAAAATTTCAATTAAAATTCAATTATTACCCGAAATTTTAATCCAAAATCAAATTAAATTAAATTATTATCCAAAATTTCAATTAAAATTTTATTATGTTCCAAAATTTCGAGTCAAAATTAATTATTATCAAAATTTTCAATCAGCAATCAACTAAAATTAATTATTTTCAAATTTTCAATCAACAATCAACTAAAATTAAATTATTTTCAAATTTTCAATTTAAAATTCAATTATTTACCAAGTTTTCAATTTAAAATAAAATAAAATTCAATTATTTTTTAAAATTTCGATTCAAAATTAATTATCGAAACAATGCCAAAAAAACATTGAAAAATTTTAACCAACACAAAATAATGTCAAACAATACATTTAAAAAAAACAAAAGACCTATAACAAATACTAACTTCAGGTGTGGACAGAATGAACGAAAGATATTCACGATTATTATTATTATTCAAATTAATAATTACAAATAAATATCAAAAATTTAACATTCTATTTTTTCTCTATTAATTTATTGGGATTTAATCAAATTTTTAGAAACAATTGAATTTCAAAAGATTTTTTAAAATTTTACAGAATTCAAAATAATTTAGCAAAATAATTTTCAATAACCCTTTCTTAAAAATAATAATTTAAAATAATTGAATTTGTAAAGAATTTTTATTTAAATTATTGAAAATAATTCATTTAGAGAATAATTTTAATTGCAAATTTGTTAAACAATTGAAATTAAAAAAGATCTAAAGATCTTTATTGTATAATAGAAAAAAGGTATTTTGTTTAAAAAATTTTATAAAAAAAGGCGAAAAATTCGCATTCTATTAAAATAAGTCGAAAATAGTCGTATTTTTGATAAAAAAAAGTATTATCCGAGGCCTGAATATTTCAAATTGAAAAAAAGCAATTCAATAATTAAAAAAGAAAAAATAATTCACTCACCTAATTCCTTTTGTGATTTTTGATCCCTTAATATCATTCGTAAAAATGGACTATTCATATGATCGTTCATTGGATTTAGATGAGGCAAATTGAGAGTTTTAAAATCTCGCCAAATTTTCGTCACTTTATTATCAACAACACGCGATGATCGAAGTTCTCGACAAGGACTCAAAATTTCCCCTGTATTTTTATTTAAAGCCTCTCTTGCAATTTCCCAAGCTTTATTATTTACATCCATCATTTTTTCACTTGGAATAATAATTGGAATCGATTCATTATTAATATTTTCCTCATTATTTGCCTCAGGCGATAAAGGCGATTCCAAATCATCATCATCATCAGTTTCATTTAGAGAAATATTTTTTTTTACCTCGTCAATAATTGTAGATTCAATTTTAATTTCATTTGATAAATTTTCATTTTGAGAATTTGATGATTGAATTTTTAATGGACTTTTTTTCATCGTTTCTTTCTTGATTGGAAAATTTGTTAAATTTTCTTCAATAATTTTTGTCACTTTTCTTGGACGTCCTCTTTTTCTCACAATTGGAATTTCGATAGGTGCATCATCATCTTCTTCCTCTTCTTTTTTAATTTTTAATTCGTTTTCAATTTTTATCGAATTTCTCAAATTTCTTGTATTTGTGGAATTTTCCATTTTGATAGTTGATAATGAATTGCGCGCCGAACCCGGTGATTTTGATGCTGAGCGTAAAGATTTTCTTATTGGTTGATGATCGTCCTCAATTTTTGGTGTATGAGCGATTCTTCGTTTTTTTGAAACAACAACGGGATTATTATCATCTTCTTTTAATTTTGTGGGATTTATTACATTTTTATTAATAATTGCTTCATTTTTGTTAATAATTATTTCATTTTTGTTTTCGACTTTTTTTCTCAATATTTTTTTAGTGACAATCATTTCACTTGAACGTTTTTTCATTGTTCGCATTTTTGTCAAAAGATTTGTTCTCGTTGTTCTCGAATTATTTAAAACGTCGGCTATTTTTCTTTTTCGTCCACATCTCTTTGGACTTATTAATGTGAGACGAAGTTCCGTTGAACGATGACCGTGAATTGAATTACGTGGAATTTTTTCAATTTCCGAATTTGGTAGAAAAATATTTGCCTCATCCATTTTTTCTTTGTTTTGCAATTTTTTCGATACTGTTTCTTTTGCTTCTACTTTTTTTTCTTCTTCTTCTTCGGCTTTTTCTTCTATTTCTCCTTCTTCTTCGGTTAATTCCGATTCCTCGATAAATTGAGATTCATTTTGAATTTCCATTTCCATTTCCATTTGTCTAAATTCCGAATAAATTTTCGATTCTGATTTATTTTCCTTCGATTCCATTTCGTTTTCTTCTAATTCGCTTATGTGAAGTAATTGTGGTTTTTCAGTGGAAAACGAAAGAAATGAAGCGTTACAATCGAGAACAGATTCATCGGAAAATGAAATTTCACCTAAAATATCGATGGCATTCAATAAACCATCGGATAAATTTTCCTCATCTGTTACTTTTTTCCCTGAATTTTCTATTTTTTCCTCATTTTTGCATTCTTTGTCCAAATTTTCCAATTTCTCCTCATTTTTGTATTCTTTATCAAAATTTTCAATTTTCTCTTTTGAATTTAATTTTTCATTTTCAATATTCGAATTTTCAACTATTTTCTCATCACTATTTTTCACTAGAATCTTATTTTCAATTTGTTTATCTAAAATTTCATTTTTCAATTCATTCACCAAAATTTCTTCCTCTTTATTCTCGAATTGAGAATTTTTCAAATTTTCTTCAGATTCTTTATTTTCCAAATTTTGCGAATTTTCTAATTCCTCTAAATTTTGAAATCCTTTGAAATTTATTGACTCTTGTGAACTTTCAAGATGATTTTGTTGTGAATTTATATCAATTTCTTCTTCATTTAGCGGCAATTTTTCTGAATTTTCAATTTTTATTATTTCGACAATTTCTTTTTTATTTTCAGATGAAATCACAATTTTTTTCGGCAAATTTGTAGAATTATTTTCTTCAATTTCATTGCATTTATTATTCTTCAAATATTCAGTTTCTTTGTCACTTTTTTCGGTTGTAATTTCCAATTCTCCATGAATTAGAAATTTATTTTTTAAATTTTCCTCAATAGTTGTAATATTTTCACTATTTTCAGCAATAATTTCATTATTCTCAATTAATCGTTGACAAATAATTTTTTTTGGTTGTTCATTTTCCATGGTAGAAAATTTATTATTTTTCCTTGGCGTTGAAGTTTTAATAGTTTCCAAATTTTCCTCTAAAGTAAATTCTTTACGTTTTAAAATATTTTCATTTTTTGGCAAATTTTCCGAAATATCATTTTCCCTATCAAGTGATTTCAAATTTTTAATTTTCGATTTTCGTGTCGTTTGCTTTAAATTTTGCGTTTCAATTGATTTCAATTTTTCAGTTACAATTGGTTTTAAATTTTCTATTTCAATTGTTTTTAAATTTGAAATATTTTTCATTTCAATTGATTTTGTATTTTTCGCTGATAGTGAAATCAAATTTTCAATTTCATTTGTTTTCGTTAAAGTTTCGTTTGACGAAATTGTTTCGAAATTATTTTCAATTGTCGATTCAATTGACCAATTTGTCGAATTTTTTCTCTTCTTCTTTTTTTTCTTCTCCTTTTTTAAAATTGATTTTCGTTTATTTTGACAGCGTTTTAATTTTTTTCCCGTTGGCTTATCTTTGTCGAGTAATTTTTTCCATAATTCAAACATGATATTTTGATTTTCCACATTATTCGATGAACAGGAATTTAAATTGTGGCAACATTTAGATTTTTTCTCCGTTTTTTTATTAGTTTTTATAACGCGTTCGAGGGTTTTTAATGTTTTTGTCAGAACTTTCATTGTTTCCGATTCCTCGTGTTTTATTTCCTCCCTTAATGAAGTATTTAATTCAATTTTCTTCTCTTCTAGTTTCGAATGTTTCGGCGAATTGAATTTAAATTCATTTTCTGTAAAAAGAAATTTAAAAAATTAACTAAATATGTAAATTTAAAAAAAAAAATTATTTTCAAATTAGAAAATAGTGATTAAAAATTCTTACTTTCTGGTTGTAATGGTTGAATAATTGGTTCGGGTGCTTTAAAAGTTTTTACAAGATTTTCAAGAGCAATATCACATTTTTTGCAGAGAAAAGTTGAATTTTGTTTTGTTCCTTTTTTAACTGTATTAATAACATTTTTCTTATCTTGTAAAATTTTTTCCCCAACAATAATATTTGTATCTGTAAAAAAGAATTAGAAAAAGAAAAATTAAAAAAAAGTTACAAATATTTTTCCTTTTTTAAAGAAAATTTTTTTTTTCCTCACCAATTTCAGTGATTGTTACTTTATCCGTATTAACACTTTGATCTTTTTTTACAATTTTATTAGTAATTCGACTTTTTTTCGTTGTCTTCATTTCCAATTCAAGAGTTTTTATTTTCTCTGAAAATATCATAAATTTTTTTTTTTGAGAAAAATTGTAAATTATCTTCTATTGAAAAAAATTAAAAAATTAATTACCCTTAAATTTTAATATCTCCAAATCGGCGTCCATTATTTTTTCCGAATTTTTCGTTTGAATACTGTCAATTTTACAATTTAATTGTTGAATAAATCTTTGATCGCCAGCAATTTTTGTCTCCAATTCACTAATTCTTGTCATATAAGTTTCGAGTGATTTTCGCTGTTCTGTATTTTGCTAAAAAAAAAAAAAAATTTGGAAATTAAAGAAAAATATAATTTTAAATCGAAAAAATAAATTTAATAATTTTAATTTTTAATCAAATTAATACTTACAAGTTCCTGTTTTATTAATTTAGAAAGAGTCGTGTTATAATTGTTTTTCATTTCATTTGCTTCGACTCGAGCTTTTCGCAATGAAATTGTCAATTGTTCACATTCTTTTTTCTTGTCATTGTAATACTGAATTAAATCGCTAAGAAAAAATAAAATAATTTTAGATAAAATCAATAAAATATAACCTAATTTTTTTTTCACAAAAAAAAAAATTACTCACTGCGAACGACACATTTTCTTTTTCAAAAGTTCCAAAGACTTGAGCCTCTCAACTTTTTGCACATCATTCTGAAATATTTTTTTAATAAATAATAACAATCAATAAGATTCTATTTTATATTTATAATAAAACGCGGCAATAAAATAAAAAATCCTAATATTCAAATTCCCTCGAAAAATTATAACTATTTTATTAATTTGCAAAATTAAAAGAATTAAAAAAAATTTGCAATGCAAAAAAAAGCCTAAATTTATTCTTTAAACATTTTTACGTTCTCATAACGTTTGTACAAAAACGAGAATGTATTTTTCGAATTTGACTAAATTATTGTAATTGACGTCAATTTTTTTTTTAACGAAAAACTAAAGCCATGATATTTAAACTAAATAATAATGCCAATAAAATGAATAGAAAGTAATTTAGTATTTTTATTAATAATAAAAAAAAAACGTGGAAATCTAACCTCAAAAATTAATTTCAACATTTCACCGGTAATTTATTTTCAAATGAAATTACTTACATTTACATCAGTTGTTGGTTCTTCCTTTAAAGTGTCACAGTCTATTACCTCCATTTCGACTGTTTTCATTGAAAAACTTTGCGAAATAAATGGCAAAAAACGTGTTTTTTCCCACAAAACTATTACATATTTTTTTTTTGTCCCGCACACGAGAAACAGAAAACAAATATGTGTGTGGTAAAGCAGCGCCACTGCGTGTTGAATTTTTGAAACTATTTCAGTAGCGTAACCAAAAATGATTTTTTTAAATATTTTTTTTGAAATTTGGATTTTTTTCTAATTACAATTAGTAAAAATACATTTATTTGTAGAATATTTCCCACTAATTGGATAATAATAAATTGTTTCTATTTTTTTTCTATTTAATATTTGTGTTAATTTACTCTATAGTAAATATTTAATTGTACATACGCTCCTGAAATTTAACACACTGACAAAAATCTCACATATTTCCCATAATTTGTGTATTTTTACAAAAAACAAAAAATGTTCACAAGTATTTTTGGATAATTGTGAAATGTTTCGCTGTTATATAAAAGCGTTATTTCTAATATTTAAGTGACAAAAGTAGTAGTAGGAAAATTTTATAAATTGGAAAAGAAAACGAATATTTCTATTTTTTGAAAAAAAAAAGTAGAAAAAACAAAATAAAAACAATTTAACTTGCAACTGATGTCTATCGGCAATTACGGAATTTCCAGGTAAAAATTGAGTTTTAAATAATTAAAATTTTTTTTCATGAGCTCTAATTATTAATTTTCAATTTTAATTTAAGTTATGGTTTTTAATTACAAAACGGAAAATTTTGTGTGACCTACTTTTCGAAATATTGGTATTTTTAGGTTATCTTTATGTAAACAATTGTTTACCATTTCTGTCAATTTTAAAATAATTAAAATTATTATTAATTACTGTATTAATAATTGAAATTTAAATAATTAATTTTCATATTAGAATATAAAAAGTGTTTTTTGATTTTTTATTAAATATATAATTATTTCTCGAAATTTAATTTTTCCGAAATTTTTCCTAATTTCTACAGAGATAATAATTAATTATTTGGAGTAAATTTTTTTTTTTTTTGCAATATTTTCGCATTGAAATATAAAAAAATAGGAAATTAATAATAATTACTTCCGGTAATGAATTATTGTTGTGTTAATAATGTTCGCGATGTCAGGATTGGCTTTGATTTACGGAAGTGACCCTGAAAACCTTGAAAGAATAGAGTCGGTCAACAATTTTAAAGGGGAAGCTATTAGAAGCTCGTCTTCGTCTGTTGGCAAAAAGTTATTTTATTTTATTTTATTTTTTTTTTTTTTTTGAACCGCAGACGTAAGGCTAAAAATAAAAATTTTTTTGCTCTCTTGCCGTTCAGTCATACTAAAAAGCAAAAATTAAATTTTTAAGGGCGTGTACGAGCCTCAAATTGAGAAATTAATTTTTGTTTTTATTATGTAAATTTTTTCTTTAATTTGCAATTTTTTTTTTTGATTTTTTAATTCATAATTATAACTTAATAATTAATAAAATAATTATAATTATATTTTATTAAGAGAAAATTAAAAATAATATAATTTATTTATTTATTAACGGGACAATTATTATTAATATTACATTTAGGAAAAAATAGTTCCAATTTCTAAATATTATTTTTTATCTAGTAATTTATTTTATTAAATTGAAATTATTAAATCATTTATTTCTATAATTAATTTTACTTTTTGGAAAAAAAAAATGTTTTATTGAAGAATTATTTATAATATTCAAATTCGATGCCAATTGCACTTGTTACAATGTTTTCTCGCGTTATAAATTTTTTTTTTTTTATATTAGCCAGAAAAAAAATAGAATTTTTTTTCTATTTTTTTTTTTTTTGAGCAACGTCACATTGAAATGCTTTTTTTTTTGCTTTATTTGTACGCGTAAGAATTAATGAATAGAAACAAAAATAGAAGCAGAAAAAAAAAGAAAAGAAAAACATAATGAAAGTGAGTCTTCATGACTCAGAGAATGAATGCGAGACAAAAAACCGCAATGAATTAAATCTTTGGGATGCGATTGCAAGTTTAAATAGAATTATTTTACACCTTGTGACAGAGCCAAGTGTCATTTTAAAATCCATTGTCATGGCCTGACATCGAACCGAGATCAATCGATTTTTTTTTCGTTTTACGTGAATTATCAAAATTTTTTTTGTATTTCATTTTTTTTTTTAAAAAAGACTTGAAAAAAAATAGAAAAATGGTGATTTTAGAAATTTATTATCGGGCTATTTATAGCTCTCGAAGTGCTCTGTAAGTGTTTTTAATTTAATAATTTTTATATAATAATTTTAATATTAAAAATTGTGATTTTATAAATATTTTTACTATTTATTAATATTTAGTTATTTATTTTCTTTATTTTTTTTATTTCTTTTATTTCGTTTATTTTTTTTATTTATTTTTTTTTTAATTTTCTTTTACGTTTATTAATATTAAATTTAATTTTTTTATTCCTTTTTTATTTATTTAATAAAAAATTTTTAGAGAAATTATGAAAGACACGCCGTACAACATCATTCCACTTCATCATAGGCCTGAATTAATGAATCAGTGTTGTAAACTTTTAAATTCAGAGTGGCGACGAAGCGAAAAAGCACGGTAAATTATTTTCAATTCTGTAAAAATTAATTATTTTCTCAATTTTTTTTACAAAGTCTGTTGAAATTTTATTATTTCTAATAATTTAAATTATAACACTTTCAAAATTCAATTATTATTAATTATTTTCTTTAAAAATTCAATTATTATTAATTATTTTCTTTAAAAATTCAATTATTTAAAAAAGTTTTAAATAAAAATTCTAAAATTGAATTGATAGAAATTTGAAAAAAAATACAGCAGTTTAAATTAGCAAAAAAATTTATTTCAAATTTAAAATCTTCTGCAATTCAATTATTTAGAAAAAATTTAATTCATAAATCTGTAAGACTTAATTATTTATCTAAAAAATTTTCTTCACCATTAAAACTGAAAATTTATTTAAAATTTTAAAAAATTTGTCTTTTTTCGATTCTGAAATTTGAAATAAATTTTCTTGATATTCTTATTATGGAATTAATAAAATTAATTTATTATCCAATAGTTATTTAAATTAAAATATTTTTATTAACTAATTAAATTTAATTAAAATGAAGAAAACAAATTTTTTTGAAATGAAGAAAACAAATTTTTTTGAAATGTAAATCGACTAAAACGTTATTTTTTTTTTGCTCCTTCAATTTGATCCGATGAGTATTTTTTCGTCTATATTTTCCAAATAAAATAAATATTTCCAAAAATTTGTAAACTAAAAAAATAAATATTTCCAAAATTTATAAACTAAAAAACTAAATATTGAAATCATTTTTTTTTTCAACTGTAAATAATGAATTTACAAAAATATTAACCGAAATTTTATTTTTTCACAGACTCATCAGTTTGAGTTCGTCCTGTGACAAATTTCCAACATCTCTAGTTTTACTCGACAATGATAAAGTAATTGGACATTGTAAAATTTCTTTAATACCCAGCATAGACGATTGTTGTGTCATTGAATCTTGTGAGTAATAATATTTTTCCCTCGAAAAAAAATAATAAACAAAATTTAAAATAATAAAATAATAATATTTAAAATATAATTAACAAATTACAATAAGAAATTATTCTTCACTATAAAATATTTATACAATAAAATTTTTTTCATTTTTTTCCAATTAAAAATTCTATTTTTTGAAAAACTGAAAAAAATTTCTATATTAAAAATTTAATGAAATTTTTTTTTTTTTATTAATATTGTAAATTTTATTGCAAAATTTTGTAATTAATATAAATTTTCTTTTTAATTTTTCCAATAGTTATGATTAGTCGGGATAATCGATCACAGGGTTTAGGTTCAATTTTATTGCGTGGTGTTGAACAATATGTGGCAAAAAGAGGAATAAAACAAATTTTATTAACAACACGCGATCAAGAGGGATTTTATCGTAAAAATGGCTATTCAATAAGTGAACCATTAAATCTTTATAAACTAATGGATTATATGAATTCAATAAATGAAAGTGATAAAGAAAAGCAAATTAATTTAATTAAAAATATAATTATTGAAAAAACAAATGAGAGACGTAAAGAATTGAAAACACAACAAAATAATGCATTTTCTGGAGCACCACCTCCGCCACCATTGCCAAATCTTATTGAAAAAAAACGACAATATGAATCGCCTTACACTTATATGTGTAAAAAATTGTCTTAAAATTTATATATATTTATAGATATAATTCAAATATTTTTATTTATTTATTCTTATTGACAAAAAAAAAAAAAAAATCACAACCTGTTACCTCTATCTGTAAATATATATATATAGATATAAAAAAAAAAATGTTATATCATCGAAAATGTACAAAATAAAATTATGTTTTCTTTTAAATCACATGAATTTATATTTTCTGGAAACAAAAAATTGTAATTTTTTTATTAATTAATTATTCTATGAACAACTATTTTTATTTTTAAATTCGAATTTTTATGATTAAAAAATAATTTTTTATACTGATGTTATGCCACAGACTCGTTGATAATGTTCCGGATTATCAAGGCAATCGACAAGAAATTCGGCTAAATAATATTTTGAAATTGTACGACCAGGAGATTCGTCGTATTTCACAGTGACATTGGAATGACGTTCCTCTGAAATTTTAACAATTATTATTATTATTACTATTTTTATTAATTAATATTATTGCTAATGATTAGTAGAAAATATTAATTTTTATTTTTTATTTATTTATTATTTTATTACCTGCAATGTGTGGAGGAAAAACGGAAATCCATTTTAAACCACTTTCCTTAATTAAATTATACATTCGTCGATGATCTTCCGTTAAATCTTTAAAGATTGTTGGAACTTTTTCCGGATCGTAAAAAAGAAAGGCTTAAAAAAATTTATTGTAATTTTAGAAACAGAAAAAAAAAAATAATAACCATCGAAAAATTAGAAATTCAGAATTAAAATTGTTTTTAATTATTCTATTTTACAAAATAATTATGTATATATAATTTACCTGATAAGCAAACGGAAATTAATTGAACATTGTGCTTTTTCATTCCGTCGATAATATTTTTTATTCCCTGAGACAAAACTGTTGTGGGTTCTAAAAAAAAAAAATTGAAAATTTGAAGGAAAAAAAAAATATTTTCTCAAATTTAATGGTAATTTAAAAAAAAAATAATTAAAAATATAATAATAATAATATAATAATAATTTTTGGAAAAGAAAATTTCTTCAAATTTTGTTATAAATTCGAAAATTTTGGAAACTTACGTAAATCATTACGAGTGCCAAGAACAACGACAACTCCATCGGTTCCTTCAATTGCTTTTGAAACTTGTTCGGAATTTGTTACATTACCAACAGATATTTCAATTTTTCCCTTGAATTTTTCAGGTACACTCGATGCATTTCTCACAAAAACTTTTACCTTCAAACCTGTAGTACAATCGAATTTTAATTATTTTTTTTCCTCCTATTTTTATTTATTTATTTCCAATTTATTTCGTTTTTAAATATTTATTTCAATTTAATATTTCCATTTATGAATTAAAAAATATATTTTTATATATTCATAATCAAAAAATCGTTATTTTTTCTAATTGCGAAAGAAACAAAATTTTCTTTTATAAAAGAAAATCAAATTTTTCCATCGTAAAAAAAAAGAAAAAATCTACATTTAAAATTTTTGTATTATTACTAAAATAATCAAAAATTATTATAGAAATCTAAATTTACGTTGATAACAGTGTAGATTAAAATTTTAATAAAGAATATTAATGAGATAAATATTAATGAGAATTTAAAATATAGAAAATAATTTATTAACATAAATAATAATGCATTAGGACAAATTATTAAAATTATTATTTACAATATTTTACAATAAAAAACAAAAAAAAAAAAAAAGTGTAACTAATAATTTTTAATATTCTGAAGCTTTTGTGATTGTTGTAAATAAATTATAAAATTAATTAAATAAGTAAAATAAAAAAATAATAAAAAAGAAATAAATTAATTAAATTAATTATATAAATTACATACATAAATTATTTATAATAAATGCTATTTATACATAAGTATACATAAATTTACAATTAAAAAAAATTGAAGATTTAAAATATTAAATTACATTTTTCACTGTAAAATTGGAAACACTTTTAATTTTTTCTAAACTTTATAATAATAAATAATTATTGAAATTTAAAATCAAGATTCAAATTTTTTTTCAATATTTAATAATTTCAGAGCGAACAGTAGAGAAAATAATAAATTACATGATGACTTGTGGCTTTTGTATTGACATTGAAAATATAATAAAATTTTCCACGATTAATTATTGTGTATAATTAAAGAAAATTAATTTAAAAAAAAATACAAAAATACCTTTTTGTACTGCATAATCTAAGGAACATTGGCCGGTATTTCCAGTAGCACCAAAAATCACAATTTTTTTCATTGTCGTTATTAAAAAAAAAAAAAAAATTTCGAATTTTCTTTCAGTGATTTTTTGTTTAAATTCTCCGTTAATGTTATCAATTTTTTTTTGTCTACGTGTTGTCTATCAATGAGATTGTGTGTGAGATTTTGAATTTCCGAATCCTAACACTTGTGTGTGACTACGTGACTTTATCCAAGTATTATACAAACTTGAAACATTTTATTTTTCTTTCTTGCATTTAACTCCCACCCGCATTTCATTTATTTCTCACAAGTCATTGACTCGGCTGTTAAATCAGATCTCTACTGATAAATTTACATATCCAAAAACTCGATTCTCTATACATTTTTGCCTGATATAATTTATTCTTCTTCTTTTTGCAATTATTTTATTCCAATTTTCATTCTTCTTCTTCTTCAGTTTTTTTTTCCAAATTAAATATATTTTTTCAAGTTTTTCTTCATTTTTCACATATAGGAAAAGAATTTCCTTTTTTAAAATTATAGTTTATAAAAAAATATATAAAAAATGTATAAAAAAATATTTACTATATTTTTCTATTTTCGAATTATATTTATTGGAAAATTATTTTATTTCAATTACAAAAATATATTTTTCAAAAATTAACAATTTTCCCTTGTATTTTTTCTCTAATTAAAATTATAGATTATAATATTTAATTAATTAAAAATAAATTAAAGAAATTCTTTTTCCATTTATTCATTATCATTTTCGAATTAAGGGAAATTAATTCCTTCTCTCTATAATAAGTCGCAAATTTTCCGATAAATTTCCCCATCACTCAAAGATAAAGAAGAATTAATTACTTTGCAAAATGGATTTAATTCACGAATTAAATCATCATTATCATTATCATTATCATTATTAAAATTTGTATTGCCAACGTATAATTTTAAAATTCCATGTTTTCTTACCATTGTGGAAATATTTGCAATATTAATTAATCTATTGACATTAAATTTATTCCACGATATATCGAGAATTTCAAGATTCATTGATGTTCTTATTAAATTAAATAAATTTTCCTCCCTCAGCCGATGACAATTTTGACAATCGAGTGTTTTTAAATGTAGCATTTTTTCAAAATTTTCACCAGTTACTTTTGGCAGGCCATTTGAAATTAAATGCTCGAGTCGTGGTTTCGTTGATAAATGTGCGATTCCTTTTTCCGAAATTTCGAAACATGCTGCAAATTAATAGAAAAAAAATTGAATTCCAAATTTCTGTCACAAAATCACAATTCAATAATTGAAAATAATAACAAAAATGGAAAGAACGAAATAAATGTAAAAAAAAATCTACTTTTTATAGCGAGAAATAATTTAATTTTTTTTTATTTAAATAAATAAATTTTTTTTCTTGAAAGAAAGAAATTTCTTTTGTATTGAAATAAATAAATTTTTTTTCTGTATTAATTAAAAGAAAGAAATTTCTTTTATATTGAAATAAAATAAATTTTTTTTCTATAAATTTAAATTACAAAAATAAAATAAATAAAAGAGAAATTTAAAAACAGTACAGCTTATATTGATGTATTGAACTTTTCGACAATAAAATGCAAGAGTTTTGAGTGCATTATCAGTGATGTAGCTATTGTGTTGAAAATCGAAAATTATCAAATTTTCAAAACGTGCAATTTCCTTGATTTCATCCTTTTTAATATAATCCAATCCCACATAGCCACTTAATCGTAACATTTGTAAATTATCATTTCGACTACCAATAGCTCGCAATAATTCAACATTTATCGTTGGATACGAATCAATTGTCAATGCTTTCAATTTATAAAGTCTATTAATTGCCTAAAAAAAACAAAATTATTAATTTCAATTTTTTTTTCTAATAAAAATTAAAAAAAAAAATTTCCCCCCCAAAAAAAATTAACTCACATTTGAAACATCACTCGATGACGAATGAATTATTTTCATAAGATGTAATTCCTCTAAATTAATTGGCAATTTTTGTAAACATTTTCCAGTGATATTATTGCAACTAAATTTTAAATATTTTAATTTTAACATTATGGCAAAAATTTCACCTAATTCATCTTCATTCCAAATCCATTTACGTGAAACAAGACATAATTTGCAAATATTTTTACAATTTTCAATTAAAATACGTATGCCAATTAAATTAATACATGGATCGGAAATAAAAATTGTCTCAATTAATGGACAATAGGTGGCAATAATTTTTAAAATATCATTTGTTGCACCAATTATGTGTACTTTAGTTTCGTCTTTACGACTTATTGTTCCATCTTCATTGAATGGTTTACAAATATCGATTTCAATTAAAAATTTACCACAACGAATTAGTACGTGTTTTAAAATTTGATCATCAACATAGGTGAATTTATCACTTACAGGAAAACCCCATGTAATACATGAGAGATTCAATTTTCGAAATTTTGACCATGATTTTAAACTTAAATCACGCCATCGATGAGAAACTGTGAGAAATATTTTTTTTTGTATTAATTTTATTAATTTTTTTTCAATATTAAATTATTTTATTTATTTATTATTATTGCTATTATTATTATTATTATTATTATTATTATTATTATTATTATTACTACAGGCCTCGAATTATACTTTTTCGTCTTTTTTTTACATTTAAATAAAAAATTTTAATACGTTTTTTTCTTAGTATACAATGTAGATCTTCTTCAAATCTTCTTTATTTCAATTATTTAATAAATTTTTAACTAAAATTCTTCACTAAATTAATTATTTTTAATAATTTTAATGAAATTCTTCACAAATTTAATTATTTTAAATTATTTTTCAATTAAAATTTTTATGAAAGTTTATAATTTGTTTATAATTTTGCAAAAAAAAAAAATTAACAAATAAATTTACCAAAAATTTTTTAATTCAAAATCACTTGAAATTTAATTATTTGCAAAAATTTTAATTATTTTTTTTTAATGATTTTTATAATATTCTTCGAAAATTTTTCAATTATCTAAAAGCATTTTTCAAATAAAAACTAAAAATTCTTTCTCTTATTATAATTATTGTCTAAAATTATTGAACACAATCTTGTTGAAATTCAATTATTTTCAAAAATTTCAATTTTAAAAGCTTTTAAAATTTTATTTATTTTCTAAAATTTTACAAATCTAAAATTTTTTTTTGAAATTTAATAATTTCAATTATATAATTCTCTTGAAATTCAATTATTTTTTTTTAATGATTTTTATAAATATTCTTCGAAAATTCCAACTATTTGAAACGATTTTTCATTTAAAAAATTTTCAAATTATTGTATTTTTGTCTGCAATTTCTAATAAATTGAATAACAGAAATTATCAAAAAATTTGAATTAAAAAACACTTGAAATTCAATTAATTTGAAAAATGAAAATTTCTAAATCTTTGAAAATTCAATTAATTTTAAAAAATTTTATCTAAAATTATATTTGATAAATTATTTTTAGTTCTGTAAAATTTAATTATTTGTTCTGAAAATTAACAAAAATCTTATGAAATTCAATTGTTTCTAAAAATTTCATCTTTAAACTCTTTCCAAAATTATTATTTAAAAAAAGTTTTTTTTTTTTAAATCTGTAAAATTTAATTAAGTATTGACTGAAAATTTTTTAAACATCAGAACTAAAAACTATAATTTTTTTTTTCTTGATAATATTTTTATAAATTTATTAACCAATTAAATTTTGTTAAAATAAAAAAAAAATCGACTTTTTTGGAATATAAATCAACTAAAACGACTTTTTTTGTGCCTTAAAGTCTATCCGAGGCCTGTTATTATTATAATAATAATAATAATAATAATAATAATAATTATTATTATTATTAATTATAATAATTATTAAGATATTATTAAAATATTATTAATATTTTATTATAATTATTAATTATAATAATAATAATTATTATATTTATTGAATTATTTTTAATATTAATTTAAATATATACCACTTTCCATTTTGATTTTGTCGACAATTGGAAGATATTGAAAAATATGTAGAAGACAATCATCATTCAATCTCGACATATTGGTAACCATTGTGTAAAATATTTATTTCGATAGAAAAAAATTAATTTCTTTCAAAAAATCTGAAAACTATATATATATATTTTTTAAAATTTTATATTAGATATCTATAAAATAAATTTTTTTTTTGTATTTTTAATAGTAATAAATTTAAATATTTAAATAAAAAAATCTCGATACCTATATCATTGAGAGAAGAGTGTAGTGAATATTACTACGAGTTGAATAACAGTTACTAAACAAATTTGTTTGTTTTTCGATTAAATAAAAAAATTCTAAAGGATTAAAAAAAAAAAATACTAAATTGTTAATATTCTAAATTTTTAATAGTCATTTGATTTTTATAATTTAAAATATCTTAATAAAATTCAAAAATTTATATTATTTGTTTATATATTTTTAAAAAAAAATTAGCAATTTTTAGGTTAGGTATTTACATTATCGAGTTGTTACGAAATTTTAGTCACAAATTCACAAAATATACAACTAAATACAAATCTAAATTTTTATATAGTAGAACAAAAAATTTTTTTACCTTTTTTTATTCACTTTCATTCCAATAATTTGAAGCAAAATTACGTTTTATTTCTCATCTTTCATAATATTATGTCAACTTATTATTTCTTGTCCAAATTTACACAATTTGTCCGAAAAAAAAGAAATTAATCTATTTTCTTTTTTTTTTTTTTTTTAAACTAATTTTTTCCTTATTATACAATCAGCATAAAAAATATTCGTAATATTTTACAAATTAATTTTTTATTTTTAATAAATTATCTTTTTTTGAATCGAATTATTGAAACAATTTTATTATAATATAATAAAATTGTTTTAATAATTCATACATTTCAAATAAGCGCGCGCTAATTCTGACCAATGAGAGGATTCTATAGGACGCAAGCGCAATTTGCATCTGGTGAACGGTCGTTGGCATTTTTAGTTGGTTTTTAGTCACAGTCACACCTCGGTGGCTGTCTGATTGTATGTTGAACTCTCTTTTTATATACATTAATCAGAGGACTTTTTTTTTTTATCTAAAAATAGTTTATTTTTTCTTTATCCTTCGAGATGAGTGTAAAAACTGTACAACAAAATTCAGGTAATTAAAAATTTTTATTCTTCTTTCATCTATACAATACAAAAATTATTGAAATTTTTTTTTCCATTTGACAGTTAATAAGAATTTTCTTCTTCCAATTTTTGGGAAAATTAGTATTTTTTAATTAATTTCAATTAATTTAATGATAATTATTAAAGAAAATCATTGACATTAAAGGAATTTCATTGATAAATCAATTGATTTTCAAATGTCACTTTATAACCTATAAAATTTTCTCTTAAATTCTCTTTGTCTATAAAATTTAATACGAAATTTTTACATCATTTTAATTACTATCTTCCTGTTATTCATTGTTGAATTTTTAATAACATTGTTGTTGCAAAGATTTCATGATTTTGATATTTTTACGTAAGTTTCATGTAGAACATAACCTAAAAATTTTTTTTTTTCTTAAATTCTGATTGGTTGGTGTGATTAGTGATGAAGAAAAATTTTTCTCAGGTGATTGAACACGTGAGAATGACGTGAACCAATGATATTCGTTTGTTCTATTTTCAAATTATTTTTTTTTTTAATGATGAAATTTAAATCACTTGTTTCAAGAAAGAGAACATTTGTATTATTTAAAATATTTCTTTTTAGAATAGTTAGTTTTTAATTTTTTATTATTTACAGTGCCATTAAAAGAAGAAAATGAAGTTTCTACAAGAAGAGCCATTTTAACAGTTGGCTTTATTTTTCTAGTTTCGTTAACATCGTTATTTTACGTGTACATGAGCTTTCCAGATTTAGAAGAGTAAGACTTATCTCCCTTTTTTTTAGATTTTATTTTCTTTTTATATTAAAACGGAAAATATTTTTTTTTCAGGGAAGAAAAGAAACATATAAAACTGCCTTTCCACATAGAAGATGCCAAAAATCTCGGAGGTGTTCTTGAACGTTACAAGGATTTGTATTACATTCAGGTCCTAGCTGGAGTATTCATCACTTACATATTGTATCCTTTTGAAATTTGAAAAAGAATAATTTTTTCAAATTTATTTCTTTTTAACACTTAAAAGAAAAAAAATATTTTAAACTATAAAAAACATTGAAATGATAATTTAACAATTTAAAAATTAAGTAGTTTTCTTTTTTCTGAATACTAATATTTAATTTTTTAATATTACAATTATTTGAAAAAATTTCCAAAACAAAGATTGTCCTGTTGAAAGTAATTTAAATTACAATCACGAACCGAACAGTGAGAAAATAATAAATCGACAAAAATTAAGCAATAGTTTAAAGCAAAAAGCTGACGACTTTAGATATAAAAACAAATAAAAATTTCACTAATTTCGAAAAGGCATTTAAAGAAATAAATGCATGATGTAAATACATCAAAATCGCTTTCGTTACAAATGTTTTTTTTTTTTTTTATTTGAATCAAAATATCGAGCCCACAGTCAAAAGACCATTGAAGGGCAATACATTTCTGTGAAACGAAAATAACAAAAATAATTGAAGAATATAAGATCTACATAATAACAAAAATAAAAATTGCATTAATCATAAAAACAAAAAGAATACATTGTAATTTCGACTGAGCTGTATTCCAATTTAGTTCAATTTATTTCTCAAATAAATTGTTGATAGTTTAAATATTGTAGAATTTAACGTTGTACAGTTTAAACGGTGTAGAATTTAAATTTATACTATTTGAACCGCGCCAAATTCAAAAATAAGTTTATACTTAATCGATATTTGTAATTTTAATTTTTTTAATCAACCTCTTTTTACCGTATCGCTCGTTTCTTTAAAAATCATTTTTTTATATTAAAACTAATTAAAATTATGTGTAGGCAAAACAATGTCATATTTTCCTTAGCTTCTTTTTTTATTTATCTCTTTTTCAAAATAGTCTACAAACATTTGCAATTCCAGGATCAATATTCCTTTCAATTTTATCAGGATTTCTCTTTCCCTTTCCAGTTGCATTATTTCTTGTATGCTGTTGCAGCGCATTAGGAGCAACTCTATGCTATCTACTTTCATCTTTATTGGGGCGAAAAATACTTTACAAATATTTTCCTGATAAAGCAAGAGAATGGTCAATGATGGTGACAAAACATCATGATAATCTTTTAAATTATATGTTATTCCTAAGAATGACACCATTATTACCAAATTGGTTTATAAATCTTGCGAGTCCCGTTATTGGTGTTCCAATTATACCATTTTTAATTGGAACATTTTTTGGTGTTGCACCACCATCATTTGTTGCAATTCAAGCTGGACAAACATTACATAAATTAACATCGTCAAGTGATGCATGGTCATGGACAAGTTTTATTATTCTCTGTATTTTTGCGCTTCTTTCATTGGTACCTGTTATTTTTAAGCAAAAATTTAAACAAAAATTCGAGTAATTTATTTTTCTTGTGGGATACCTTTTAATACATTCCAAAAATTTTTATTTCATCGCTAAATTTAAAGTAAAAAAGTATATGTGTGTGTGTGTGTGTTAAAAGAAAATATGGTTTTTATCGCACATAAAGGAAATTTGTTTTTGAAAAAAAAAGAAACGAATTTCCTCTCACATTCCTAGTTTATTAGATAATTTTTCTTTTGCCACTTTTTTCGGAGAAAAAGTTTTTGGCAAATTTTTATTGTTTCTTGATTAGTAAGAAACTATTTATTTATAAATCTATTTTTATTTATTCAATTTTTTGTACTTTCACTTGAAATTGAATTTGTATTTAATAAGAAATTTTTCAAATTAAACGACGATTTTTGAGAAATTGTAATTTTTGCAGAAAATTTTAAAGAAAAAAAATTAGAATACTAATAACAAAAGTGGATAAATTATTAAATTTGGGCGAAAAAAAAAAATTTTGCATAATGCAACTAGTCGAAATTTCTTTTCTACGCAAAAGTATTTTATCTCTGTGTATATAAATATATATAAAAAAAAATGACGTGTACATAAGTACTAGCGAAATAAATTAATAGTATTTAATTTTCTATTCTTTTCTTTATTTTCCTGGTTCATTAATATTTCTTTCTTTTATTTGAAATCTTAAAAGAAATATTTATTTAGAAATTGTAAACGGGCTGTGCCCTTTGAGTACATAGGTACCTGAATAATAATGTTACAAAAGTAATTAAATTACAATAAAGAAAAATATAATTAGACCGCAGTGCCAATATTAATTTATGTATTTCATGTATTATTATTTTTACTTTATGCCGTTGCTATCTATACTGGAACGTTAATAAAAAAAAAAATATTTTCTTATCTACGTCTCATATTTAAATTTAGTATTCTAATATTTCAGAAAGAAGCTAAATTTTTTAAAATAAATTTTCAATGTTAAAAAAAGGATTTTTAAAACAGTTAAAAACATTCCTATTTTTAAAAATAAATTTTCAATGTTAAAAAAAGGATTTTTAAAACAGTTAAAAACATTCCTATTTTTAATTTATTATTTACTTTTGCTATTAAAAAAAAAGATAAAAAAAGGTTTGTTAACATCTCTGTCTCTATTTTTCACTTAAAGACAAGGCGATATCTGATTTTCGCTACCAGATGGCGTATTGCAGTTTAGTTCCCAATACAAGCGGATTTGTGATAGTTTTTAGGTTATGTTGCTTCTCCGAAAATTAAAAAAAAATTGTATAATACCCCCCCCAAAAAAACATAAATTATAACTAATTGTTTAAAATTATTAGGTTAAATTTCCAATGAAAATTAAAAAAAAAGAAAATCGTAAAAAAATTGTTTCACACGTGTAAGTACATGTGTGTGTGTGTTGTAAAAAATCATCGATCGCTGAATTTTAAGGATGTTTTACAATATTGGGGTCGACCTTCACCTCCTCGACCAGAAGAGAAGTAATAGGACCAATATATGTGAAAAAAAATAATCCTCCACATAAAGTATTCGAGTTGTAAAAAGAGAGAGAGAGAAAGAGAGAGAATAGAGAGAAAAAAGAAAAAAAAACCCTCAAAAGTCGAATTCATTGAGACAGTACGATGATTAAAGGGAACGGAATGAGGATATAATTGATTGGCTAATTCGGTGAGAGAGAGAGAGAGAGAGAGAGAGAGAGAGAGAGAGAGAGAGAAAGAGAGAGCTTAAAGGTCGCTGATACGAGATGGAGCTTCCGTTTTGGTGCGGCTGTGAGTTTCGATCAAGGCCAACCTTGCTATTCGTTTCCACCCTTTCTCTCTCTCTCTCTCTTACACACACATGTTTTCATCCCTATTTCAAACTACCCTCCCTTCCCCTGACCCCACTACTTTTAAAATCCCTTCTCTTCATTTGAAATTCGCCGAATCCACGCAACTCCACCACCCCCTCCACCCCTTATCTTAATTTGCCCCCCCCACACCAAGTATCACATTTGAAAATGTAACGGGTGATTACTCTCAAATAATGGCAATTTCCTTATTATTATTATTATTATTATTATTATTTTTTTTTGTTATACAAAATCAAATATATTTTCTTTAATTGTTGCGCTAAAAAGAGTTTATAGTGGAAAAATTATAAAATAAATGAAATTTTTAAAGGCCTTTTGAGAAACTCGCTTTTTATTATCCCTCTACTTATAGATGAATAAAATGATTTCCCTTTTTGCCTTTTTTTTTTTTTTTTAAAGAGCTGTGAAGAAAAAAAAATCAAGAGTCTCTTTAAGGAAACAATGCCCCTTGAAATAATTGCTGAGTTGATCGATGCAGTCACGAAAACGCTAAAGGCATTTGGGTGAAAAAAATTTTTTTTTTTTGTTCATTATGAAACTTTGATAAAGAACTTTAACTTAATCATTTTTTTGAAAATTTTTCTTTTTTATTTTTATTATTAAAAATATAGTAAATTTTATACAGTATTTATTCTTATAATAACAATAATAATAATAATAATAATAATAGTAATAATTTTTAAAAGAATATGTATAAAAATAGGTGTCACTCGTTAAGCTCTACTCGAATCAAGGGGAAAAGTTGAGGATAATAAGTTATTTTTAATCGCCACTTGTCAATCTAAGAAGCAGAGCAGTGTAGGAGCAACTCTGAGATTTTTTTTCCCTCTCATGACTCCAAGGCGATGCGTATCGATCAGCTTTTCAAGCCATTTTTCTTTTTAGTCAAGAAATGATCATTTTTATAATTTAAATAAAAGTTGATTTAAATTTTATTTCAAGCAACAAACGGTAAAATGATTTTTATTTTAATATTGCACATTAAGTGATAAATTTAAATTTTTAGTTCAGGTCTTCTTCTTTGGATCTATTTTTAACCTATATTGAACCTACATTGAACCTACATTCAAACTGCATTGAACCTATATTGAACCTACTTTGAACCTATTTTAAATCTACGAAACATTGATCATGCTTTGATTTTTTCTTGAACCTTAATTGTCCAAACCTAGAACCTAGTTAGACTCTACATTAAACTTACTTCAATCCCACCTTGGATCTATTTTCGACTTATATTGATCCTACTTTGCACCTAATTTGATTCTGCTTTGAACCCAGTTTGATCCCACCGTAGAATTATTTGCAACCTATATTGAACCTTTATTAACCCTAATTGAACCTACTTTAATCCATATTAAACCTACTTTAACCCATATTAAACCTACTTTAACCCTACATTAAATTTATACTTCAAATCCACTTTGAACCTATTTTCATCCTTTGAACCTACATTAACCTTACTTTGAATCTACTTTAACCCTACTTTGAACATACATTAATCTTTTTTTAACCCTACTTGCATCCTACATTAAGGGTAGGGTTAAAGTAGGTTTAAGAAAGGTTGAAAATAGATTCAAAGTTTGATTAAAGTATGTTTAATGTAGGTTGAAAGTAGAATTAAAGTAGGTTCAATGTAGGTTAAAAATAAATCCAAGGTGACACTATTTTTAATCTATATTGAACCTACTTTAACTCTACTTTATCCTACATTAAACTTTTATCAATCCTACCTAGGATTTATTTTCAACTTATATTGAGCCTACTTTGCACGTAATTTGATCCTACTTTGAACCTAGTTTGATCACACATTTGAATTATTTTCAACCTTTATTAAACCTTCTTTAATCCTAATTGAACCTACTTTAATCCATATTAAACCTACTTTCACCCTACATTAAACTTATACTTCAATTCTACTTTGTATCTATTTTCATCCTACATTGAATCTTCTTTAATCCTACTTTGTACTTAATTTGATTCTACATTTAACTTACTTCAATCTTAAATTAAAACTATTTTTAATCTATATTTAACCTAGTTTAATCCTAGTTTAATCCTTTATTGAAAGTAGGGTTAAAGTAGGTTCAAGTTAGGTTGAAAAAAGATCTAAGGTAGGATTAAAGTAGGTTTAATATAGGTTGAAAGTAGAATTAAAGTAAGTTTAATATAGGTTAAAAATAAATCAAAATGGGGTTCGAGTATGTTTAATGTAGGGTCAAAGTAGGTTCAATATAGGTTGATAACAGATACAAGGTAGGTTATAAGTGGGTTTAATATAGGTTCAAAGTAGAATTAAAAAAGGTTCAATATAGGTTGAAAATAGATCCAAGGTAGGATTAAAATAAGTTTAATGTAGGTTTAAAGTAGGGTTAAAGAGGATTCAATATAGATGAAAGTAGTTAGAAGGTGGGACAATTTTTAATCCATATTGAACCTACTTTAACCCTAATTTGAACCTACATTAAACCTACTTTAACCCAACTTTGATCCTACATTAAACCTATTTTGATCCTACATTGAACTTTCATTAATTCTACCTTGGATCTATTTTCATCCTACATTGAACCTACTTTAACCCTACTTTGTACTTAATTTGATCCTACATTTTACTCATTTCAATCTTATATTAAAACTATTTTTAACCTATATTTAACCTACTTAACCCTAGTTTTGATTCTATATTAAAATTTTATTAATCCTACCTTGGATCTATTTTCAACCTATTTTAAACCTACTTGAATCCTATAATTTAGTCCTATATTGAAAGTAGGGTTAAAGTAGGTTCAAGTTAGGTTGAAAATAGATCTAAGGTAGGATTAAAGTAGGTTTAATATAGGTTAAAAGTAGAATTAAAGTAAGTTTAATATAGGTTAAAAATAAATCAAAATGAGGTTGAAGTATGTTTAATGTAGGGTCAAAGTAGGTTTAAGTTAGGTTGAAAACAGATACAAGGTAGGATTAAAGTAGGTTTAATATAGGTTGAAAGTAGAATTAAAAAAGGTTCAAAATAGGTTGAAAATAGATCCAAGGTAGGATTAAAATAAGTTTAATGTAGGTTTAAAGTAGGGTTAAAGAGGATTCAATATAGATGAAAGTAGTTAGAAGGTGGGACAATTTTTAATCCATATTGAACCTACTTTAACCCTAATTTGAACCTACATTAAACCTACTTTAACCCAACTTTGATCCTACATTAAACCTATTTTGATCCTACATTGAACTTTCATTAATTCTACCTTGGATCTATTTTCACCCTACATTGAACCTACTTTAACCCTACTTTGTACTTAATTTGATCCTACATTTTACTCATTTCAATCTTATATTAAAACTATTTTTAACCTATATTTAACCTACTTAACCCTAGTTTTGATTCTATATTAAAATTTTATTAATCCTACCTTGGATCTATTTTCAACCTATTTTAAACCTACTTGAATCCTATAATTTAGTCCTATATTGAAAGTAGGGTTAAAGTAGGTTCAAGTTAGGTTGAAAATAGATCTAAGGTAGGATTAAAGTAGGTTTAATATAGGTTAAAAGTAGAATTAAAGTAAGTTTAATATAGGTTAAAAATAAATCAAAATGAGGTTGAAGTATGTTTAATGTAGGGTCAAAGTAGGTTTAAGTTAGGTTGAAAACAGATACAAGGTAGGATTAAAGTAGGTTTAATATAGGTTGAAAGTAGAATTAAAAAAGGTTCAAAATAGGTTGAAAATAGATCCAAGGTAGGATTAAAATAAGTTTAATGAAGGTTTAAGGTAGGGTTAAAGAGGATTCAATATAGATGAAAGTAGTTCGTAGGTGGGACAATTTTTAATTCATATTGAACCTAGTTTAACTCTAATTTGAACCTACATTAAACCTACTTTAACCCTACTTTGATCCTACATTAAACCTATTTTGATCCTACATTGAACTTTCATTAATTCTACCTTGGATCTATTTTCAACCTATTTTGAACTCCTTTAATCCTACTTTGATCCTACATTAAAGGTAGGGTTAAAGTAGGTTCAAGATACGTTGAAAATAGATCCTTGTAGGATTAAAGTAGGTTTAATGTAGGTTCAAAGTAGAATTAAAGAAGGTTCAATATAGGTTGGAAATAGATCCAAGGTAGGATTAAAATAGGTTTAATGAAGGTTTAAAGTAGAGTTAAAGAGGATTCAATATAGATGAAAGTAGTTCGCAGGTGAGACAATTTTTAATCCATATTGAACCTACTTTAACCTTAATTTGAACCCACATTAAACCTACTTTAACCCTACTTTGAACATACATTAAACCTATTTTGATCCTACATTGAACTTTCATTAACTCTACCTTGGATCTATTTTTAACCTATTTTGAACTCTTGTAATCCTACTTTGATCCTACATTAAAGGTAGGGTTAAAGTAGGTTCAAGATATGTTGAAAATAGATCCTTGTAGGATTGAAGTAAGTTTAATGTAGGTTCAAAATAGGATTAAAGTAGGTTCAATACAGGATTAAAGTATGTTCAATTTAGGATTATAGTAGGTTCAATATAGGATTAAAGTAGGTTCAATATAGGATTAAAGTATGTTCAATGTAGGATTAAAGTAGGTTCAATATAGGATTAAAGTATGTTCAATGTAGGATTAAAGTAGGTTCAGTATAGGATTAAAGTATGTTCAATGTAGGATTAAAGTAGGTTCAATATAGGATTAAAGTTGGTTCAATATAGCATTAAAGTAGGTTCAATATAGGTTGAAAGTTGATCCACGGTGGGGTTGAACTATGTTTAATGTGGTGTCAAAATAGGTTCAATATAGTTTGAAAAATAGATCCAAGGTTGGATTAAAGTAAGTATACTCCAGTGTCAATGTAGGTGTAATTTAGGATCAAAATAAGTTCAAAGTATGGTTTAAGTTTTAATAGGTTCAAAGTGGTCACAATCTAAGTTTAAATTGTATACAAGTAGAACTTAAAGTAGCATAGTTTTCACGTATGGTTAAAGTAGGTTCAAAGTAGGGTCAATGAAGGTTCAAAAATAGTTTAAATCCTACTTTAAATGTTTTTTGAACCTTCATCGACCTTCATCTAGAATCTACTTTGACCCTATTTCTAAAACTTTCTTCAATCTAAAATTACCATAATGCGTGGGTAGATGAGTAGGATGTACATAGGAAGTACTCGTTCAAAAAGAAGAAATGTAACCGGAAGAAGAAGTGTGAAATGATTTTCAGAACTGTGTCCTAGGGTTTGAGAGGGGGAGGAGGGCTCCCTCCTTTCCAAAGGGAGGTGAATGAGGAGACACGAGAGGCAAGAGAGGTTCAGAAAAAGAGAGAGAGAGAGAAACTGAGAGAGAATGAGAGTAAGTGACGGAGGAGGAGAGTGCAAGGTTTCGCAGGAGCAGTAATATCGATTGAAGCGTCTAGTTTGAGGCACCACAAGGGGTGCTCTGGTTGGCAAGGCGAAAGCTCCCATAAGCAGGCTGGCTGGCTGGCCGGGCGCGGGTCGCTTTCATCAAAAAAGAAAAAAAAAAAAAAAAAGTAGTCGTCCGTCCCTCCGTTTGTCCTCTCGTTTTGCCGCTTTTACACCGGTTAGTTTTTAACCCCCCCTATTTTCATCAAAAGTGTACACTTTTACCCCATTCACTTTCCTTTTGTTAAAAAATTACCTTTTACTAATTACCAATTTCATTCTTTCCTAATAAGGAAATTCATTTAATCTCAATTTCTCCCAATCGTGATTAATATTTTCAAGTGTGATTTGTGAAGAAAAAAATTTTTTTTTCAAATTTTTAAACATTTGTGATGTGATTTTCTGTTTTTTTGGTTCTCCACTTCGGTGGCTTAAAGAGAGAGATAGAGAGAGAGAGGAGACCTTGAAAACGACAGCTGATCGCGTACAGCTGCGCCGATGATAAGGATATAAAAATGTGAAAAAATTTTACTTTTTTTTAAATAATTGTGAATTTTTGGAATTTGATTTTGAGAGAAGGAGAAAAGGAGAGTAAAAAAGAAAAAAAAAGAGTTCAAGGATATTAAGAGGTGAAGGACATGGGTGGAATTTTATTTTTCCAAGTGATGATTTTTTTAGTTACTTAAAATTCTGACCTTGAAATTAAAAATTTCCAAGTAAATCTAAAGAAAAAGGGGAGGAATTAGATCAAGTGGTTTTCCTTAATCTCAAAAAACATTCTTCTACCTCTAAAAAAGAAATTTTAATTTCCTTTTTCTTTTCCAAGAGATGAAGTTCTCAGTTTAAGATTTTGAAAAATTAAATTATACAAGTAACTTTTTTTTTTTTTTTTGTTGAACGTTCCGCACTCGCAGTTACTGAATCAATATCCATTATATAACAGAGCGAGAGAGAGACACATATATATATATATATATAAATCACTTTCGTTTCTCTCTTTCCTTGTGTTATCTTCATAAAAAAAATGCTAATTCAAAAAAAATCAATTTTTCAATTAGACAATAAATTGTTTTTTTAATATTTATAAATTTTTTATTTATAGTTAAAGTATTATTGGGCGCACAAAAAGTAAAAAAAAAAATAACGACGAAATATTCAAAATCTCGTCGATTAACGACAACAACAACAACGACGACGACGACGACGACGCAAAAAAGGGAGAAATGAAATCACGAGGAAGAAATTTGATGATATTCCATCGAGTGATTTTGAATTTAAAAAAAATTACTAATTGCATTATTGTCAATAATAATTATGAAATTTAGTACAATATTTTTGTGGAAATTAAAAAAAATATCAATCATCATGAAAAGAAGAAGAGATCATTGATTGTGGAAGGTGGTTGTTCGCCAATAAAGGAGGTGTCGCCTCAAAAAAAATAAGAGAGAAATGGAAGACTCATCACCTAGAATTCGTTCCTATATTGACACATGGGACGTAAGTTCATTTTTTTTTTTAATCTTCCAATAATATTTTTCTTTTTACATTCGAATTTATAACAATTTTTAAAATTTAAAAGAAAAATTTACCTGAAACAGCGAAAGATTTCACTAGAATATCGAAATATTTAACTAAAACAAGTTAAACTTCTGCTACTACAGTGAAACGTTTCGCTGTTCCAGGTAAAAATTTCTAAGAATAAAAGAAAATTAAATTTAAATAAAAAAAAAAAAATTATGACAAATGTTGCGGTTTATATTAAATTACACTGCAGTTTTATTCAAATTAGAATATTTGATTAATTGCCTTTTGGTTTTATGAACAGTCTGCAAATTATTGATCCCACCGCTGCCACCGCATTGTAAAAAATCCAATATCTCTAATCTTTATTATATTGCATTAAAACATTTTTTTTATTATTATTATTTCTTATCAATTTGACGAATAGTGCTGCTAATAAAATAGAGGAAAAAGTAATGGAAATGCTAATATAATTCTATTACAAAATTGTAATAATTTTGTATAAATAGAAATATTTAGAAAGAAAGGAAAATTATTTTTTTGTAAATGTAGAAGATTGTAAAAAGAGGAATTCTTTTTTTTTTTTTTTGAAACACGTGTTTTAGAATGAGGACAAGTATTCAGTGGCAAATAGTCAAGCACCTCTTCAGGGTGGCGATGACGATCATCCGGAACGTGGAACATGGACTGGGAAATTTGACTTTCTTCTGTCTCTTCTTGGCTATAGTGTTGGACTTGGCAATGTTTGGCGATTTCCATATCTCTGTTATTCAAACGGAGGTGGAGCATTTCTCATTCCGTTCACAATAATGCTAATCATCGCTGGCCTGCCACTGATGTTCATGGAACTCTCTTTAGGTGAAAAAAAAACACATTTTCATTTTCACTTTCTTCTTTTTTATTTTCATCTCCATTTATTTCTTTGTTTTCAATATTTTCGATGAAGAATATCTAGTGAAAATCAAGACAAAAGTGAAAAAGAACGTTTAAGTGAATGTGAAAGTGAAATTTAAAGTGAAAGTGAAATGCAAAGTGAAATAACAAAATCGTACCCCATTTTTAAATTTTCCTTACAAACCGAAATGGAGATAATTATTTTTCATAGTCGTTTATTTGATACAGAGAATCTAAATCTAGAAGCATGCTTTATAATTAAATCTTTTAGCATATTCATTCTTCTTCATTAGCAAGTTACTAATTTTTATACCTATCAGTTAGAAATTCATTTGAAACGTGTTTTTTCTTTGTTTCCGTTAAAAATAAACGGTAATTGTTTAAATTCAAAAAATAGTTTTGAAAAAAAATTGTTTTCAAATAACAAAACATTATTTTGGAGTAACACAACGTAATTTTGAAATACAAAATCATGGTTTGGAGCAACAAAACATAACTTTGAAGTAACGCAACTTCGTTTAGGAGTAACAAAACATAATTTTTTAGTAACACAACATAATTTTGGAATAACAAAACATCATTTTGGAGTAACAACATAATTTTGGAGTAACGCAACAAAACATAACCTTGTAGTAACATAACATAATTTTAGAGTAATGCAACATAGCTTAGGAGTAACAAAATATAATTTTGTAGTAAAACAAATATTTTGTAGTAACACTACATAATTTTGCAGTATCACAACATAATTTTGAAGTAACAGAACATATTCTTGGAGTGACGCAACATAGTTTAGGAGTAACACAACATAATTTTGTAGTAACACGACATACTTTTGGAGTAACACAACATAATTTTTGAGTGACACAACATAATTTTGAAATAGAGTTTTAGAGTAACAAAACATAAATTTGGAGTGACTCAACATAATTTTTAAATAGAAAAACAAAGTTCTGGAGCAACAAAACATATTTTTGGAGTAACACAACATAATTTTGGAGTAACGCAACATAATTTTTAATTAGAAAACGATAGATTTGGAGCAACAAAGCATAATTTTGTAGAATCCAACATAATTTTATAGTATCAAAACATAATTTTGAAGTAACAAAACATAATCTTAGAGTGACGCAACATAGTTTAGGAGTAACACAACATAATTTTGTAGTAACACGACATAATTTTGGAGTAACAAAACATCATTTTGGAGTAACTCAACATAATTTTGGAGTAACGCAACAAAACATAACCTTGTAGTAACACAACATAATTTTGAAGTAACAAAACATCATTTTGGAGTAACTCAACATAATTTTGGAGTAACGCAACAAAACATAACCTTGTAGTAACACAACATAATTTTGAAGTAACAAAACATATTCTTGGAGTGACGCAACATATTTTAGGAGTAAAACAACATAATTTTGTAGTAACACGACATACTTTTGGAGTAACATAACATAATTTTGGAGTAACATAACATAATTTTCGAGTAACTCAACATAATTTTGGAGTAACGCAACAAAACATATTCTTGGAATGACGCAACATAGTTTAGGAGTAACACAACATAATTATGGAGTAACGCATCATAATTTTTAATTAGAAAACGATAGATTTGGAGCAACAAAGCATAATTTTGTAGAATCCAACATAATTTTTTAGTATCAAAACATAATTTTGCAGTAACAAATATATTTTTGGAGTAAGGCAACATAGTTTAGGAGTAACATAACATAATTTTGTAGTAACAAAACATAATTTTGGAGTAACACAAAAAAATTTTGATGCAGAAAAGTCTACTTTTGGAGTAACAAAATATAATTTTGTATTAACACATCATAATTTTGGAGTAACAAAACATCATTTTGGAGTTACACAACATAATTTTGGAGAAACGCAACAAAACATAACCTTGTAGTAACACAACATAATTTTAGAGTAATGCAACAAAGCTTAGGAGTGCAAAAATATAATTTTGTAGTAAAACAAATATTTTGTAGTAACACTACATAATTTTGAAATAGAAAAACATAATTTTGCAGTATCACAACATAATTTGAAATAACAAAACATATTCTTGGAGTGACGCAACATAATTTTGGAGTAACGCAACATAATTTTTAATTAGAAAACGATAGATTTGGAGCAACAAAGCATAATTTTGTAGAATCCAACATAATTTTTTAGTATCAAAACATAATTTTGAAGTAACAAATATATTTTTGGAGTAAGGCAACATAGTTTAGGAGTAACATAACATAATTTTGTAGTAACAAAACATACTTTTGGAGTAACACAAAATAATTTTGATACAGAAAAGTCTAGTTTTGGAGTAACAAAATATAATTTTGTAGTAACCCAACATAATTTGTAAGGAACAAAAAATAATTTTGGAGTAACGCAATATAGTTTAAGAGTAACAAAATATAATTTTAAAATACCAAAATATAACTTTGGAGTAACAAAGCATAATTTTGAAATATTTCAAAATCATTTTTAAATATAATTCCAAAAAAAATGGTTTTTTCTATTTTTCTTTTAATATTTAGTAAAATTTTACATTTAATACATAACATGGGAAATTGTTCGACGAATCAGGAAAAATATTATTTTGACCTGATTTCGAGACTAATCTTATGGAGGAAAAATTGATTTAAATCTCGACGCGCCACCTTGAGACACAGTAGTAGTTGAGCCTATCCAACCGGACATCCGTTACGAAACTTAATCGATGTTTCACGTTCCAAAACGTTGCTCCACAATATGACATCTACACTATATACATATATACAGCATCGCTGAAATTAAATTCTCTCACGAGGAAAAATATTAAAGATCAAATCTTATATATCATATTCAAATATAAAAATAAAACATTCACTATAGACATTATAATCATTTAAAATCATTTTCTGTAATTTAATCTTTAAAAGAAAATAAAAAATTTTCCTTTAAATAAAGAAATCTTTTTCTTGAATATAAAATTCAGGTCAATATGCAAGTCTGGGTCCAGTGGCAGCTTATAAACGATTTTGTCCATTACTTCGTGGTGTTGGATATGGAATGGTCCTAGTAAGTTCAATAGTGATGCTGTATTATAATCTAATCATCGCTTGGACCCTCTACTACATGTTCGCCTCAGTAGCCGGTAAGAAAAAAAAAAAAAAATTTTGTTTCCAAAAATTGATATAGAAAAAAAAAATTAAAATACTTGTTACAAAATTTTCCCTCTTTAAAACCTATTACTTTTGAGCAGATAAGTGGATAAGATATCTAAAGGAAGACACACTTCTATTGTCTGCAATATTCATTATTTCCACTCAAGGGTGCACCCCTTTTGTCTAGGAAGATTAAAAAGCTTTTAAGAGAGAAAAAAGTCCCTGACGACGATCCTTCTTGCTACTCGATTTTATAATTCCCTCGCTTTTAGAGTTTGCATTTTTTTTTTTTGCCAAACTAACTTCTTGTTTCGATATGCAATGACTGAAAATTTTTTTATTTTAAATTAAAAAATTTTTTTTTAAAATAAAATTTATAAAATGTATTACAAAACGTTTCGTTTCGATTTTTTCTATTTTACAGGAGGGGGTGAATTGCCTTGGAGCAAATGTGACCCAGCATGGAGTACAGACGATTGTGTTACTCCAGAAGTATCTGACGCATGCCTAGAACAGAATTTGTCATATTATAAGAACGAATGCCTAAATTCGACTCAACTCGCTGTTTTGAATCTCACAATTGAGAATATCACCGCCTTCATTAGAAAACCACCTGCCGAGGAATATTTCAAGTAATAATTGCTAAATTAAAATCAAAATCCAAATTTTTGATTTAAATTGGAAAAAGATGAATTAAAAATTTTCTTTTTTTTTGTACAGTAATCACGTCCTGGGCATGAGCCGAGGAATTGAGGAAACGGGATCCGTGAATCCAAAAATGGCAGCCTGCCTTTTATTAGCCTGGATTATCGTCTTTCTCTGCCTTAGTAAAGGAGTTCAGAGTTCAGGAAAAGTTGTATACTTCACTGCTCTCTTTCCCTACGTAGTGCTGGTGAGTTCAAATTTTTTTTCTTTTTTTGCAATTTATTAAGATTTGATGACAAAATCAGCTAACAACTGTAGGAAGATTATTACATTTATTTTTGAAAAATAGGTTCTAGCCTAATTAGATTCCTCAAACAACAACAGGTACAAGGTGCATCCGAATTTTTTTTAGAAAAGTTGTGGTCCTTAATTTTGACACACAATTAAATTTATTTTCCCAATCCTTGGTTGATAGGTTTATTAAGGTAATTGTCACAGTTTCCAGCAAGCTTAAGATTGGTAAGACCCAAAATTTAGCCACGAGACCCAAAAACTCGTCACTTAATTGTATTAACAGAGTGGTCAGATTTTGGGTCTTACCAATCTTAAACTGGCCAGAAATTGGAACATTTAACTTAATCTCAACAAACATTTTCGTGGGGTACCAAAACTTAATTGGTAAGACCCAAAAATTGGCCACTTTATTGTATTAACACGGTGGTCAGCTTTTGGGTCATACCAATCTTCAGGTAGAGAGAAACATTTACCTTAATCTCAACAAAAATTTTTGCGGTTCCGAGAATTTTCCATTGAAAGATTGGTAAGACCAAAAAATTGACCACTTAATTGTATTAACACGGTGGTAAGCTTTTGGGTCGTATCAATCTTAAAGTGACTTAAAACTGGGATATTTATTTTAATCTCAACAAAAATTTTTGCGGTATCGAGAATTTTTCATTGAAAGATTGGTAAGACCCAAAAATTGACCACTTAATTGTATTAACACGGTGGTAAGCTTTTGGGTCTTACCAATCTTAAAGCACCCAGAAACATTTACCATAATCTCAACATCTGGGGTACCGAAAATTTTCCATCGAAAGATTGGTAAGACTCCAAAAATTGACCGCTTAATTGTATTAACACAATGGTCAGATTTTGGGTCTTACCAATCTTAAGGTAACCAGAAACTGGAACATTTAATTTAATTTCAACAAACCTTTTCTTGCGGTACTGAAAAGTTTTGCATTGAAAGATTGGTACGACCCAAGAACTAAAGTCACTGCATTGTATTATCATAGTGGTCATATTTTGTGACGTACCAATCTTAAACCGGCCAGAAATTGGGATATTTAGCTTAATCTCAACAAACATTTCCTTGGGGTACCAAAACTTAATTGGTAAGACCCAAAAATTGGCCACTCTATTGTATTAACACGGTAGTCAGCTTTTGGGTCATACCAATTTTCAGATAGAGAGAAACATTTACCTTAATCTTAACAAACCTTTTCTGGGATACCGAGAATTTTCCATTAAAAGATTGGTAAGACCCAAAAAATGACCGCTTAATTGTATTAACACAGTGGTCAGATTTTGGGTCTTACCAATCTTAAGGTAACCAGAAACTGGGACATTTGCCTTAATCTCAACAAACCTTTTTTTTGGGGTACCGAAAATTCCCCATTGAAAGATTGATACGACCCAAAAACCTACCATTTAATTGTATTAACACGGTGATCAGATTTTGGGTCGTACCAATCTTAAAGTGACTGGAAATTGGGACATTTACCTTAATCTCAACAAATCTTTTCTTGGGGTACCGTGAATTTTCCATTGAATCATTGGTAAGACCCAAATCGTGTTGTAACCCTTTTTCTCTATTCGGAGATCAAAGGGTAGAGTTAGAAAACCAAGTCTCCGATTGATATTTAGGATTTAGGTTTTTAGAAAGCGAACCCAGAAAAAGTAGAAGTTAATGTTAAGCTCTGCATCTTGAACAGAAGACCAATGAATATTATCGTTTTGTAAACCTTTTGCTCTATTCGGAGATCAAAGCCTAGAGTTAGAACCCCAAGTCTCCGAATGATATTTAAGCTAGGGATTAAGGTTCTTAGAAGGCTAACCAAGAAACAGGAACAATTTATTGCTAATACAGTCTTGATGACTCCATTATGGTCGAACTAGAACTCCACCGAAAGTGAATTACAAGAAAGAATTATCTTCCACTTACAAAATATATGTACATTACAACTGCATCGAAAATAAATCAAAATCACCGTAATCAAAATTATATCAATAAAAATTTTCAGATCGCGTTATTCATTCGGGGAATATTGCTTCCTGGCGCTGACGAAGGTATTCTATTCTACTTGACGCCCGATTGGAAGCGATTATCATCGGCAAAAGTATGGGGCGACGCAGCGGTACAAATTTTCTTTGCCTTGAGTCCAGCATGGGGAGGTCTCATCACTTTGAGTTCGTACAATAAATTCTCCAACAATTGCTACAAGGACTCGTTAATTGTTGCCGTGAGTAACATTGGAACATCATTTTTTGCCGGATTAGTCATCTTTTCAGTGATTGGCTTTCTGGCACACGAGCTTAATGTGCCTGTTGCATCAGTCGTTGATCAGGGAGCCGGATTGGCCTTTATTGTATATCCAGAGGTAATTTGGACTTTTGCAAAAAAAAATAGGAGCAATACCAGGTAGTGGTTGAAAATTTTTTTTTTGTTTAAAGGTTGTTGCGAGGTTACCAGTTGCACCTGTTTGGTCATTATTATTTTTCGTAATGCTCCTAACATTGGGACTTGATTCACAATTTGCACTAATGGAAACAGTGACAACGGCAATACTCGATGGTATTCCATCATTGAGGAATTATAAATTTTGGGTTGTTTTGGGAGCAGCGGTACTTGGCTACGCTGGTGGTGTTATCTTCACAACTAATGTAATGTATTTTATTTAGATAACTTCTTTAGGTAGTTCTTAATTCATGAATTTTGTTTAATAGGCTGGAATGTATTGGCTACAACTAATGGATAAATATGCGGCAAATTGGTCAGTTCTTTTGATAGCAATCACCGAATGTATTTTGGTTGCTTGGATTTATGGTGCCGATCGTTTTTTGGACGATGTTCAACAAATGATTGGAGTACGTTGTAGACTTTGGCGATTCTTTTGGACGTGGATGTGGAAAGTTGTGACACCAGCGGCACTTTTCTTTATTCTCTTTTTCAATTGGGTGGAATACGAACCACTTAAGTATGGTACCTATGTGTATCCAAGATGGGCTGATGCTGTTGGATGGGTAATTGGAATGTTACCAGTTCTCGTCATCGTTGGAATGGCTTTAGTAAGTAATGGCCTCTAATCTTTTGATAATTGTATAAACAATTTTTGGTTATACTATTCTTTTTTTGCGGTTTAGATCCAGTTGAGGAAACGACGTCGAAAACCAACCTACGACGATGACGATGATTACGATGATGATTATTTGAATGCCGGAGGTTCTCAAAGAGTTGGACGAAAGGGAATTGATGAAAGTGTTTGGTGCCGAGCTCGAATGCTTCTTCAGCCAACATTGGACTGGGGTCCAGCATCTCGGAATCATTTGACACCTTCAAGAACACTCACTTATTCTCAATCTCCAGGTAATTTCTTTATTTCCTGCGATTTTGGGTCTTCTTCAAAGGCTTCAAAAAGCTGGGCATGTTTCGGTGATTTCGACTCCTATTCCCATTCTAAATCTTCCTGGAAAAGTACCGCACCAACTTGACCTCACCAATTTTGCTCAAATATCAAAAAATACCATTTCTTATGCTATTACCAATTTACTCCTAGAGTACAAAAACCCACTAAGCAATATTTTTTGGAGAAATTTATATTTTTTTCCAAAACTACTGCGTAGTGGGTTTTTATACTCCAAGACTAAATTAGTAATAGCATGAGAAATGGTATTTTTTTATGTTTAATCAAAATTCGTGAGGTCAAGTTGGTGCGCTCATTTCTGTGATTAAAGATAATTCTCTGAATTTAAATAGTTGGAGGACCATTGGGATACGAATCGGTACGCGATACAATTGTTTTGGTGAATGGACAACCAATGACAGTACAACCGGCAAGTTCAATGGGATCATCACAAAAATTACCGGGCCCATCGATTTTAAAGAATTCGAGCAAAACGGATCTCATCACATCCCAACAGGTTTGACCCGATAATTCTTTTTATTCCGATGAATCCTCCTGAAAATAAGCCAATCGAGAATTTATCATCGGGAAACGTGACGACGACGACGAAACATTAGATACGAAATAAAAAATCAGCAACTTTGGATGACGAAATCCAATTATGGAAAATCATCAATAAATGAGATAAAAAAAAAAAAAAAGTTCGCTTCTCTCGAAAATACCAAAGTTGCTTGAAAAAAAAATAAGTTTCTCACGTGAGAAATTTCAGCTAAATAATATAACGTTTTCCTATATAATAAATATATATATTACAAAATTAAAGCCTAAGAATGAGGATCGTGACTTTTATCCTCTTTCGCCAAAAAAAAGTGAACTAGTTCGTTTTATCTTTCTCGCAAAAAAAACGGAAAGAAAAGGCCAATGATTGTTAATGTTGAAAAAGATTATGTTTTCTATAAATCGCAAACCCGAGACTGTGTCCATCTTTTTTGAACGTTAAAAGTTCATTATTATTTTCTTTTTGACAAATATCCTTGATGAAAAAGAAATTATTCTTGAAAGTTTATCATTAAGATAATTATTTTTCATGAGGGGGTGAAATTTGTTAGGAAAAAGAAATAAGGTTTTGTGTATAAATAAGCGTGTCGTGTGTGATTTAATAAAATTTCCTTTCCCTTAAAAAAAAAAATTGTGTGAATGATTCGGTGAAAGAATTTAGTTAAATATTAAAAGAGAAAAAAAATATATATATATTAGCGATGAAAAATAAATTTTTGCCATTTGTCCAGATGTCGCTCCATAGATAAATTAATAATAATTCAAAAAAAAGTAGATTTTTATTGATGTAAGTAAGGAAAACGCGATTTAAAGAAGCTGAGTATATTTTAGACATGTGTACTTTTAGGCTTTATAGTTCAAACTGTATAGAATACTTTTGAAAAATCGAGGTTTCACGTAATTCGTCTTTTACTTCTTCTTACTATTGAATTTTTGTTATTTCGATTTTTTTAGTTTGAAATTTTTTTGACGAAATTTCTCCTGTTTTATGGGCGCCGGAGTTGAGAATCACTGCTTGCGCTGTGAAGTGGGGATAGCGTGGAGGCGGAGACAGTGCGCGCGCGCACATTCCTCGACTATCCCCCACCACTCGTGCCGAGTGTTCTCAACGTAAGCGAAAAATTTAAAGTTTCTTTTTATTTCAATTAATTAAATTTAGAAATTTTTATTTTACAAAATTTAATTAATTAAAATGCAAATAAATCGGAAAAAAAGAGTATTGGCGTTTTACGTGAAATTATAAGTCGACATTTCCACTGTTTTACACTACTGATTTTTTTTAAACTTAAATTTATTCAGTGGATTTAAAAATTAAAAACGAATTTTTTATTTAAAAAATGTATTTTGATACTCTTGTTAATTATCTTTTAGCAATGTCAGTGGAAATGTCTTCTGAAAAAAAAATGAGAAAGTTTTTGGTCTCTCGATGGAAATGGTGACAAAAAAAAATATATTTGTTAATGAAAACATTTTTTACAACAAATAATATGAGACCTGGATTTTTCTCATCAAAAATTTTTTTATTGCCTTAGACAATAAAATTTAACACTTTTAAATAAATCATCATACTATCGTTGTTCGAGAATAAATAACATTTAATATTGTTGCTTTTCTCTATAACATATTGTTGTTTTTAAAATCGTTGTTCGGAATAAGGGGAAAATTGTTGTTTCAGAAAAGACGTTACATTTGAATATTAAATTGACAAATAAATTTAATTCTGAAATTTTATAATTCAATTAATTATTTAATTAATTTTGAAATTAATTATAAATTAATTAAATTGTTTAGTAAAGTTTATTAAATTAAAATTAGTAAAAATGAATTAATTCTTGTGTTTCGTAGGCGACGGAGTTGAGAACACTCGATATGTTCGGTAGTGGGGGTAAAGCGAGAAGTAGAGGAGGCGCGCGTCAACTAATCAGTGCGCGCTATCCCCACTCCTCGCACAGTGTTCTCAACCTGGCTCCTTAAAAATGCCAAACAAAAACTTCTCCAGGCACTCTTTCAATATTATTACTTGAAAAAAAAATTACTACTAATCAAATAATTTCCATTTAATGAATTAAATGATACAACAATTTAAAAAAAAAATCGAAAAAATGAATGATTTTTTCCATCGAAATGACAGAAAAAAAATGGAAATAATAATCAATCGGGCTGTGTTTTTTGGCTATATATATTGAAGAGTTCGCTAATATCGTGAAAAAAAATAAATCAAACGTTTACGCGCACGAAAAGAGTCAATAAATAACAGTAAAAAAAAAAAGTAAAGGATTGCAATTCTTTATTTTTTATGTGATCTCGTTTGTAAAGTGTTACTAGTTGTAAAAGCAAAATGAAACTAATGTTACACGATACATAAAATGAAAAAAAATGACTATAAAAATAAGTTGAATTAAATGTGAAATAAAATAAAATTAGCGTCTAAAAATTTAGGTTAAAGTAAACAAAAAAAAAATCGGAGATGTTATTTAATAAAACAAAGCCCGCTGCGTTCAAGTGTACTCATATCTATGAGTTTTTAGGATTACCTCATAAATTGTGTGCGTATGTGTGTGTTGGCGTAAAAATTTGTATGTGTGTGTGAGAAAGAGAAAAAATTGCGTGAACAAAAAACAAAAAAATGTTTAATGAATCTGAGACAAAAGGGAGCGTTCTAATTATAGAGGGGACAAGCGATAAAAAAAAATTAATGCGAGTCCACTTTTCGTTCCCTTATAAACAGAAACCTTCAAATCGACTGATATTTTTTCTAGTTATATATTTAGGGCAAAAAAAAATATGGAAAATCGATATCAGGAAAATTGTTATATCGAAAGTTCCTATTTGTTACTTCTTGTCCAATTTCTAGGGAATTTATTGTTCTAGTTATTTTTTTTATGGTGACTTTTTGTTATGACTAGTGATTTTCTTGTAACTAGTAACTTTTTTTTTTATTGAAGCTAGTAACTTTGTTATAACTAATTTTGTTATAGAATTTTAAAACAACTAGGGAATTTGTTATTTAATGAATTTTTTTTATATGTTAAGTCTGGGGGATTTTTAAATACAGAAATTTATTTTTATTTTATTTATTATTCTCTATTAAAATGGAGATTATAGTTATTTTATTCTAGTGATTTTTTTTAGTTATTTTATGATTCTGGGAATTTTTTTTTTTTAAATTAAGAACTAGTAATTTTTTTTTTTTACCAAACCAGTGATTTCGTAACAAAACAATAAATTTTTATGAAAATAAAAAAAAAATAATAAAGGGAAATTCTCGAGAGTTGAGAGCGTTTGCGATCCTGCCAAAAAAGAAAAGTGATACATAAAATATTTTTCAAACAACGTCAATAGCCAGTGAAAGTATTATCAATTGCAAACCAAAAAAAAAAAAAAAAACCGTCGTTAATGTATAAATTATTTTAGGAAAAATGTTGCTGTGACAGAAAAAAATAAATATTTCTCAATATCTCGAGAATTTTTTTTTTTTTTTTTTTTTTTCATCGCAGGGAGTGAATTATATTAAAATCACTTTTTTTTATCTAAAAAAAAAAAAAAAATACTCTCTTCGCGAGAGATAGAATATAATATTGAATTTTTCGAAGTTTTTTGACGATGGATCTACCTCATAGAAGGAATAAGAAAGAGAGAGAAAAAATATGAAAAATTGTTTTTAATGCACAGCACTCCTTGTTTTTAATTTATTAAAAAAAACTCTCGCTTTAGAAAAAAAAAAATAATTTCACCTCCTTGTCACTTGAATTTTTATTTTTAATGCACTTTTTTTTTTTTTTTTTTTTTTTAAATCTAATCCCTTCTATTTAGTTTAAAAAAAAATTTGGAATTTGAAAAATAAAATTTGAAAATAAGCGAGAATAGAAATAAATAGAATATTTAATTCGTAATTCATAATTTGCTCAAAGGGACGATAAAGTGGCCTGGGAAAATATTTTGGCGCGATTCGTATTAATATATCTATATATTATTAAAAAATATAAAATTTTAGTCTATATACATATATATATGTATAAATAGAATTAATAAAAAGGAATTATTCGTATATATGAAAAAAATATGAATTTAAATGTAAAAAAAAAAATTATCGTTGTTTAAGAAGCTCGAACAGAAACGATTTGGTATAAAAAAAAAATATTGTAAATTATTTTTTATTTTTGACGAGGAATTATTTAAATAATTTTTTTTTTCAAAATACACTGTTTTTTTTGAGTTTTCGATTGTATAAAAATTTAAGTAAAAAAGATAAGAACAAAAATAAAGAGTGAATTAGCCTATAATTAGAAATCAACGGCGACAAAGAACTATAGTCAAAAAAAGCAAATATATCAATTATATAGGATATTAATAAGGGTTTGTTCCTTTTTGCAAAATCAACATCTAATTATTGTTTAATAATTTTTAATTCTATATTTATGCTGGGATAAAATTACTCAATTTCCACTGCATTTAAGATTTTATTTTTTTGAACTTTTCTTTTTTTTTTTTTTAATGTTCTCCAAAAATAGTATTTACAAAAAGAATATGGAGTAATTTTTCTAAATTTGTTATTTAAAAATAGTATTTATAAAAAAAATTTTTTTGAAATTATTTTGTTATAAATTTATTTTCTGGTATTTGCAAAAAAAAGGTATTTTTTTTCTTAACAAACTTTTTATCATAAAATAAATTTATTTACAAATAACAGGAAATTTTTTTTTTCCCAGCTTATGTATATGAAAAATTTTTAAAGATTGTTATCAAAATTTATTGAAGAATAACAAATGGCACAATGGAAACAAAAATTAGGGCATCGATTGTTCGCCATGTAGAAAAAATAGTTTTTTTTTTTTTTATTGTTGTATCTTCGACGAAATAGTATCATATACAGGACTATAGCCTCTTTGTTTATTAAGTACAAGGGCACCGGAAATGAATGCGTGAGAATCGGGAAATAGTTCTAATTAGCCTTTTTTTGCATATATAATTTGAAAAAATTTTTCGAAAATTTAGATTTTTGCAAAAAAAAAATTTCTCCAAAAAACGTTATTTTAAGGTTTTTTTAAAATTTATTTTAATTCACAAAATTAGTTTCCAAAACTTCTTTTATTTTAAAAATTACCAAAATTATTTTCGGCTTTTAAAAATTTTCCAAAAATTTTTTTGGTTTAACATTTTTTTTTTTTCATCAAATTCAAAAAATTAAAACAAATAAACATATCTAAATTATTTGTCAAATTTTTTGTAAATAATAATTTGAGTAATAAATTGAGTACAATTATAATTTTTTTTAATAAAAATAAAAATTACAATAATAATAATAATAATAATAATTTTTTGTACTATTTCACGGCTCGTTTCCTTTTCCGGCGCCCTTGGATTAGACAACAGTAAATTGACAGTAGAAAAATTTAATTCAAGAATATAATGCTGCGTACCGGAAAACACTATATATACGTACAAATACGTATATATATATATAGCAATATATATATATATAGAAATGCAGGGAATTAAATATCGAGAAATACAGACACCGTTTAATACGATTAAATGTATTTTTCAATGAGTGAAATATTTTTCTCCTGACGAAGTGTTGGTAGGAATAGGGTGACTGATGATGAAGATGATGATGATAATATGATGATGGTAGTTAGCGTCAATAAATTTTATGGCATGTGAGCTGGCACTCATTTAGTCGAGCATTTAATGACAATTTACAATTTTCACAAGAATCTGTCTGAATTGTTATACTCCCAGGAAATTTCTATGTAACTTAAAAAAAATTTACATTCATTTTCCAATGATGCTTTGAATCACACAATTTTTCCAATTTTTTTTTTTATTTCCAATTTATTTATTCTTAATTTTTTTATAAATTTTTCATTTACAATTTTATTATTTTTATATATATTTTTATAAAAATATATTATTTAATTATTCATTTAATTAACTATTTGTTAAATTATAATTGTTTATTTATTTGTTATTATTTGTTATTTATTATTTATTTAATTCATCTTAATTAATTAAATTATTTTATTATTAAAAATTTGTTTTCTTTTTATTAAAATATATTATTTTTATTCTTAAAATTTTTTTTTCTTTTTAATAAAAAATATTATTTTTATTATTATATCTAATATTGGATCAGTGTGTTAAGTTTTTTTTTTCTTTCTCACCTAATAAAGAGATCTACCTCGATATTGCGAATGAAGAATAATGGTTGTGTAAATTATATAGAAATAGTAAAAAAATATGAGAAAAAAAAAAAAAAAAAAAAAAAAAAAAAAAAATGGGAACGAGTCGTAGAAAAAAAGATCGGCTGAGTGTCCTAGATAGATAGAATTAAGAGCAACCGTAGAGCAAACAGTACAAAGTAATGTGTCCTAGAATTAAAAAGCAAATGGAGAGGTTTTATACCTTTTTTTTTCTTAATTTGAAAAAAAAGGTATTACCAATTTCCAAGCTAAACGTATTTTCGTAAAAATTATATTAACTATAAATATATATATATACATATAAAAAAGTCAAAGGTAAGAGAATTAAGTAAAAAAAAATTTGTTTATCAAAATAGAAAAATTGTAAAAATTTCTTTTAATCAAAAAAAAAAATTTCGAATGTATACGAAAAAAAATGAACAGAAGTTACTTACATGTATATATATATATATATTGAAAGTTTCAAGAAACCGGAGAAATTTCTTTTGTTTTTTGAAAGACAAAAAAAAAAATTTTTTGATGCTTCAAAAAAAAACTCTAAAATATTTGTTACGAGTTACATATCTGTTTGTATTATATACGTAGATTTAAAAAGAACAAAAAAAAAAAAATTAAAATTAAATTCGATGGATTTATTATTAAATAGGGAGGAAAAATAATATTTTCTTCATTCTTAGTTTCATTTTTCAAAAAAACGTCGAGAATTTGAGAAATTAGAAAATTAAGCAAAAAACAAAAGTTCATTAGAGTATCAAACGCGATTCTCAGAGGTTCGTCGTAACGTGCCTGACACTGAGCAATAGGAAAAACGACTCGAATTTGGCAAAGAAAAGTCAATAAAAAAAAAAAAAATCAACAGTAATTAATTAATTATTAAAACTAATTTTTAATGTGCAAATTTTACTTTACAACATATATAGTAAATATTACCAAACTGTTGAGTAACTTTATCCCGATAGCACAGTAAATTTTACCAGTCAAGTAATTATTACACGATAGCATTGTAAATTTTACTAAACTGTTGAGTAACTTTTACAAAATAGAATAGTAAATTTTACCGAACTATCGAGTAATTTTTTTAACACCATAGCATAGTAAATTTTATCGAACTGTTGAATAATTTTTCACGATCGAATAGTAAATTTTACTGAACTGTCGAGTAATTATTACACGATAGACTAGTAAATTTTACCAAACTGTCATGTAACTTTTTATATGTCAGTCTGGTAAAGTTTACCATATACCAATCTCATTTAATTACTTTTTTTTAATAATCATAAAATATTAATTAATTAATTACTATGATTATAATTAGTAATTAAATGAAAAAGTTTCGCAAGTGAAGCAAAATACAAAAAAAAAAATGGTCCTAAGCTCAAAAGTGTCACACAATTGGAACGATATACAATCAAGTCACAATAATATGAAAGCCAAAGGAAGTTGCAAAAAAAAATAAATAAATAAAATAAAAATCGAAAATAAAAAAAAAAAACTATTTTCAAATCAAGTCGATAGTTGTATAAGAGAAAAAAAAATAAATAAAAGCGGGACTTTCCGAATGAGCGAGAGAGAGAGATTATATAACTTTTTTATATATGCGGGGTGTACAAAATAGTGTCAAATGATAATAATTTCAAATATTTTTCTTTAAAGAGAAAAATAATAATAATAATAATAATCGTTTCTTACTAATATATTAATATCATATATATAAATAAATAAATAAATATATAAATTTTTGGTCGAAACATAATAAAAAGATCAAAATGAAAAAGTTTTTTGAAAAAAAAATTTGATTAAAACATTTTTTTATGACACTTTCTGTATGCACCGTGTGTACAAATAAATAATATTATATTAAAGAGAGGAGAATATTATTATATAAATAAATAGATTAATATACATTATACATACGTACATGCATATATATAAAAATTTATATACAATAATATAATATGTAAAAAAAAGAAAATATATATATAAAAAAATTAATATTGAAATTCTATATTTCAAATTAAAAGTAATGTTATATGCAAAAATATGCATTAAAATAAATATTATTGATATAATAGTTAACTTATACTATATTGTAAAATATATTTATATTATATATGATATATATTATTAAATATATATTATATATAATTATTTTGTTTTTTGTTAAAAAAATTGATTATATAATTTTCTTATATATACACATATATATATGTGTATATTATAATATATTGTTATTAAATTATTTAATATTAATAAATTATATATATATATATATATATATATATATATATGAAAAATATAAATTGTAGTTTATATTCGATATACATATTATGTATATATGCATGTATGTATGTATGTATATTGTATAAATATACACATATATATACATACATGCACGTTGTTACATAATGTTAAAAAAAAAACCTGCGAAGTTGTGGTAAATAAAAAAAAAATACAGACAACTTTGAAAACGAGCGTCTATACATAAGATGTGGTATTTAATAAGGTATTGCAAAAGTTGTATTATTATACATGTACATTGTATTACGAAAGATATATTATATATATATATATATATACATTATATTCTGTGTATATGTATACGATGCGTGTGTAATTATAATAAAGTGTTGATATATGGTTGACGATATGTTGCACATTTTTCTTAAAAACAAAAAAAAAAATTCAAAAAAAAAATTTAAAAAATTTTTTAAAAATCCATTGTATCAAAAAAATTGTAGAACATATTTATAGATAAAATATTATCTAGATAATATTACTTTAAACTGAGTTTAAAGTAAATTTATAAACTAAACTCGGTTTTAAGTATCCATTGGTTATAAAAAAAAACAAGAAATGCATGAGCTTACGAATACACATTTGTAGAGCTTGTACAGTTTATAAAAATCAGACTTTTGAGTTTTATTTATATTTTTTTCTGCTTCACGTAGTACATTTAAAATTATATTTATTATTAATATTATGCTCTTTTTATGTTTTAGAAAAAAATTCGGTAAGTTCAACTTTTAAATGGTAAAAATTTTACTCATTATGGTAAAATTTACTATACCGTCGTTTAAAGGCCTTACAACTGAATAATTAATTTACGTTTATGGTAAATTTTACCATACTGTCGTATAGTAAAATTTATTACAGTTTTGTATAGTAAAATTTACTATACTGTACAATTTATTATAGTTTTTCATAGTAAAATTTACCATACTGTCGTATAGTAAAATTTATTACAGTTTTTCATAGTAAAATTTACCATACTGTCGTATAGTAAAATTTATTATAGTTTTTCATAGTAAAATTTACCATACTGTCGTATAGTAAAATTTATTATAGTTTTTCATAGTAAAATTTACCATACTGTCGTATAGTAAAATTTATTATGGTTTTTCATAGTAAAATTTACCATACTGTCGTATAGTAAAATTTATTATAGTTTTTCATAGTAAATTTTACCGTACTGTCGTATAATTCAATTTATTATAGTTTTGTATAGTAAAATTTGCTATACTGTGAACGTTAAATTTGTGGTAAAGTTTACTATACCGTCGTGTAAAGACTTCATAACTAAATATAGTAACAATTACATTACGTTTGTGGTAAATTTTACTATACTGTTCTAAAATAAAATTTATTTCAGTTTTGTATAGTAAAATTTATCATACTGTCGTATAGTACAATAATTCATTACAGTTGTGGATAGTAAAATTTACTATACCGTCATAAAGATGCCGTAGAAATAAAAAAATTTCAAATTTACGCAATAAAATATAAATATAATTATTATTATTGTCTGTCCCCGGTTTCAAAAATAAAAAAAAATCCTTTTATTAAAATCTAAAATTGTTATTTAAAAAAAAAAATTAACGTTTATAATTCTGCAAATTTTTTTTTTTTTTATAAAAATATATTTATATATTTAAAAATAGACGCAGTGAAATAATTCTCGCTAATGTAACGGCGTCACTTGATTTAAATAAATAAAAAAAAAAAACAAAATAAATAATCTCTTCTTTGGTCAATCGAGTCGTATATATCAATCTATGGACGGAGTTTTTCGTTGTAACAATAATTATTCCTTTTTTTTTCATGAAAAAGCAAACTAAATTCAAATTATATTAAATAAAAATTGTTTTCCTCGAATAATCAATTATAAAACTTAAAATCTTGTTTCACGTATTATTTGAACAAAAAACAAAAAAAATTTCCTTGTTTTGTTGAAATCACATAATTCTTGATACGTGCCACATTCATAAAACAAAGTACGAAAATAGATATACATACGTGTCTCGATTTCAAGTGAAGGCGTTACACTGTGTTTGAGACTTTGAAAATCTGATGAAAATTTTCCGATAGCTATGTTTCTATTTGTTTCATTTTTTTATAGTAATTAAAAAAGAAGATTTCAAAAAAAAACATAATTCTCAAAAAATTTTCACCATAACAAAAATTGAAAAAAAAAAATTTTTTTTTCTTTGGACAAAATAGAATGTAACACTCATGATCTTTCATTTAAAAAAAAAAGACAACAAGGTCACGTACTTGGTTGTTGGGGTGTTTTAGTAAGAACAATTGTCCTTGAAATTGCTCCTAAAATTGGTTTAAACAATACCAATACCCCAGCAATAAATAATGAGGCAAAAACAAGTTTTTGTCCAACTTCATGATCACCAATATTTTGATGTTCCAACCAATGTGTATAGGCGCCGGCAATTAAACTTGCAATAAATAAAATTGTCATTACAATACCACCATAAGCATGTAGTACTTTAATTAAAACTGGTCTAACACGTGGATATAGCCATCTTGTATTATTTGCAATAATTCCAAATATTGCCACCAATGATGCAAGAACAATTGTCGTTAATCCCAAAATTGCATGAAACGAGACAAAATGTTCTTTATTTTTATTATTTTTATTGACAATCGCAATAATAAGACCACATAAAATTAAACATAATCCAATTGTCAACATTATCCAATGTATTGTTATTCGTTGAGCACGTGATAATTTATGGGCCAATAGAACTTCGCCTGATATGCTGAAGACTGCTTCAATTATCAAGAGTGCCTGAAAAAATTAAGAGAAATTTTTTTTTAATGAGACTAGAGAATTAAAATTAGAAAGAGATTTAGTAAGTAATGTAAAATTAATTTTATAGAGAAGTGCTTTTTTGTATTGGAGAATTATTAACAAGATTGATTTTGGTTTGTTTCCTTTATATTCCAATGGGTAAGGGAGAAAGTAAAGTGTTCAGGAGAACCCGCATCAGCTGGTGGGATTGAAGATTTGGTACGGCACCGATTTTAATATTCAAATTATTTACAACAGTTAAGGGAATCTGCTAACAATAGATTTGGAAAAGTTCCACTCTAGATGACATTAGGATAGATCTGACAGTCGGCGAAACCATAGTAATTTAATTAGAAGAAGAAGAAGATTTCGTGTTGGACACAAGAGAAACGAAGCAGCATCATCTAAAATAAAACCCTAAGATGATGAAATTACCCTAAGTTGACCATAGCTACAGATCAAGAGGACAAGTTTTATCTGACAGATTTTTATGTACAGGTATACCCACACAGACCCCATAGTCACGGAGACGAAATACGCTTGGCAAATGTCGATGAACCTGATGGTCTAGTCATCTGCGGATTTCCACAAGGTTGGTAAGGACCCTCTGCGAAGATCCGGACTTTTCTAATCCCTAACGGCTTTGCAGGCAGCTTCCTAAGTTGCAACTGCAACTCACACATCGAAACCTAGAGACTGGAACAATTCCGATGGCGCTAAAGCACCCAAAGAATTGCCCTCCACCATCAGCTTTAAGCCCTAAGCGATGTAGACTATTAACCACTGCCATCAGTCCGACCCAATGATCCAGATGGAAATGAACCTTGATCCCCCACCGGCTATACTCTGGTAGAAGTCCAGACCTGAAGGACAGAGAAGAAGATGTCCAGCAAAGTATCAACAATGATGACCGCAATCACCAAAAGAAAAGTTGTATGCGAGGTTCTGAGCAAACTCCGTAAGGAAATTCATAGTCAGCCACAGACGAGCAGGAGCAGGAGGTATAAAAAGGGAGACTTTATAGTTACAATAGAAGATGTCACCAAATAGACAATTTTTACTAGGTCACCAAAACAGTTTTAAGCTTGGATAAAGTGTAATCGAAACTTAATCTAGAAATCCGCGATTTGGATGGTCTTACCCAGGAAGTAGAGGTTTAGTAGAAGCTAAAAGAAGTGTTCTAAAAGCCAGGAAGCAAAGTCCTAAGACCCAACCATCAAAGCGGTTTTTACAGCACAGGTCACCAAAACAGTAGTGGAAAATAAGTTGCGATCGTTGAGTCGATTTAGAATCGGCGACTGTGATTGTCTTACCCAGGAAGAAGAGGTTTAGTAGAAGCTAAAAGAAGTGTTCCAAAAGCCAAAAAGCTCGGTCCTAGGACCTAAACGTCAAAGCGATTTTAATGGGAGAGGTCACCAAAGTGGACCTAATCAGGCATAAGCTGCTGGATCGAAAAGTAACTCTCGAAATCCGCGACTTGGATTGTCTTACCCAGGAAGTAGAGGTTTAGTAGAAGCTAAAAGAAGTGTTCCAAAAGCCAGAAAGCTGGGTCCTAAGATCCAACCATCAAAGCGGTTTTTACAGCACAGGTCACCAAAACAGTAGTGGAAAATAAGTTGCGGTCGTTGAGTCAATTTAGAATCCGCGTGTCTTACTAGGAAGAAGAGGTTTAGTAGAAGCTAAAAGAAGTGTTCCAAAAGCCAGGAAGCTGGGTCCTAGGACCTAAACGTCAAAGCGATTTTAATGGGAGAGGTCACCAAAGTGGTTCTGGATCAGGCATAAGCTGGTGGATCGAAAAGTAACTCTCGAAATCTGCGACTTGAATTGTCTTACCCAGGAAGTAGAGATTTAGTAGATGCTAAAAAATGGATTCTACAAGCTAGGAAATCAGATCCTAGAACCTAAGCGTAATTTTTAAAGCTCATGTCACCAAAAGGGTTCTAATCAGAAGTAAGCTGCAATCGGTGGATCGAAAGTTAACTCTTAAAATCCGCGCCTTGGATTGTCTTACCCAGGAAGATGAAGGCCAGCAGATGCTAATTGATTAGAAGCTAGGAAGCTAGATCCTAGGATCTAAACGTAAACCCAGTTTTTATAGGAAAGGTCACCAAAGTGGTCTTAAGCATGGAAAATCTGCAATCGATGGAACATAAAGTATCTCTTCGAATCTGCGACTTGGATTGTTTTACCTAGAAAGTAGAGGTTTAATAGATGCTAAAAAATGTATTCAAAAAGCCAGCAAACAAGGTCCCAGGTTCTAAACGTAAACGTAATTATTACAGCACAGGTCACCAAAGTGGTTTTAATCAGGCATAAGCTGGTGGATCGAAAAGTAACTCTCGAAATCCGCGACTTGGATTGTCTTACCCAGCAAGAACATATTAATTCCGTGTGCTTCTAATGTACAAAAAATTGTATCATAAATTTGCAGATTGTAAGAACAAAAACAAAATTCAAACTAACGATTCGAAGTCTTCAGAGGTCAGTCCTTGAGGAAACAAAGACAATAAATTCAGGAACAATTCACATCTTATATTGGGTTGATGTCATTTTTAATTTTGATTTTTAATTCAATGCAAAAATATGATTTTCATTTCAATAAAATTGCTCACAATTACCACATTAGAATTGTTATATTACAGACAACTAATCAGTAATCTTCATTTTTTTTTCTTTGTAGGTGGTAATTATCAGAAAATCATTAAATCTGTTTGTTTTTTTTAAAGCAAACTAATTATTCCTCTAGGAATATATTTCCGCTATTTTTTGTTTTTAAGTATTTTAAAAAATATTAAAAAATAATTATACAAAAAATATGATTTTAAAAATAATTATTGCACTAAACAATTATGACTTGTAGAAAAATTAATATTTTTTCTAAATTATTTTTTAATTTTTGTTTAAACTAAAAAAAAGTATTTATTTTTAAAATTGCTTACCCCCAATGACATACAAATTGGATGCCATGTGAATAATTGTTCAGGTCGATGAAAAGCAATGACCAATATATAGATAATTGGTAGAATTAATAGTAAATGTGTTAGAAATGAAACGCCTAGGGTCAAAGAACCCGGTGGCGCTTTTCTACTTTGTTGTTCTGTCTTCATTTCAAAATCGTCCCTTGCACCCAAGTCTTGTGCTGGAAAAAAAATATATATATATATAGAAAAAGAAATTAAGAAAAAATATTTATAAATATAAAAATAAATATTTTTTTTATCACGCAAAGAATAAAATTTTTCTTTTCAATGAATGTGTCTTTTAATTCTTACGTAATCACAAAGATGAGAATGCTCACACAGTGATTCATCAAAATAATTATTGCGCGCCTGAATTCCTCATTTTCCTCCGAGAAATAGTGAGAGAGAGAGAGAGAAAAACTTTACTGATGATTTCTTTTGCACATTAATTTAAAAACGTAGGCGAGAAAAATATTTTTTTTTTTAATTTTACGTAGGTGCTCTTATATTAAAAATATTATATTTATTAAATATTTTGTACCGCAATTTTATAGATTTGATATATTTTTTTTTATGAATATTTAAATTTTTTTATCTGCTGGTAAACAAAATTTTCAAATAATAACAATATAATAATAATAATAATAATAATAATAATATAATTATGTAATTAATTAATTAATTAATTAAAAATAATAATATTATTATTATTCTATAATTAATTATTTTATTTTTAATTAATAATAAAAATTAGTAATATTTTTATGGTATTCATTTATATATAGTTTTTGTATTAACTATTTATTTTAATTGTTATTCATTTTTATCACTTTTGTTATTATTGTTGTTATTATTGTTAATAGCGATTTTAAACAGTGATATAGCATAATAAAAATAGAAATTAATTGATATTTAATGATTATTCTAATAAAATTATAAAAATAAAAAATTTTTTTTCTATTTTTACGTTCTCTAAATTAGAGAGGGGTGAATAAATTTAATTTATATCTTTTCAATCAGAATGATTTATAAAAAAATATCGAGGGCTAATTATTATTATTAAATGGAATTTTTTTTTTCGAAAATTGAAAAAAAATTTAGATAACAAAGTAAAAGTTTAATTTGGATGACAATAATTTTCTTAATTAATTAGTTAATTAAAAAAAATTATTTCATAAATAAATAAATTTATTTAAAAATATAAGAAAGTGATTAATAATAAATATGATAACAATAGTTAATATAAATAAATAAATTATGCAAAAAAATTAAAAACAAATTAATTTTTTTTTAAATGAATTAAAAATAATTGAAATATAACAAAAAATTATTTATAAATTAATAATTAAATTTACAAATATGAAAAAATAAATAAAAAATTATTTTAAAAAAAAGTAAATGAAAAATATAAATAAAAAAATTAATAAAAATAGTAAATAAAAAAAGAATGTACAAAGAAATAAATCTATAAATTTTAAAAAATAAATAAAAAAATAATTAAAAAATTAAATAAAAAAAAGTAAATAAAAAAAGAATGGAAAAAAAATTTATAAATATTAAAAAAAAAAAAAAAAATTATTTTAAAAAAAAGTAAATGAAAAATATAAATAAAAAAATTAATAAAAATAGTAAATAAAAAAAGTATATAAAAATAAATAAAAATTAAAACAATTAAAAATAAATAAATAAAAGAACGAAAAAAAAACAAATGGAAAACTGATTCTGTGGAGTTAAATAAATTGTTAATATTTACCTTATAGAATGGTAAATTCCGTTTTATTTATTTATTTTTTTTTTTAAATGAAAACAGAATAAATAAACAATAAGCACGCACTGAATCAAAAAAAAAAATTGTTGAATAAATAAGGGTTGAACTAAATAATGTGAATTTAAAAAAAAAATGATAAAACTATAAGCTCGTGTCTTTATGGGGCACTACTGGAGTCGAACCAAGTCGAACTGAATCCCCTTACTGTCTAGGATGAAAAACCAGCGTAAAACATAATGGCCTTGTAATCAGGTTCCCCACTCGGGATCACTTTTTACTGCAAATGCAATACCATCCAACATATTTCTCCTCCAGCTATATATTACAATCGTAAACATTCTTCTATACTAGTCACAATACACTGGTCCTTTTGTATTTTATCAATTAGATTTTTTTTTCCAAACCAACAAAAATTTCCCCTCTTTTAATTTTTAATTTACTTTTTTATTATAATAAAAATATTCTTTCAATTTCTCAATTAAATTTTATAATCTTATAATTTATGTACTGATAGAGAAATAATTTTTGATAAATTTAATTTTATTTTTTATTATTTTTAATTTAAATAAAAATTAAATAATATATCTCATAAATAATTTAATTTTTTAATTAAAATAATAATTAAAAAATAAATTAATAATTTAGTTTATAATTAATTAATATTACAATTAATAAACTAATTAATAATTTTTCAAATATTTTTAATGATAAATTTAAAAAAATAATAATTAAATTCATAATTAATTATGTTACGTGTTTAGTATAATATTTTTTATAAATAATAATTTATTATTTATATTAGTTTTTATTAGTTTCATTATATTTATAAACATTATTATATTATAAATTACATATTTATAAATAAATCAATATTTATCTGATAAGAATAATTTTTATTTACAATTTTGCATTTTTATTTTTTATTTAAAAAAAATTTTTCGGAACAAAATTTGGAAAAATTTAAAAAAAAAACTGAATCAATTGTGAAAAATTAAAAAAATTTCGAAAAAAGTTAAATTAATGAGGAAAAAATTGATAGAGATTTGAAAAAAATTTTCCTTAGGAAAATGTGAGAAAAAAAAGTTTTTGCGAGTTACCGGAAATGTAGAAACAAAAAATTTTTTTTATATATTTTTAAAAATTAATTTGTATTTCAAAACTTACAATAACTTGCTTTTGATCTGTTTCTTGACATTTTTCCACTCATTTGTCAAAAAAAAAAAAAAAATTTTATTTCATTCAAAAAAAAAACTATTTAATTTCTAAACAAATGTAAATAATAATAATTTGCGCGAAAATATGTATAAAAATTCACGCATAAGTGTCAAGAAATTGTTGATGTGGCAGAAAATTCCAACTCTGACCACCTGCCACCCACACTATTTGACCTGAAAATATATGTATGTGTGTTTATGTGAAAAGAGAGGAAAGAGATTGGCGGCAAATTTCAAAATCTAAACATTCCTTTAAAGTGTAAAAAATTACATACTTCCTCTTTTCTAGGATATTAGGAAATTTCCTTTTCTTTTATAGAATTTATTAATTTAAATAAATTTAAAAAAAATTTTAATTTAGATTTTTTTAACTGAAAAAATTTTTTTTATATTTTTAATTAATTATTATTAAAATAATTTTTATACTTTTAACATTAAATTAAAAATAGACGTGTGAAAAATATTTATATTTTATTTTATTATATTTAAAATATTAATAAATAATTTTTAATTTTATAATTATGATTCATTCTACAAATTTAATTATTTAATAGTAAATTTTTTTAAATTTACTTTATTTACTTTTATTTATTATTTATTTTAAAATTGTTTCAATTTTTTAAAAATTCATTTTCATAATGTAACTGTGACAAGATTCGAACCCTAAATGCCGCATTGTAAATCGAGTGCGCTAACCACTCGACCACGAACTATTTTTTTTTCTTTTTTTATTATTTTATATTTATATTAATATTAATTTATATTATTTATATTAATCTTTATTTATTTTTATTGAAATTTGTTTATTATTTAAATAATAATATTTATTTTAATAAATAAGCTGAATATATTTTTTTATTTATAACAATTAAGTAACCAATTAATGAGAAATAAAATAAATTTTTTTTCAGTACACAATTTAGTGAGAAAAATTAAATTTATAAAAAAATGTAAATTGCAATTATTATTATTATTAAATAAATAAATGTGAGGAATTCAAAATAACTGAGTTTATTACACTCTCTCTATTTCAGTTTTTATTAGCGCTTAAGACCTCGAGTGCGGTTGCTTGTTAACGATGAACAACAATTATGCCATTTCAAGGCGCGCACGATGAAGATAAACGTGTCTCAAACTATGTAAGTATGATGTTTAACCTTACATTTCTTAATTGCTGTTTATCTCCCTCTTTTCGACGATTCTCACTTCGAAGTCTCGTTGTGTTCTATTTTCTGTTTTTTTTTTAAATAATGTTTCACGGAATTGCATTAGACCATCACTGTAAAACCCAAGGAGAGAGAGAGAGAGAGAGAGAGAGAGAGAGAGAGAGAGAGAGAGAGAGAGAGAGAGACTGAAATTATTTGCAAACCTAATATTACTTTTCGAAATTAAAATTATTACTATTATTATCATCATGATGTTTAAGAAGCCATTTAGTTCATTGTCTCTTAATTTCTTTTTTTATTTATTTTTTTTTACAAGGAACATTTTTTTTTAATTTTAAATTAATTTTTATAATTAAAAATATAAATAGTAATAGAGAAAAAATAAACAAAAATATTTTTAAAACAAAATTACAATAGAAAGTTAGAATATAAATCGTTTTCCGCTGTTGACGTTGAGAATCACTGCATATAGTTGGAGTGGGGGAAGGAAATTACCAATCAACTGTGCTGCACGCTATCCCCTCTACAGCACGTCCAGTGATTCTCAACTTTATCCCACCAAAATCATTTTGACCACATCAGAATTTCCATTAAAAATAATTAAAAACAGTTTCCCGACAGTTTCTTTTAATTATTAAACAAAAATAATAAAAAAAAGAATTAAAATTTGATAAAAATTAATAAACTAAGTAAACAGATATTAATAAACAATAAAAATTAAAAAAAATGTTTCAAAAAATTATTTATTTTATATGCAAAAAAAAATTGACAGTGCGAGAGAAAAAAAGATTTCTTCATTTATGATTGAAAATGAATGATTTATTATTCTCAACATATATGTACAATTTATCGGGGGATTATATGACCTCACAAGTGTCGATTACTCGCGTGGGTGAACGCATTCCTCGACTTGTACAATCGACTCGACAGAGTTTCCGAGCGTGCCGGTCTAATTATAAGGAGGAAGAGATAACACTGACTCTTTTTTTTTTTTTATTTATTTCGAGACGTTCAACGACCCACCATTTCGAAACAAATCCATGAATAGGAATCACATCCGAGAGAATTTTTTTTTCGCGGCGGCGGATATAAAATCGAACGATGCGATTACAACTTTAGTGTATCCGGTTTTAGGCGTGTTCATTGAAATAAACAAAAACGAATTTACTAAAATAAATCGCTATTCAACAACTATGCCACGAATACAAAGTAAAGAAAAATTAGTAGGAATTATTACAATGTTTTTTTTTTAAATTTTGTAATGTGTGAAAAAATTTTTTTATTACCATTGTTTAGATTATGCGGATTTGGAAATAATAAAAAAAAAATTTTTGTAAAAAAGAGAAATAAAATAAATTATGAAGAGTGTTTGCAAAGTAATGGATAATATTTGTTATAAATAGAATTGAAAAAAAACCATAGTAAAAAATATTATGATTTGTTTTTGGTGTTCAAATTGTTGTTCCTCTATTTGTATCGGGCTGTCAATTTTTTTTTTTACACTTTTGGGAGTATTTTGTGCAAGAAATTGCCATTAAATAGTCTGCCTAAAAAAAATTGAATTTTTTTGAAAATTTTTTTTTGACGAAAATCGCTTTAATGGTCATAAAATTGGTGTTCCTCTACTCGGATCGGGCTGTCAATTTTTTTCTACACTTTTAGGTGTATTTTGTGCAAGAAATTGCAATAAAATAGTCTGCCTAAGAAAAATTGAATTTTTTTGATAATTTTTTTTTGACGAAAATCGCTTTAATGGTCATAAAATTGGTGTTCCTCTACTCGGATCGGGCTGTCAATTTTTTTCTACACTTTTAGGTGTATTTTGTGCAAGAAATTGCAATAAAATAGTCTGCCTAAGAAAAATTGAATTTTTTTGAAAATTTTTTTTTGACGAAAATCGCTTTAATGGTCATAAAATTGGTGTTCCTCTACTCGGATCGGGCTGTCAATTTTTTTCTACACTTTTAGGTGTATTTTGTGCAAGAAATTGCAATAAAATAGTCTGCCTAAGAAAAATTGAATTTTTTTGAAAATTTTTTTTTGACGAAAATCGCTTTAATGGTCATAAAATTGGTGTTCCTCTACTCGGATCGGGCTGTCAATTTTTTTCTACACTTTTAGGTGTATTTTGTGCAAGAAATTGCAATAAAATAGTCTGCCTAAGAAAAATTGAATTTTTTTGAAAATTTTTTTTTGACGAAAATCGCTTTAATGGTCATAAAATGGTGTTACTCTACTCGGATCGGGCTGTCAATTTTTTTCTACACTTTTAGGTGTATTTTGTGCAAGAAATTGCAATAAAATAGTCTGCCTAAGAAAAATTGAATTTTTTTGAAAATTTTTTTTTGACGAAAATCGCTTTAATGGTCATAAAATTGGTGTTCCTCTACTCGGATCGGGCTGTCAATTTTTTTCTACACTTTTAGGTGTATTTTGTGCAAGAAATTGCAATAAAATAGTCTGCCTAAGAAAAATTGAATTTTTTTGAAAATTTTTTTTTGACGAAAATCGCTTTAATGGTCATAAAATTGGTGTTCCTCTACTCGGATCGGGCTGTCAATTTTTTTCTACACTTTTAGGTGTATTTTGTGCAAGAAATTGCAATAAAATAGTCTGCCTAAGAAAAATTGAATTTTTTTGAAAATTTTTTTTTGACGAAAATCGCTTTAATGGTCATAAAATTGGTGTTCCTCTACTCGGATCGGGCTGTCAATTTTTTTCTACACTTTTAGGTGTATTTTGTGCAAGAAATTGCAATAAAATAGTCTGCCTAAGAAAAATTGAATTTTTTTGAAAATTTTTTTTTGACGAAAATCGCTTTAATGGTCATAAAATTGGTGTTCCTCTACTCGGATCGGGCTGT